TAACATTTAAATTATGTACAGAATTCGTTCTTTACCGTAATTTATAAGGGTTGCCTACAAATTTTCTCAATTACATTATTGCATCCGGAAAGTTAGAAAGAAATATCCATAAAACGAATGGGAAAGATGAAATAAGGAAGCAGGCAATACCTGAAATTCTAATAGCATCAATGAACAATTTCGGATAAAGCTGATTGAAGGTAAAATGAAATTTAATGTTCATTGATGCATAAATTAGCATATTGACAGGACACACCTGACGTTACTTATATATCGTTTTTAGGAAAAGATTGATGATTGGTGGAAATATTTCATCCCATCCAACATTTCAATTTTCTCCAAATCATTCTTCACCATTTTAATTTTTATGAGATTGACAGCAAATCAAATCAATTTGATAGTCAAACAAAATTATTGAGCAATTAGCAAAACAAAACTTGATAATGATAAACTGATAAAGTATTTATTGACGCCTAAGTGAATAATCAAACAGTTCAACTTCAACGAATATCAAACTGATAAAGTAAATTAATTAATTATGAAATCTTCTAATATATATTATTCGGTGATAATGAATATGTAAATTTCAAAAAGGAAGCTCAAATAAAAAAAATATTAAATGTCCATTTATTGGTCAATCTTTTAACATATCGCAATATTATCTTCGACATACTTGAATATGTAACTTAATTTGTAACTTATCATAATGTTTCAATTTATCACTATTCCATTTTAATTAAATTCTATATTTATATTTACATTTATCCTTTTCAATCCTTTATTCGAAATGTATTTTTAGAACATACAACAACTATAATCTAATGATTAATTATTAGTAACAAATAATTTATGCCGAATTATTAAACCGGTTAATTAATGGATTAACAACACATATTTAATTATTGCAACTTAGTTAAGTGATGTGCAAAATTTCATCCTTTTTGTTTGCACAAATTTTAGATGGTAAAAATATATTAAGTGAATCTTACAAGTTTAATTTTATATTCATAAAAGTGAATACAAACAAACAAATACAATAATTGAAAAAGGAAGAGGAAAAAACAAACAGCTGGACAGTTTGATATTGAAGTATCACTTGTAAAATGCAAAATTAAGAAGTGGCCTATAATAATGCATGAATCATACATTAATAGAATACACTCATGCTAAATAAACAATTAATAATTATTGGTGACTTAATTGGTCAGGAAAATTCAATAAGGAGAAGAAGAGAATGAGACAAGTACCTTAGTATAATATCTCAATTATTATTCCTATCACACTACTACTTCATCACAACAAAATTATTTCAATTGAAAAAAATAAAATTAGAAATAAACATTTTACTAAAATTTATTCCATCTAAAACTAATACCATTTCCCAATTCATTTCTAATCTTCTAACCTTAGTGTAATATCTCAGGTATGCATCATAATATCCTTTAATTGTTTTCTTTGTTTTTGTATTTAATTATATTTTTAACAAAAATCTCTAATGTTATTAAAATATGATATTGCTAAATTCAAAATTCATTTTTTTGTTAATAAAAATTTATTGATATATGAGTGATACTAATGCATCTATTGATTATTTACTTCGTCTATTTGATATTTTCTATTCCGGATACGGTCAACTGTTTTAAATAACAAAAAAGGATTTTTTCCGGATACTGTCAACTGTTTTAAATAATTCGATTCTTCTTTTCCTTTCAAATATCCATTCAAAAAATATGCAAAACAAAAACAAAAATAGCGATTTCATATAATTTTGATTTTTCAAAAGAAAAAAGTAATATTTTTATATTTGAGAAAATGACAGCAAAAATGAAATGGTTTGATAACAATTGAAATCATAAAGGTAACTGAGCGGCTCTTTTCATTTGTTGACAGCGAACCTGTACGGTAAACAATTGATTGGAATGTCAAATGAAAAAAATATGGAACGAACAGTTTGTTTTTGATGAATGCTAAAATTTAAAATCTTTCATGCCATTTTCATGAAAATTTGTGTAAGACATTTAAATAATAATTTGAAATATTCAAAGGGAATGGATGGCTGGATGGATAGGTGAGATGGTCTATTCAACGAATTTTGTAAACAATTATATTTCTTTTTGTAAACAAAAAAATGATTATATTTAGATTTTCCATTGTTTTAGATAATGATTAAAGTTGTTAACTTTATGGTGTTGAATTTGTTGTATTTTCCGGATGAAATCTTCGGAAATAGTATAATAAATTTTAATCTCATTAGAAAGATATAAGAAATAAATTAATGAATAGATTAGATGTTTATTAGATTATAAATGAAGAAATTTCATTCGTCAATTAATATATTAATTTCAATTGTTCAACAATTTATTGCAGCAAAAAAGGATTTCCTATTTTTATGCTAAATTTTACAGAAAGTTTAATAAGTTTGATGGCGGAATAAATTAAAGAAAAGTGCTTTAAAAAAGTTTTTAATATCTTTTTTTGAATATAACTTGATAATAAACAAATTATGCTAATAATTACCAACTGATAAGAAAATTTATTATTCCTATTTCAATTTGAGCAGGAAACAATTATTCCTGATGCAACCTGATCTGATTCAGTTTAAGAACTAATTAGTTAATTAATGAAGAAGAAATAATCTTTGCAAAAAAAAAATGAACGGGATCAATTAAAAGATACAATGAATGATAAACGGTAAAATGATGACGATGGCGATGATTGTGATTGATTGTGAAATCATGGTATCACCACTATATCACATGAGACAAACTCTCTCCCTTTCTTACTCGTTATTTCCCGTTTTCACAGCTGACTTTTTCATTCCATGCATCATCACCGCCATCATCATATCATTATCCTATTGCCATCTTCAATCTTTCAACTCTCTCCATCTTTCTCTCTTTCTCTTACACTCACCTTGATTGAGATTGAAAAATAATTGAAAGTGAATAAAATCAATTTTCAACACTGTTTTTTGGATGAGATAGATATTCCTGTCATTTCAATTCAATTCACTTTATCGTTGCTCTCTTTCAACTTTTTTTTACACTTTATAAAATTATTTGGCTCATAATTAATTTAGTTAAAATTTTTAATTGTAATTAGTGATAATTGGAATTTGAAGTTGAAATTTTCTTAAATCATTTTTAAGATATTTAATAATGAATTTAATTTAATTTATTTGAAATTTTACTAATTAAATTTCAAATATGAAAGAGTCTTCAAGTCTTTGTTAACCTAAAACAATCTGTTTTCCTCTTCTATATGGAAAACTTTCATCAGATATTTAATTACTAAACTTAAATGATATGGATTAGCACTGATAAGCAACTTTTAAGTGGTGATAATAAAAAAAAGTTTGTTACTTCTTCCAATCATTTGAACTTGCCGGTGATAAATTGCATTTCTTCTGTTTTACATTTCATTCGTTAATTAAATTAAGAAGAAAATTGATCCAACTTCCGGTATGATACGGTTTAATTTCAATGGAAATTACAAGCGTCTTTTGCAACAGTTCAAATGTACTTTCATCTGAGATCGATAATTTCATGCAGGCGAAAATGAAATAAATGTTTCGCTCGTTACAGATTGTCAACTACCGCCAATTAATACTACAGAATAAAAGGGAAGCAGTAATTATGGTGTAAAGAAAACAGCAAATTTGAAGCAGGTGGTTGAGATAATATTTGAGCGAAATAAAAATAATTTCAGCAATCGAATTTCTTCAGGTTTTCTCGGGGGCATTTCCTGGGTTCAAAATTTTTCCTAACAAATGCTACATGAACGAACAAAATATGTTAAAAATTTGACGAAGTTATTATCAATATTATCTTTACCATTTTAAAATAAGATATTATAATATGTTAAAAAAAATTTCTGCATAAATCAGTGAATTTTTCTTGCTTTTTTAACCGAAGTATTTTTTGATAATTTGATAAAAGAAATGATTTTGCGAAGGATGTGAATATGATAAGATATAAATTTGACGAACAACGTTAAATTCTGAAAACATGAAAAATCTGAGGAGCAATGTGGAATCTGACGGTACTGATATATTGCAGCTTTAATTTTGTTATAAATGAATGAATAAAGGATGTTCGCATATCATATTGCAATATCTCGCTTTATAAATGAACATATCGCAAATGTTCGCATATCCTTTCATTCTTTTACATTATTAATATCAATTTGAGATAAATAAACGAAGAAAATTAAATTAAGAAAAATGAAGAAGACGTTTTTTTCAATTTGTTGAATAAAAGAAAGAAAAAGAATAGGAAGAGAAAAGAGACGAAGAAAATGTAAATGTAAAATTAAATTGAATTGAAACGAAGCTTCTTTTAAAGATATGAAAAGCTTTTGAATTTCCTCCTTGAAATGATGCCTTTTGAAGAATTTCGAAATGAAATTACAAAAGCGTTGAAAAAGAAGGAAACAAAACATACAACATAATAAAAGAGAGGAACATCTGTTCCTCTCTTTTTTGTCTTTGAAAATTACTTTTTGAATTTTATTAAAATTATTAATGAAATATATGAGAATTGTACTGAGTGCAGTAAATAAAGTGATTGGCAATACAAAATTGGCTAAAATAATAATTATTATATCGTTTGTTATGAGGTGATCGATCGGTTTCAGAAAATTCATTGTTTTTATTATTTTTTGATTTTTTCAAATCTTTTAATTTTAAAAGAAATTGAAATAAACATTGTAATTGTGTTTGCTTGTCCAAAATTAAGACAAAAATGAGCAGCTAATAAAATGATGCTAATTATTTATTCAAAAATTTTAACCTTACAATATCGTACTAATTAAAACTCATCAAAATTGTAATTAATTAAAATTTTGTGATTATGATTATCGTAACATTATTCTATGATGAGCATAATCATTTTATCAGCAATATATCAGCAATATATCAACAATAGCAACGATATCATTAATAATAGCTTTTATCATTATTGATGCTTGATAATGCATACATTAGCAAAGGTAAATGAATTCTAAATTTCATTAACTTTTTCAACGATGCCATAAATAGCATTTTGTAAACGAATGTAAGTCCGACATTTTTCATATACACCAATTTTGATAGCATTTGTTACATAAGCAATTGTGAGATCATTTTCACTATCGTGAATGACTTGTTGACAACCGAAGCCTGAATGACCATATAAATTTGTCACCTGGAAAATGGACAAAAAAGTAAGTCAAAAAATGATGCAAAATAAATGGAGTCCTTATTGCATTTATAGCAATGCAAGCAAAAATTCATTTCTATCGTTTACAAACCAGCTTTAAAAATGCTAATTTATAATAATGAAAATTTTAATCTTAAATTGAAAATTTGAATTTCCTCAATAAATTTTAAAAAGACCTCTGATTGATTGATGAAAACTAGAAAGCCAATGCTTTTTGTTAAATGTTTTATTGTACATATATCCGTGCTATTATCGTAAGTTTTCCTCAAAAGAAGTTGTGTTGCAGGTGATAACAGTTTACCTGTTGTTAGCTGTAATAAATTAAGCATTTTGGAATAATTAATAGAATAAAGAAAGTTAATTTGTAAATTTTAGATTAACCCAATTATGTAATTATGAAATGGCCGCTTGTCATACATTTTAGAAAAGAGATTCCAACAATATTATATTAATTCTTTTGAAATAGCAAAATTTTAAATATTAAGTAAAATTTATGATACTGTAATAATCTATTACTGTAAAATACAGTGGAATTTTCTTACCATATGAAATATCTTTGCTAAACTTCTTGCATTACCAAATCCATGATATATTAAATGATGAAAATTTGGATTGTTAATTTGCAACGGTGTAGTTGGATCTAACCAATTTAAATTATGCATCACTTTATATATTATCGAATCCTGCAATTATCTGAAATAACAGTTAAATTGAATTTAAATCGAAAAATGATTGTTTCGGTATGAAATCAAATCAAAAATTGAGATTAAGTAATAATATCCAAATATCAAATTTTTGGCAATTCCATGCCATATTTTGCATAAAATTAAACTTTGACCAAATAAATACTTTAAGTGTAGAAAATTGAAATAGCAAAGTTCGCATCAAATAAGGAGTTTGATAAATTTCATGAAGAATCTCAGACCAGGAAGGCATTGTTATTCGAGCCACTCGATGTTCTTCTGTCATTGTTAAACCGATTGAATAATCAATTCCTGAAATTCAGAAAAGATTTACATTTGAAATAGATTAAAATCGGAAATGAATTAAACTTATTGTTTACCAAATTTTGACGCTATTTCATCATGAAAATGTTGTTGTACGCTACGTTTTTGTTTATCAATATGTCGAATTAATTGATCAATAAGCCAGTAGTATGATGATCCATAACAACCGGATTTTCGTCCTGTTAACCATTTCGGTTGCTCATTTTCGAAGATTTTCCTATTGGAAAAATAAATGATTCATTTTAAAATAATCATCCTGCTTACCTTTATTTAATAATCTTCGAAAGGTAAAAAGAAAAAGAACAAAATGAATATCTATAGTTTTAGTTTATTGATTAATTTTTGAACATTTCGAAAACTTGATTTATTGATTTTAAATTTTTAAGAGAAATATTTTCAAATTGAATTACACATACATCATTGCATGATGATTGTCGGCAATTTTCAAACTAATCGGTTTGTCCAAATAAGTTAAACCCGCCTAAGTAAACTTTTTATATCACTTATAATCAATAATTTGTAAATTAAAAGAACAATTCGTCATATTTCAAAGATATGAACAAAATAAAAATGTTAAATTTAATTTGAATTTTATGAATTTTATAATAATATTATACCGTATTTGATAGTAACATTCGTATGGTAATATTAGCTTTACCATTATTACCAAAATTAGGCCAATATTTGATAATTAGATCATCGTAATTTGCTAATTTCCTTTCAACCATCAATGCAACACATAAAGCCATCATTTGTTTTAAACACGAAAATGTTGAAGTGATCGTATCCTAAAATTATTAATTAAATGAAATCAAATTAATAATTACGAATGAATGTCTTCCTTATTTTCTTTTTATAATTAACCAAAAATTCGATTTATATATTCATTGATTATATGTTATCAGTAAAAGAAACTTCTTTTTACTACTTTTACCATAGCAAAAGTAGAAAATTAAAATTTATTAATAAAATAACGCTTACCATTTGCCATTTTCTGGCAGCTTTCACATCCGCATAGCCACCCCAAATGTCGAGAACTTTCCGACCTTTAAAGTAAACTGTTAATGCCGCACCTCCACGTTCCCAGCCATCATCAAAGTTTTTCCTATAAATTTTCCACTATTAATTATCGGGATGAAATATGATTAAAATTTTATTTTAATTACTCATTGAATAAATTCTGTGGCAAAAAATTGCAACAACAAATTTGGAAGTATACTGTAGAAGAAGGAATGAATAAAATTTCCCATAATGAATAATTAAGTTTCATTTCAAACATTTATTGATTAAATTGTTTTTTGGTGTAATTGCAATTAAAGCCTTAGAAAGTGCAAATTTTTTAAAAGTAAATTTATTAGCAAATTTAAAAGCAACACATTGCAAAATAAGGAAGTGATAAAATAACAACTTGAAAATGTTTGAAATCAATTGGAATCGTTCGTCAATCGTATTGTAATCAAAATGCAATGGTAATTTCGTATATAAATTATGATTTGTATAGATGGAAATAGCATAAATGATAATGATAGTGATAGTGATAATATGAACCTTTCTCGGGAAAACCATATCAATGGATTCAAAAAAATGAAAAATGAAATGATAAGAAGCGTTATATGGGAAAATGTTATCAAATGCATTCATTTTGCTTCTTCAAATATTATCGCTTTGCGATAACAGCGAAATATTTTGCTTATCTTTTCATATATTTTGGAATTTTCTGGTGTCACTGAGAAATACCGGGAGACAAGGTAAGTCAACAATGTTATTTATATATCAAAAATCTAAATTAACATTTGAAATTTACCCCATTTTTGAACTAGAAAAATAATGAATTCGAAGAATTCATTTCAATAACTAATTCAAATGAGGTGAAAGCAAAAAGCAAAAGATAACATTCTGATAAGGATATCTTATCAAAGTACTAATGAATAAATAACAGTGAAATATGAATGAATGATCTTTGTATGATAAGAAAATAAATGAGTTAATAATTATAAATTAAAGCTATTTATATTATCAATTGAAATTATCAATTGATTTATATAGCAATTTAAAGAAATAGAAAAATTTCAATAATCTTTTTTTTTCTCAAATATTACTTTTCTATGAATGAAAATTATTAATGGAAAAAATTCAGAGAGATTGTAAAACAATGAATTAATTAATGAATTAATCAAATTATTATCAATAGAATATTTAAAATTAATATACAAAAATATTTAATCAAAATTTCCAATAATTTTTACTAAATGTTTTATTGAAGGCACATTATTTCCCATTGAGGAAAATAATAAGCAAAAGAATATCATTTTAGATTTATTTATTATTCATTTTCATTTATCTCTTTCCGGTACAACGATATTACTATCCTGTCATCTTCCCTTTCTGTTATAAAAAACGGATTTTCTTTTATATTAATACCGGAAGATTATGATTATGTGAATTAATTTCAATCAATTTACAAAGATAGATTTTAATTTTTTTAAACTAAATAAAATTACAGGTGTAAAATGTTTATTCCTAACAATTTGACCTTATAAATAATACACTGTTGGATTTCCATTGACCTTTGTTGATCATAAAAGTGATTAGTTTTTTCTTTTTCTAAACTTTTTCAGTATTATTCTATTATTTGAAAACATAAATAAACGAATAATTTGTGAATAAATAATTAAAAAATTAAAACATTTTTGATTGTTTGATTTCATCGATTAAAAAATTATTTCAATGCTTTAAATACTTCAAATGTCTGTAAAATATTATAACAAATAATTGAACGTATCGTAAATATTACAGAAATTAATTGCGAAAATTAATTTCTTTCATTAATTTTAAAATCAATAAAATTTTGCAAATTTAAAAGTAACAAAGTAATCCATAATTAGCATACTTTTATATATAATTCCATCTGTAAGAGAATTATTGTAGGAATTATTCATTATAAAAGATTGAATGAATGAGAAATTGTATCGTTGACTGATTATGAAGACTGATATTATCATCGTTTTGCTATATTTTAAGTTATTTGATTATGAAATTATAAATGTGTCATCGATTGAATGTGAATTTATAGATTTAAACTGTCATATTTTGAATGAAATGTTTGAGAAATTTTATGATGGAAAGAATTTTAAATTAAATCTGAATGAGAATCAGAAGTTATCATAGCTATCTATGTTTTCCATGCAAATTTTATGCGTCGATACATTTGAAATGACATTTGAAATGGTATTTTAAATTTTAAATATAATGATGATTCAGATGTTTTGCATTCTGATAGTTTTGCTTCAAATTTAAATATAATTGTGATGGGATATTTTGTGTTTCAATACCTATCATTAAGCATTATTATTAATGAGATTTCTTTAATTTCATCATTTTGATAAATAAATTGCTAACATTTTATTAAAATTCGTTCCCAAAATTTCATTTAAAGTAGGGAAGTCATATGACAGAAAGTACAGCAATATAATAATTCATAAAACGACTGAATTAACATAAAATTGCTTCCTAAAAGAAAATCAAAGATACGTGGGATACGTGTAATTCTCATCAACTAAAATAAAATTGCTCTCCAAGAGAAAATCAAAGATACGTGGGATACGTTGGATACGTGTAATTCTTCTCATCAAATAAAAGTTTTTTGAATCAAACATAAATTTTGAAATTAACTAATAATTTATTATTCTATTATGTAGCATTTGTTGTACAGAATTCTTTCTTAGCATTTCCTTTGTCATTTTAATAGATTTGGTATGGATGTTTTGTCTAACTATAAATTAAGTTTAATTCAAAATGCTTCTTTTTTATGGCAAATTCGTATTCAAATTTTATTTTACATTATGAAAGATTATTCGATCATTTCAGTAATGGATCTCAGCTCCAATGAGAAAAAATCAACGATCTATCATATGTTTGATAAAGTTTTGATTGATATTCGGATTTATTTAAAGAGATCACGTAGATGTGTAGCCTCTTCTTCGGGAATCGTTTTTGAGAGGTCCCGGGAACCATCTTTTGAGAGATCCTTGGAAGTTATTCTTTGAGTGGCTCTTAGAGACAAATATTGTTTTTCAAGTACGCTCGTTAATACAATAGCATAATTATCGATCATTGTTTTTTCAAATAAATTAAAATCAATAACGGTTAATATTGACATGGAAAGCTGTCATTATTAAATACTTAAATAGCTTTATTGATTCTAACTGAAAAATGAGTTTCAAATATTTTTTATTTCTAATAATTTTCATTTGTGGTTTTAAAATTTTCAAATGAAATTATTTTCAGATTGGTTGCTTTAAAATTTTTTATTCATATCTTTATGATTTATTTCAAATTGCTTATTTTAAAATTTTTCAAGCTATATGATATTTACTTCAAACTTACAACAAAAGGTTGAATTTACTTTGAAATAGCAAATGGTATATTAACAAGGCCACAAATTGTAGCACATGATAGCAATATTAATAAGATGATATTCCTGGCAAAAGCATGAAATGATAGTAGCATGAAAAGTGAATATGAGAGAAATACTTTAATGAGCAATAACTATTGCATTTAATATTTTGATTATTTGATATGGCATATTTTGAATGTAGCGAAACACTAATGACAGTTGCAAATTTGATGATGAAATAAATTTAATTTCAAATTTCAAATATCGCTTCGTAGAATTTTTATGCTTTAATATTATTAATGTAAATGTTTCATTATTGTTTGATTTTACAATCTATCAAATTATTTCATAACATTTAGTAAATTTGACAAATTATTATCATACGATGATATCATATGATAAAAGTGATACTCTCTTAAGTGACAGTTATATTTCTTTTTAAATTACAATTTTTACCTTTTGACTTTTTTTTAATTTACTTTTTAACGATAATAATTAAATGCAACTGAAAGTGTTAAAAGTTCAAACAAAAGTTAAAATTTGCTCAAAAAAGGAGTTTTAATTCTTTTCATTAATTTTCCGTTATTTTGCATAATTTTAATATGTTGTTAGTTTTAAGCCAAATTAAAGAAATATTTATTACAAACAGTGATCTTTTCTGTGAAAGACCAAAATGGTAGTGCTTCGAGAAAGAGAAAGAGAGAGAGAGGGAGAGAGAGGGTGGAAAAAAGTTAATTATTTAGAAAAGATAAGTGGATAGTTTATATTGTCCGAAATCGCCGTCGTATTTTTCGTAATTTCAACAAACGTCGGCGTTTCTTGAATTCTTTACCCCATGCGCCAACAATAAATGATTCAATATCACAATGATTTTCACCGCGCAAGATGCGAAATGTACCATTTTCACCCCAATTAGGACCCCATGAATTTGCAGCAATCCAATATTTTACCGGTAAACCTGTTGAATAATCTTCACCCCATCTGAAAATTTATCCTTTTTTCTTTTATTTTTTTAACCGGAAGTTATCGAATCACATAATTTTGTGATTTCATTTTTTTCTGTCACCAATGAAATAGCATTTAGATAATAAGGTTTTGAATGATAATCACTTTGTTAATTGGTTAAAATAGCTTAAATCTAATAATTGGAGAATTAGTTGAAGTTCTTATTTGATAAAGGATTTAAGAAAAGAAAATGAAACTCTCTGTTAATCTCATTTACTCTTTGAGATAAATTGAACTTTATGTCTGTCAATAAATTCATTTTTTGTCATTGTTTAAAAAGACTTTCTACCATTTTTTTCGACTTTTCCTGAAGAAGATTTAGTATTATGATGAAAGTGTTTACCCGAGAAGTCGTACTGAATGATATCCTTCCGGCTCATCTTCATTTGTTGGTAAATGTTTGTAAACACCGGCACTGGAATATTTAAATATTTCCTTGTTTAACATTTTAATGATTAACTTCTCTAATTATTCCGTTTTTCAATTGTGGAAAAAGCAAAAAAAGTTGCAAATACTTCTAAGTACTTGTAAAATTTTCTAATGGTACTCGTAGTATCCAACAGATGATATCACAGATACTTGTAGTATTAAATATGATAGCTCTTCTGGATACTCCTTAATTTGATTAATTTTGTAATTTTTAAATACCATTTTTATACTTTGGATTATTATTCATTGTATAGCAATAAGTTTAAATGAAAAGTCAATAAATGATAAGGTTGTTATCATATTAATGAAGTGATTTACGATTATTTACCTATACATGAAGAAATCTCCGTGAACAAGGAATGTTGCTTGAACCGGACCATTTGCTAATATTTCAGACATAATATCTTTCTCTCTGCTTGAAACTCTGTAACTTGGCAAAAAATGATTGTTAAAATTTTGGAAACATTAAATTTAATTTTTTTCCTAAAATTTAATAAACAAAGAATCAAATTATTTACTTATTTTACCTGTAGGATGGTGTGGTACGGTACATTCGTGAATCATGATATCCACTTGGGCATTCTCGTTCACTAGCGTGCTTAGATTTTTGTATTTGGCATGTTTCAGGTTTTCTTGTAATTCCGCTTACGTATGGATAACATTCTTCGCTTACCACTCTGTAACGATTAACAAATTTTTTTTACACCAATCGGCTATTAAATAAAATTACAATTCCTGAAAATTGTATTTGTTTCCGGTTAAATGATATTTTTGTTAGATGAAACGAACCCAAACTTTCGAATATACCACCAGGCTCGGTCTAGGTGACCACCTTCGCAACCTTTTTGTCGATGTTGATTGCATGAAAGAAACTGTTGAGCCGAAAGTAAAACATTCTGCCGACCGTCTGTTATTAGCGCTAAACGATCAGCTGATGTAGCTGCTGTTGATTGCGCCCATGAACTGTAAAATGAAATGCTAAATTAGCAAATTTAAGCATGAAAATTTATCGAAAAAAGGTGGTTAAATTATTTCAATTTAAACTTTTGAATTAATTGCTCAAATTTGATTTCAGATCCAAATATTTATACATTGATAATTCTTTCTAACAAAAAGTACTGAAGATCAAAAATATGATAATAGAGATTTTAGTATTACGATATTGCTGTATACCTGGCACAATCACCTTGATCCTGAATTGGATGTATGAAATTAGGCCATTTTTGTCGTGCATCAAAACTTGTTGGTAATTCGCGTGGTTTAACAACCATTTCATTCATATTCTACAAACTTTTTAAATTTTCAACAATTTCCTGATAATTTCTTCTAAAAAAATTTGTATTTTTGATGCAAACGAAAGTGTTAGTAATTGAAAAAACATTGAAATGAAAATAGAAAATGAAATTAAATGAAAATAATTTAAATATTGGATAGTATTGAAGAAGAGATCATTGAAATAATATTATTAAAAGAAAATAAAGCAAAAAAAAGGATGATAATAAAACGAAATTTATTGTAAATAATTAAATTATAAATTGATAAAACGATAAATAAATAAATAATACCTGAACACTTCGTTCCGGAAAAAGTGTTCCAAGACGATGACGTATTCCATCTTCCAATGTACGTCCCCAAAATTCCGAATAATTTCGCGCTGTCCATCTGAAATAGACGAAACAAAGCATATTTCAGAAGTTTTCGCAACTGTAAATAAATTGAACATTTCACAATAGCAACAAACTTAAATGATAATTTTGTATAATTAATAAATTATTGAAATAAAAACAAAACTATGTGATTAATTTTACGTTTTATCTTTGTTATCAATGATAAAATTCAAAAGTATTAAATGATAAGAATATATTACAGGAAAAAAAACAATAATTCGTATATAATAAATTAATATTGCAACGAAAGATTTCATTTTATTTTCGGTTTTGTTTTATCTTTTTGATAAGAGAAAAAATTAATTTTAATAAATTTAATTTTTATTCGAATAATTTTAATTTAAAGTAAACATTGAAAGAATTTAAAAATTCAAATATTTCCATTATCCATTTATTGTTAAAAAAATGAATGTTTGACAAAGAATGAAAAATATATCTTTCATCGATGAATAATTCTATTAATGTTTTATTTTTTATGATTTAGGCCATTATAATTCTTTTTTGAAGGCCATTACAAAAGGCCTTTTCCTTAACACTAAACTCTAATCCATTCCAAAATGAATTAATTAATCTTTCAATTTATTAATGGTAAAATTATGGTATTTAAAAAATTTTATATATCTTTAAATGTATATTTTAAATATTCTTTCAGTCTTTCCAAAATAAAAAAAATGCAAATTTTAATTTTCAGAAATTTTCATTAACTTTTTTTCTATTATACAACACTTTGTGTTATTGGAAAATTTTGTAAACTAACTGAAAGAAAAATATTTCAAAAAATGATATCAGAAATTAAATAATGAAAGATTAATTCAGTTTCAAATAATTCAAAATATTAATTTACATTTTAATATATTCAATTTTATTACAATCATTAAGTTTGGGAAATTTTTTCATAGCAATAATAAACGAATGATTCATACAAATTATATTATTTAAGTTGAATGATTTTTCACTTAAAATTAGTCAAAATAAAATTTAAAAATTAGCGAAAAATTGTGATAATATTTCATTACGTGACGTAATTATTGCTTAATTGAAATTTTCTAAACGATTCAATGGAAATTGATTGACGTGTAAATGTGTATCTTCCGTGTTGATCTTTTAGCAGTAAATAACACGTGTATCTTCCATGTTGAATTTTTAACAGTAAATAACTGTATCTTCCATGTTGAATTTTTAACAGTAAATAATTAACGTGTATCTTCCGTGTTGATCTTTTAACAGTAAATAACACTAACGTGTATCATCCATGTTGAATATTTAGCAGTAAATAACTAACGTGTATCTTCCATGTTGAACTTTTAATAGTAAATCTTCTTGAATTAAACATGGCGCATCATCACATTTCCATTGATTGTCAATACACGTACTGCAAATTTCAGATTTATTTCAAATAATTTATTTTTATTAATTGATAGTATATGAAAAGATCGGAAATCGTTCTACTCAAATTAAGCTAAAATGAAATAGCTGAACGTGCGATGTTACGTTTTATTGATCTTATCATATCGTGATATGATGATATTGATTTATTCATTAATGCATGACGATTGTAACAATGATAATATAGTGAATAGTTTGTATGTTAAAGTCAATAAAACTAATTTGTATAGAGATGAAAATTTTTCTATAATTTAAAATTAAATATTGATTTGAGTAATTTCAACAGTTTCGACTCTTTGTTTTACTAACTCTATTGCATCATCATCAAATAAAACAATGAAACGTTGTGCATTCTTGTAAAAACTTTTAAAATTGCAAATTAACAATCAACGAAATTTTAAAACGTTCTATTTCACGTGAAACTCTATGGTACATGACGTTGTACGTGACGTTTGTTTCCCGCTAAAGTAATTAGAAAAAGCAAAAGATTATCTATTTTTGTTTCTTAATTTAAGGTAATCAAAACATTGAGCAAATATAGGATAAGTCGTGCAATATGAACTTTACGTTTTGCTATATGTGAAGTTTAGAATCAAACTGATTGAACTTGAATTGACCTATTCCAAGTAACTTTATTTTAAAATGTTAAGTTGACAACATCAATCGATATCAGTAGAATAATTCTGTTAATTTTGAAATACTTTTAATGAAACTTTCAACTCTATTGTTTACTTAATTCTGTTAATTAAGAGTTTTAGAAAGATTGCCTCAAAAGCAAGCAAACGCTTTTTAAAGCATTTGATGTAAGAATTAAAGTAAATTTAATGAGAAACAAAGAAAAAAATTTGTCAAATAAACAGAACAAACTAAATTTAAATTGTGAAAATAAATTTAAATTGGTAATAAATTTAATAAATTAAAAGAAAATATTAATGAAAATCACAATACAATGCGAAATTAATTAATGTAATTAATCAATTCAATAAAACTTTCTAAAAAATATATTAAATTAATAATAATTGTTGAAAATCAAAGATAAAAACGTATAAACAAATAAATATAAATGAAAAAAATTAACATATTTAAACACTGTAAATAATATATTGCATTGTTTTTTAATAAGTAATTAAAATAAATATTTCAAATTAAATTAAAATAAAAGTATTGGAAATGAGAAAATGAAATCGAATCAAAAAATCACTGATAAGAAACAATCAATAAAAAATGAAAAATAGAGAAAGAATGAAAAACATTATCTATTCAATCATTATCACTTTGACCTGTCGCATTATTATTATCGATCATTGAACTTTGTGTGATAAAAAAAGTCAGCCAAAATTTCAAATTTCGAAAGTTTATTAATCCTTCAAAAATTTCGCATATTATTTTCAGTAAAAATCAAACTTTAAGAGTAAAAATGGATGAAAAAAAATGAAAGATTGTTGAAGGAAAATGTTGAAATATACAAAAAGTTTTTTGTTTTATTTCGTTCCAATACAATTTCTTATCAGTGATTGATTGATACGTTTATTCACAATTTCTTATCAGTGATTAATTGATACGTTAATTCACAAATTCTTATTAAAAGTTCAAAAAAATATCGTCTGGAATGTCAAACTAACTTGTTAAAAACAATTGAAAATGAATATAAATATATGAAATATAAATGAATGAATGTATCGAAAAGGATTGTGTAACTTTTCCCGTTGTTAAAGAAATTTCTTCACTAATTACTTTACTCCATATTATCTGACACTAATCAAAAAACAATCAGGGTAAAAACAATGGCTAAATTAATTAGCACATGAGAAAGAGAGAGAGGGAGAGAAAGAAAGGGAAAGAAATTTTTTGATAAATTTTTCATTACAATTGATAAAAATATCGTAAAATATTTTGTTTATTTTCAACTGCAAATGCGCTGTAAAATAAAACAAATTCTAATTCGTGACAGATAAAAATGGAAATATCAGCGAAATTAAACTTTAAGCAATGAGAAGTGATATTTATTCTCAGGATGGAATGAATTTATAATATTGTTATTTTCAGGATAGAATGGATTTATTATAATGTTATTTTCAGGATGGGACAGATTTATTATGATAACAATAAGGAAAATTGATAAAATATGTGATGTTTTTGAAATTACTAAAAATTAGAATGTAAAAAATGACAGATATATCTTTTAATTGTTGAAATAAAAATAAATTATTTAGCATAAAAAAAATTTCCAATTTAAATAATATTTTATACAGTATACAAAATGTTTATTACTAACTATTCTTTATTTGTGTTCAAAATATTTCGATATCAAATTTTATCAGTTTATTGAAATTTACAGACAACAGTGAATCATTGATGATTAACTATTTTGGAATTGAAATGAAGTCAATTTTAAAATTCTTCGGTGATGAAAATTTTATACTTTTAGTTTTTTCTTGCATTAGAATTAAATGAACTAATAATTAGATTTTACTTTATCAATTCAATTTTGAAACTATTAAATTTGACGTTTGATTATAAATTATCGATCAATTAATTCTAATAATTAATGAAATAATTTATTTTATGTTATATTTCTCATGCATGTCATATTCAATTTTTCCCCTTTGTTTGTATTTACATCTCTTTGTTTATACGTATAATTAATTATAATTAATTTTTCATCTGCTTAATAAAATATTTCGAAATAGAATTCTACAAGTTTTTTTCCTTAGAAAACTTACATTTCATACATTAACAATTTGACAAAATGCATTTAAATTAAATTTAAATTGAATTTTACTACAAAAACATTTCGATTTTCTTTAAATTCCATTTTTCATTAATAAATATTTTAATTATAATTTTAATTTATCGCTCTTTTTTCATTCAAATTTCTTTGTTTACTTTAAAATAACAAAATTTTCAAAAAATAATTATAATTTTAAAAAGAGGAAAAGAAATGAACCATTTATTGCAATTTTTGATGATTGTGTCCTCTTCTGAATATGTTATTCCATCGTGGATGCAATCTGAATACTATAAAATTAACAGTATTTCATATTCATTAATTTATCAATGAAAAATAATCTTCTCTCCTTACTTACATATCCTTTTCTTATATATTTTAAAATCTAAAATCTAATTACCCATATTTGATAGTTGAAGGAATTATTACCCATATTTGATCATTGAAAGAATTATATAAAATGCCTTGAAGAGAAAAATAAATTTCCATCTATTTTCACAGAAGTTTTATCATTAATTACCATATACTTTAAATTAAAAAATAAAAGTATGGTCTTAATAATTGGATTTGATTTCCGGAATTTAGTAAAACAGTTAAATAGCAACAGTATTTCAGGGATTTTATGATAAAAATACATTAAGGAGAACATAAATCCTTCTGATCTAATTGTAACGATAATAGTTATTGAAACAGCGAACTTTTATTATCAACAAATCAATGATCTAATTGTCGCACGGTTGATCTAATTCAATCATTTTCAATTTTTTTTCGTTAAACTAATTTGATTGCAAAATTATTGATATTAAGAAAGCTTTAAATTAAAAACTAAATTATTAAAAATTTTTTAATTAGGAAAAACAAAGGTAATTGATTTATTTGATAGTATAATATATTTATGTGTGAGTATGTCTGTGAAAAAATATATAATACATCTGTATGCAAGATATGATACATTACGGAATGACGAATGCAATTGCAAAATAGTTTTGCATAATTTTTATCAAATCACCTGACCTTGCGCTAATGTTCTTGGACTGAATCGGCAAACTTTTTTGAAATCCGGGCAGCAATCATTACCATATTCGCCTCGATCACAAAACATATCACAATAACAGCGATGATTTCCTAGGATTGACATCGTGCATTGATCATCGCGATTTGGGCAGCATGTTGGTGATCGTTTTGCACAATAACTTCCCGGGATATCATAAAAGCCAATACTGATAACATTTTGCAATGGTAGGAAAAATATCACAAATTCCTTTATCATTGTATTTTTTGATAATGATAATGAGTTGGATTATAGTTGTAATTGTAGTTGATCGATGAAAATTTTTTATTTATTATTAAGAAATGCTGAAATTTTATCCAATGATTCGTAAATTGTTGCTGCAATATTTTGGATGATAGGAAAGTTTGATGATATGGTATTGCTGCTGCAATATTTTGGATGATAGGGAAGTTTGATGATATGATATTGTTGCTGCAATATTTTGGATGATAGGGAAGTTTGATGATGATGATGATGATGATGATAGTGAAGAGAAGAATCACAACTACCAACAGCGTCAAATAAATCTCTTTCTCTTTTTAATTTTTTTTCTTTTTTTAAATTTGTAAACGTGTTTCGCGCAGTTTTCCTTCCTTCGTCTTTTCACCGTTTTTGTCGTTGTCGTTGTCGTTGTCGTTTTTGAAGTAAATTTAACGTAAGATCGATTCCTGCTTGTTCAACGGAATTTCCTTCATTTTCTTGTTTATTCCATCTTGATGATCATAATAATGATAATATTAGCACAATGAAATGAATAAATTTTTAGCAAATCTTTGCTTGCAATTTTGATACCTAAAAATTTAAAAATGATATTACCATTTGTTTTATAATTACAAATGAATAATATAAATTCTTACAAGCATTAAATATTTTATAGGAAAATGTTTAATTCAATGGTTTCATTAAAAAATCTTTATTTCTGAATTTTTTTACAAAAACTAAATTATTTCTTTTTTATAATTTATGAGATATTTTTTAATATCATTTGATATATTTTAATTTTCGATTTTTTTTCTCTTTTATTCTTATTCCTAAAAATTAATTAGAATTTTGAGTTTTTTAAAAATTTAGAATTTTTAAAAGAAAAACATAACACACAAACACACGCACGATTTTTGGGAAGATATTGTTTTAGCATTAATGCAATCCTAAAAATAGGTAAGTTGTGTAAGGATAATAGAATAGGATAAGATAATATAGATAGCATAGTTTAATCTTGCATTATTAACCAATTTGAAACAATCAATCAAAGAATGATAGAATGCAAAGAGAGAATAAAATATTTAATTTGCTAATTTGGAAGGAATGAAGAAAGATCGAGACATAAAATTTGAAATGTTTCAATTGATGAGACTGATTTCCGATAGAGGATAATGAACTTTTTTCGTTCCAGTTAAGTTGATTATTAAATAAAACTTCTCGATATTGTATCTTCTAACAGAGCTATCATATTTTACCAATTAAAATATAAATTTATCGGATACAGTCTTATCACTGATAAATCCTTTAACAATTACATCCATGTCAAGGGAAAATGCTTTTATTTCATAAAACACTATCATAAGTTTGTTAAAAAATAATGATAAATTCAATATTTGCTTGAGTATTTTGCTGAGTGGGATAAATATTGCTTGTTAAAAAAATAGGAGCATTTATAATTTTTAAAATATGTATATGATATTAATAATTAATGATATGATATTAGCAATTGATAAATGATAAGTTATCAAAATATATTCTAGAGACTATGACAAATTTTTGACTTTTAAAATAAAATTAAACAAGTCAATATGCTGATATTATTTTATATAGCATCTCTCTATCAATATCTTTAATTTATATTAACAATTCATATTTTGATAGCTTATCATTTATCAATTATTAGTATCATATATAATTAACTTCCAGAAAGAGAATATTTTCAGGAAGTTAAAAGATGTATTAGATGCAAAAAATATATTATAATAGAAATGATATAAAAGAAATTTATTTGATTAAATTTTATAAGGAACACAAAATTGTTCAATTATTTGTCTTTCACTCTGAAGCTTACTGGAACAGTTCATTATATTATTCCGTTTAAATTCATATTCGACCGGAATGATAAAAGCTTTTCAGCCAATGATAATATTTGCTTCAATTTTACCAAAAAACAAAGAAATGAAATTTGAAAGAAGAAATACTGAGTAGAAAAGAATAGGGAAAGAAGAGAGAGAGAGAGAGAATATGGTTAACTTTTCTGTTTGCAATTACTGTACGAACAATTCCATAATTGTCATTTGTATTTTGTTGTTATCGAAAGAGTATCGTAGAAATTTATTATTTAACAAATTAAGTGAAAATGAATTAATCATTTCTATGCATTGTTCATTTTGTCAAAAAGTATTCGATGACTGAATGATTTCTTTATTTTTCTTAAATTCTGCAAAACATTTAATAATTAATTAATTATTTCCCTTAATGTTTATTATTTAGTAAATATTTGAAATGATAAACTTAAAGTAATTTTTTCCTCTTTTTATTGAATTAAAATAAAAGAAATAGTTTACTTTAATTTACTTAAAAACTAATTTTGAAAATACATAAAATAATGCCAATAATTTCATTTCATTTCATTTCATTTCCAATTACCATTCATTCATTCTTGAAAAAAGCTTTAAGGGAAAGGAAAAAAGATTTAAGTACAATTTTCTCTTTTTTCCTATCTATCCGATCCATCTGATATTTATTTCTTAATGAATGAATTTCGTAACAAACTATCCAACGGAAAAAGGAAAATGAATTTAATAAAAAATCTTCCTAAAATATGTCTGATTGAAAAAATGTGAAAAATACTTGTGATATAATTTAAAAATAATTCTGTTGCTAGATAACTTCCCCTTGTTTTAATCGAGATTAATTAATGATAACTGTTAAGATTATTATCAAAAGTATTATCGAAATAAATCTTTTCGATAAAAAAAAAACGTTACTGTCAACATTTTAAAAAAAGAAAACACTTTTTGTTTCTTTTTTTAATTTGTACAATTTGGTGACAAATGACAAGCTGAACATTTGATGGCAGTAGAAAAGATATAATTGATGTGAAATAACAAAATGGATGATATGTAAATTCCTTGTAAAATTTTAAAATATTTCACTATTTTCAAAAAAATTAAAATATTGTTTGCTGAAAAAGATAATTTATTTAAATTTAATGATAATAAACGGTAATTCAAATTAAATTTATTTGTAATAATTTACAACAATGTTGTTGCAGATAATAAAAAATGTTTGAAATAGTTTTTGGTTTGGGAATATATCGTTGAAGCTATTGTATGACCATAGATAATTCATACTAATTAATCAATAAATCATCAAATAATGAGTAATTATTAAAGTGATAGAGAAATAATTTTTTGTTAAATTTACGGAAAAATAATTTTGAACTTTTTGCAACAATTCCAAAAATCAAATGTATTTTAAATTAGAAAAGGTACTTCGTAAATTATCATTTAATTTTTATAATATAATATTAAATACAATTAATCTAAGGAAAATTGTTCAAATAATTACTCAAAATTACAATTTTTTAATTTTTTAAATTATTTTAAAACAAAAATTTGCATTTCATAATTTAATATAAAATATTCAAAACATAGAAAGAATGATAGTTTCGTATGATATAAATGAAACCAATAGAATAAATCGTTCTTCTAAGATGAAAGAATTTAATCGAATAAATAGTTTAATATGTGTAAAATCGATGATACTCAAAACTGTGACAGCGATTGGTATAAATCGTATTCAATCAGTTTCTCTTTGCCAAATATATCATAAGTGCTTTTATAAAAATGCTTAATTAAGTAGCGAAGAATAAAAAACAAAAGTAAATTACTGCAAACAATTGTTTAATACTTTAAAATTAATTATTGTATGACTTTCTCAAATAATAAATTACGGCAAATATCGGCGAAAAAGGAAGGAACGCTCTTTTTGTGTTGTTTAAATAAATCAAATATTTTGTGATTTAAAAATAAAAGAAAGTCAATGAGAAGTGAAAAATATATCACAACGGTATGACCTATTTTTATCTTTCAATTTTTCTATGTAACCAAATTGTTTACAGCAGCAATTTTGCTCTCGCATTACCGTACTTATTGATTATGTTGTCAATTAATAATATTTATTATTGAATAATTTTTTAGCATATAAGATTCATTCAATTATTTTATAATATATATAAGATTAATTTAAATTTTTCTTAATAATATTAAAATGTTTATAATATATCAATTTTTACAATATCATTTATAATATTAATTGAATTTACAAAATAATATAATATTTGAAATATTAATAATATTAATTGCATTAATCTTAATGACAGGTAGTTGTTTGAAAATCGATTTTATCCGTTTGTCAAATAGTTTTTAATTAACATTGTAATAAATATTTTCAAAATTTATTTTTCTTCTTTTTCAAAGTTTATAAGAAGAACTTATGCAAATTATGGCTTTTAACAACAATTGACAGCTTTGCTTCGTATCTTTTTTGTTTTCAAACATTTTAATTCAATCTAATTTATATTAATATCTTTAAAAAATTTTGAAAATGAATTATGGAAATATTTTATAGTTTAAAAAGTAAATAAAATCTTTTTGAAATTAACAACATAAATCAAAATTTATCACAAATTTATTTTAATAATTCTGTCAGCCAACTTATTCTTTCCTTTTATATTAATTCATCAATTCGTAAAAGTTTTATATCAAATAACAAATGAAAGTATTACAAAATCAAAATGATTTGAAAATGAAACCCGTAATATTTCCAACATAATAATTACTTCAATAATAAAATTAATTGTACGTTTCAATTAATTAATTCTATTTGTTAAGTAATGAATAGACAATATGCAAAAAGTTGCCACGTAAAATATGCAACAAAATTGTTCATTTGATTGTTTACAATTATTGCTCAGTAAATAACAAATGAAATTTGACAATTAAAATGTAAGAAAAGAATTGAACAAAATGATTTGTTGGATAGTTAGACTAATTTAACAATTTTAATTATTCAAAATTCTTTCCATAATCACTTTTTCTTCGTAATTAAAGTAGGTATCAGTGAGATTGGTTTAAAGTTTGTATTTGGCTGGCATTAATATATATAACTAAATAATTTAAAAAGCAAGCAATCATTTCAATCCAATCACTAAATAATTCATTCATTAAAAAGAGAGAATGAAAGAGACTTTTTATGTATAATTTTAATTTGCTATTATTCTTTAAAAATATACAATTCAAATAATCAATAATAATCAATATAATAATCAATATTAATCAATATAATAATCAATATTAATCAGTATAATAATCAATATTAATCAATATAATCAATATTTTGTGTGAAAAAATATTTGATAATATTGGAAATATGTAATTTTTAGATCAATGAAATTTATAAATATTTTCGAATTTCGTCCTTTACAGCTTTTTGTTGCCTTTCTTTCAGTCATTTTCTCTGCAAATTATCTTTCAAATATTTTAAAGTTAATTTTGAGAAATTTTAATTAAAGAAATATTTTAGAGTTAAAAAAATTGGTATTCAAAATAATTGCAAGCAAATTAAAGGTAATATATACATTAATTAATACATTAAAAAAATTTTTTACCGATGAATAGAGAAAAAGTATTTATTAATTTCTGAGCGATCAGAAATTAATAAATTGATAATTTATAATGTAATAAGACAAAGAAAATTTATTCTTAAATTTCTTAAAGAATTATTTCTAATAAATTTATTACAATTCAAATGCTTCATTGGAATCTAATTCATCGAAATTAAATTTTGATGTTTCACAATGAAATTTCAGAAAATATGGAAGATTTCGATGATCGTTGACAGATTTCGATGATCGTTGACATTCATAAAAGAAAGAGAATTTTAGGCATATTTTTGGAAAGGTTTATCATATACATGATCGATATGTTTGTTCCCGATGAAAGGATTTAACTTATTGAAATTAATTATTTCCAACTTTTCTATCTCATATCTTTCAATTTTCTACAAATAACTGCAAGGTATGTTACATAAAAGTTGACTTTTCTTTCATTGGTAGATCGATTTGTATGGCGGAATCTTCTCGACACAGTGCACAATTGACGTTTGATTGTAATGTGAAGGATAGAAGTGGTAGAAAGAAGAATGTCGCAAAAAGCCAACTAACACTGGCTAATGTTACCAAAAACACACCAACCTAAAATTTTAAGGATTATTTTGGTACCAATTTTATGGTTGAAAATTCTCAATAAGTATTTACAGAAGCGATAAGGAAAATTCAAAAATTCGAAAGTGCGATAACACTTCCTTGACAGTATAAAATTGAATTTAATGAATTAATTTTAGTAAATTTGATTTTTAGTAGCAGAAAAAGAGAAAAAAATTTATACTTGATGGAAAGCATGTGTTTCGGCAATTAACATTGAGATACCGGCGGTAAACGATGACAGAGCCGATAAACTGACCGGAATTACTGAATTACGAGCTGCCAGCCAAACACGATGCTTACCACAACCAATATTTGGTACGGAAACACCATAATGTAATGTAAAATCAAATGATAAGCCAACAACAAGAACCAAAATGATTGCTTCGAGAACACCGATCACCCATCCAAGTGTTGTCACACAGCCAACCGTTACAATAACAATACAAGAGATTGTTACTAATGCAATTAGTGATTGAAGCCGTAAATGAAGAAATGCAAAAATTGCCACAACAAATAACGATACAAGTAATGATTGACGACAATCGGTAATTATTGAATTTAATAAATCGTACCATATACAAATTAATGTCCACTCTGTGGTATACCAACCACCTGCAACTGTTTGCGCATTTAATTTTATCTGAGTAACATGTTGTCCATTAAATAAAATTGGAGTGATATTTTAATTAAATGTAAGTATTACAAATCCTTCATATGGCATACTGACAAATAAATCTTTTACAGAAATTGTGATAAAGCTATTAATTCTAAATATTCTCAAATATAACTGAGAAGAAAATCTCTTTTAATAGCAAAAAGAGGTTTAGTAATTTTATAATGCTAAATAATTTTGGAATAAAAATTATTTCAAACTTACCATAATTCATATTACTAAATGAGTGTCGAAATAGATTAAAAGAATAAGATAAATTTGTGAATCGATGTGAATATTTGAGTTGTGTTGGTATCAATGCCGTATAACCAACTAAGTTAAAAGTAGTATTATCATAAATTGGTGTATCATTATATTGTGTGTAAAGATATGCTGTTGAAAGTCGAATACAGTAATCTGTCAAATTTTCGTGAAAATTTGCATCAGCAAAATTACAACATACTTTGGATGGTTCACAGGTAAAATTACGACTCCAAATCAGATATCTAAAATGTATTTATATATATGTGAATAGTGGGATCTTTAAAAACTTAAAATTAAAATTTTATTTCAAATTAACATTTTTCGTCCTACAAATTTTTGTTTTAATTTAGAGAAAATTTATTTTACCTTTCTGGCCAATATTGGCTTTTATGTTTGATAAAATTTAATTTCCTGTAGCCGCGTAATTTCAATGCTAATGCTTGTATATCGGTTGTATTTTGAAGTGAAAATTTCGGATCATGCTGTATAGCAGTTAATTTATCCGGCTGAAAGGTACTTTGTGAATCGCGTCGTGTTAGACCCCACATTAATCGTACAGCAACAGGAATTTGAAGCTTATTAGCAACAAATTCAAAATTCTTCTCTGCATTACTATCATACCATTCATGTTCATTAGAATCGGTAAAAAGTTGTAGCGGATTGTAAGGTGGAAATTGCAGATTAGCATAGGTCAAATAGGTCATAGCAGCAACAATAGCAGTTAATAATGAGATCCAAATATAACGACCCGATATGATAACAATTGGTAGTAAATCATGCATTAAATAGTTTAATTTAGAAAATATACGCCATGTTATGCAACGTTGAATGTAACGATCCTGGAATATGAGCATAGCCGGAAGAAGTGATATTTCTAGCAGATAGTTGAATATTAATGTGATACCAGCAAATAAACCAAAACATCTGAAAAATAATATTTTTAAATTTGAGAAAGATTATCTTGAAGAGTTTCAGAGTTGATAAAATTGATAATATCAAGAGGTAATTTTAGCTAGAACCTAATCTGAAAAATTCTTTTCCACTTTACAAATCATTAAAATCTCAATGATATTATAATGCTAAAATATTTTCTTACTCTATGCAACAATATATTAATATTTATAAAACAAAAGAAGAAAAAATACTGAAATATATAAGCTTAATTTAATCGTTAAGAAAATTTCATTCAAATTTTTAAAAAATTTTATCCTAAGTTTTCAAAAAGAGATCTTTGAACTTTCAATTTAATATTTATGTAATAAAAGGTTAGTTCTGTTTAGAAGAGAAAATTGTTAATAAAACAAAAATAGAAATACAAACCGGAAGACAATAACATTGCTAAAAATATTTGTAAAAAATGGTACAGCTGTTGATGAAGAAGTTAATAGCATAGCGCTAGCAGTATGTGATAAGCATTGATAAATACCATGTGATGTTACATCAACCGGAAATGAATTCAGTAATACGAATGCATCATCTGAGCCAATTGCTAGTAGCAGGACAAAGATGATCAAATTCAGAAGCGGAAAATCGACCGTAAATAGTGAATACACCGCTAAAGAGCTTAGAACTGATGCAATTAATACAAAAGCAACCATTATACAATAAAAAATATTCAGCGAATATAAGAAGACGATTAAGAATACGGAAAATGCTGCACCAAAAGCAAGAAGAGAATCACGTTTGGCACCGTCATAGAGAAGGTCACGTTTGATATCCATCGATAAACCTGAAATACGTGAATAACGTGGATGATATCAGTGATTAACAGAGAAAGTTTTTATCATTTAATTTCTCTTTACAATAATGATATAAAATTGTTGGATGACAAAAAGACAATAAATTATACATTTTACAATCATACAACTTCAATTTAAAATTTTATCATTGATAACCTTTCAATAGTTTTTTAAATTAAATTTTTTGAAATTTTTAAAATTAAGATAAGCTTCTAACAATAATATTTATTAATAATATTACAATAATAATCAAAAAGCTAAGATATGATTATTTACCTTTTAGGATAAATTTTCGATGTTTCATTGAAAAATCCCTGAAGGCATTTTGTAAATTCAGATAATGCTGTATGGTTGTTTCATAATATAAACCCTGTGATCGATAACCGGATGATGTAAAAATTGGCAAGAAACCATTGATATAAATTGGTTTTGTGTTTAAATTTTTTGGTAAAATTCGATAGAATAAATCAAAGATCATTTGAGTTGAACAATTATCGGGAACATTTGAGCATTGTGGACAATCCAAGTAACAATCACGACGACAATTGATAATTTCACGACGATATGATCGACAATAGTCAATGATAGCACGACCAGACTGTACATCATTTTCAGTAAGGAATGAACAATTGGTCAGAAGATTAGGTGATAGGCATGATAAATAATTCGATAAGCTCCAAATATTCCTGAAAAAGAAAAATAGCAGCATGATAGAATTTAAAAGTTATCGAATTTAAAAATAAATTTCCGATTTTGTTTATAATTTATGATATGCTTTTCTCTAATATAAAAGAATATATATATTAATTATTAATTAAAATTTAAATTTTGCTCGTAGTATTGCATTTATAAATGACTAAGAGTAATCAGATAATAAAATAAAAGAGAGTGTTCAATATTTCTTAATGATTTAGGAATGTAATAGTGAGAATTCGAGATTCTGATTGAAATTATCGATGATGATGATGATGATGATGAATATTTCGTATTAATAGTATTTATAATTAAGATGGGATAGATTAGAAAGATTCAAAATTTCAGGAAGTAAGAATAGGAATCCGGATTTTTAAATGGCAAATGCTTTTCTTTTTATTTTCTCTTTTATTTTCATTTTCATTTTTACCTTTCTGTTTCGCCTTTTTTTCCTCTCTTTATTACCTTAATAATAGTCAATGATCTTGGAAAAGAATCCAGTGGAAACGGAGGACAGAAATACTGAGGCGATTTACATGAGGATAATTTTTTTATCACCTTACTGATACCAATGCACGATTGAGATTGCACGACATTAACAAACATAGTTATTGGTATAATGATAACTGTAATAAATACTAGCAATATGGGGAAATAGATGAGAAGAATATTGTCTTTTCAATTAATAGCTTCTGCTAAGTTCAATCTATGATCATAAGAGCCAGAAGTATTCTGTGGTAATTGTGGTTCTATGTAATATTGACGATAATGATCAATCAGTTCTACTATCCTTATCCATCTTCAATTGTTCTTTCACTTGTTATCTAATTGCTCCTCTTGTGTTCATCTTTTGATAAAATATCGCATTGACTTCCGATATATAGGTCAAGACCCAAACTCTATTTTCTAAAACTAAAGTCTGAAATATTTGCCAAACTGTACGAATGATCCATCAAATCATAACCATAATATGATATAATCACATTCATTATCCATTACTTTCAGCAGTACAGTGAGTGAGTGACCTATCGATATCATCATAACGGTCATTTAATAGTAGCACTGATCGAAACTTACAGGACTATCCTATTGCTTTTAATAAAATTTCACAACAAGTAGCTAAGGAAAAAATAGGCATATTCACTTTATGAACGAATAATATGCAACTTCTTGAACGGTCATATTTTTCATAATTACCCTAACTTTTTTGATTATTAAATTTCATTCAAGAAATTTCAGAATCTTAACATTTAATATTTAGAAGTAGAAGAGTAATTCCCGATTAATTCCGAATAAAAACGCCTACAATTAATTACTGATAAAAGTTGTGTGCATCCTTCCTTTTTTCTTTGAACATGCCTACCTCTTTGTCTAAAATTTGAACAATCAATTATTCTGATAACCTAGAAATCCAGAATTTTATTGATGTTTGATTTACATTAAAAGAAAAAAAACCGATGAGTTTTCCGGTTCAAAAATTTCTGAAAATGAATAGGAAAGCTTTTAACTTTTTCGGTTTTAATCCATTCGTTAAATGTAATTCATTCAAAAATTTGCAGCATTCAAATTTTAAAAAGTAACTTTTAATAATTCAATCTTTATACTTTAAAAGAGACTGATTCTTAATCAATTTTAAATGATTTTTTTCACAACCTTTAACCTTTCACCTAGATGATTTTTGATTCTACGAATTTATAAAACTTTCCGATGAAAAAATAATATTTTATAAAATATAGCATTTCGTGTAGATCTCGTTAATTTGTTATTATTGAAATAGTAAAAATTTGAATAGAGGAAATTTTTCATATCATAATTTACTTTTAAAATATTTTTCAGTTTTTTTAACCAAGGAATGTAAATTTTTTGTAGTAAAAAGATAATCGATAATTTGATATTTTAAAATGAATCAAAATTGAACAATACTGCTGAAAATGCAATAAGATTGATCGGATAACGATTAGTTTTATCATTAATGTAAAACAAATAATAGAAGATATGATGAAAATGCCGTAGGCATTTTTAGAATTTTCAATAAAAATTGATGATTATCTGATGATATATTTTCATCAATTTGTTATGCATATCATATTCCGGTTCTTTCAATGAAATCGGCAAAGCAAAAAATTTTTCTCTTCAACAGGATTTCTTCTTTCTCTCTCTCTCTCTCTCTTTTTCTCAAAAAGCAATTTTACATATGAAAATTACTTTTTATGATTTGGCTTTCATTCGATTTTCTTTTTCCTCCGATCTCCTCCTATCTTCACCGTTCCACCGCCGTTCCTCCGTCTTTCAACAAAAATAATTATGAAAATGATGATTCATTGAAGAAATGATTTGATATTGATTTAATTACATCATAAGGTGACAGATATATTTTGCAACAAAAAAAAATTTATAAAAACCTGTATGGTGTCATATTGGCAAATAATTGTAACTGATCGCTGAGTGAGATATGTAATGAACATAGCGTTTTCAGATAGTCAAGGTCAAATAAGTCATCATATGAGTTCACTTCAACAACGAATTGTGTTAAATGATCCACTGAAAATATTGTTGAGATATGGGTCAAATTTTTAATTTTTAGTTTAATTAGTTGTTAATTCAGGATATTCATTTATGAAGAACTAGAAATTTTATATATTTTGGCAATAATTTTGTTTTAGTTTTAGGACGAATTATTTATTCAATATGAAAAAAATGATATATTTGAATGTTGCAAAAAATTTATCCAAACTTTGTTTACCTTTTCTGCATTTAATTATGCAACAATTTTTTACGCATTTATTTCGAAATATTATTGATTTTAGTGACACCCTTTTTTAATTTTAAATTAAAATTATTGATTTTTGACGACAATTTTTTTAATTTAAAAATTTTAACAATAATTCAAAAAATTCGTTATTCTTTGAGAAGATATATTACATTGATATGTATACTTTCTGTTTGATGACATATTAAAAGTGGTTTTTCCTTTCTTTTTACTCATTCTCATAAAACTTGATTCGGCCGCATTACGACATTTCTAAAAGTTTTGAGTAAACCAAAAAGATAAAGGAAATTGTTGATTGATTCGCTGCTTCTTTGATAATCTCTCTCCTGCCCATAATATTTACTTTTTACAGAGATGGCCTTAATTCATTGGCCTTAATTTAATTTTGGCCTAATTTTTGTTGAAATTTAATCCTTTCAGGCTAATCCTACGAATATAATTTTTATTTTAGTTATGGTGGAGAAAAGAAAATAAAATTATACTTCCTGGAATAGACGTTTCATAGCATGCTACTTGTCCAAAAGTATTCAATAATTCATCAGCCCAAGAACGCTTTAAACGATTTTTCTGCACCGTTGTTGCATTTGATAGGACAACTCGATTACCCATTTGCATATTCCAGGCCACTTTTTCCCATGTTAATCTTGGCCCGGAATATTCCGTATTACGTGTATCGAAACCCTGAAAAGGTATTAATTTTCTATCAAATCAAATAAATTATATTTTAATGAATATGGCATATTGGAATTCATATTAGAAATTATTTCTGAAAATTGAAAACTCTTAATTTTACGAATTCATTTTCAAAATAGCCTCACCTCAAAATAATTTAAAGAATTAATCCGTAACAATTAATTTTTCAACGGTATTATAAAATTTTTTTAAAAAGAACGTTTGATTAGTTACGTATATTTAAATATGTGGAAGTAATGCCAATAATTACTGACATTTTTCTTTATTTGTTAATATCAAATTAGTATTTTTCTATCGATGCTTATTTAAGTTGAAATTTTCAAATTTAATTTTAATCTTTTTGTTTTTATTTTCCTTTCGTTTAAGTCTATCTTTTTCCGCTTTGATACTAATAAATGAACTAAAATTAAATTTGGTAATAAATATCAGTAATTTTTTCACTCAATTATAATTGCTAAAAAGTAAAACTTCAAATGGACCTCTCTTTCACATCAATCTTTTAAAATTTAATAGCATGAATAGATGCCAACCCGCCAACAATTATTTACCACTTTCTTTCAAATTCAAATGGTCCATTTTGAATTTGAAAAGTACGTAAAATTTCAAGCCAAGGTCGAAAATAAAAATAAAGATTATAATAAACAGAAGCTGATGTTAAAAAAGATTTTTGAATATGATGAATATGAAATTGATAATCTCTAATACTTCGCTTATTAAATGAACAAAAATCGATTCTCCACACCAAGCAAATTCGGTTTTCCGGATTTAACCCACGGGTATATATATTTGTAGCTTAAATCAACAGGTCACGGTAAATGATTTATCTCCTTGACTACTATTATTAATATTTTAATTCTAAGAAAATATTTGCAAAAAATTCGTGGTAGAAAAAAGGAAACATTGGAAGAGAAATTTCTGTTTAAAATAGAACATAATTATGAATGAACTATAATTGCTCATTTTTGATCATTGTAATTTCATTGATTAATATTTGAATATATCTAATTCAAATATCTAAATTCATTAAGAATAGATGAAACTTTATTAGTGAAATTTGAAATCTTTCTCTCTCTCTCTCTCCTCTCTCTCTCGCATGAAAATCAATTAAGTACTCCAAAATATTCACTCAACAAATTTCAATTACAAAAGGCTGTTTCTACATTAATGCACTACTTGCAATCGAAATGTTATACAGATGATATCTTGCTGAATGCGTGGATTCAATTTCACTTTTCAATTACATCTTTTAAAATATTGAAGTGGCACATATATAAACTCATTTTCCCTTCCAATAAGTTATATACCTGTAAATAAATATTAGATAAATATAAAAAATCCAAATTTTCATATGTAATTATCGCAAGATATTTTGATAAATTTAGTATAAATTCTTTTAATAAGTGATGCGAAAGATTTTCGACACAAATTTTACATTTAATATTATTTAGTTATATTTATAATTATCATATTGAGGACAGATATTTGAATATCCGTTTTCGATAGTATTTTAAGATTATTTATTTCAATGAATTTAAAGAACGATTTCCAATATAACGATTTCCAATGAATAGAAATTCGAATTACTTTTTCCTTTTACATTATTCCATTTTACACATCAACAACTTCTTCCATTTCTTTTCTTTAATCGTAAATATAAAACTTGAAATTCCATGCATTGCCTGCCTTTCTCTTTTTTTTTTGATTAATAAAATTCAATTTTTTAATTAGAAGAATTATTTAAAACAAATATTTTATGAAATGAATTTGAGTATAAAGTTATCATGACCTTTGAACAAAGAATTTCTTAATTAAAATTAAAATAACAAAACAAAAAAAAGGATTGAAATTAATAAACGAAAATCAAAAATTGAAGAATTTAAAGAAAACAAAAGTCCAAAATTAGAGTAATTTTTCTTTGAAGAGAATATAAAAAATGTATTAAAAAGAACTTACAGTTTCAGGATTTTGATTAATTTGTAAAGGATTAAAGAATAATACAGTGGCAGGTATGATTGTTGTTATCATTGATGTTACAAGTAGAATAGTACCCGGATAATTGAATAGAAGTGTAGAATAACTAGCTAGTAAATGATTTAAAATACCACTATTTTCAACTTTATCATCCATTTCTTACTTTTTTTTCTTTTTTCTTTTGCAAAATTGAAGTGAATGAATTTATTGATACAACAATAACTACAATAAATATAATTGCCAGTTGATGAAGGGAAAGAATCCACGATCCAACCATGCATTCACTCGATTGAGTTGGATAGATAGAGGAACGATCGCATCCGATGAATGAATTGTTGGATGGCTGGATGGATTGGATGGATAAATATCTGATGTCAAACCTTTTCCCGTAGCGCCACGCCTACTAAATTGCCTGTTGATTAACGATCAGTTACGATCATTTTTAGATGGATTGTGGTGAAATATGATGAATGCAACATTCCCAACGTATCATTGTTCTATTCTCTACCACTTCTTTCTACCGAAATACCCTTTTTGAGATAACTTAGAGGTGTGCATTACACTGTTTATTTTTAAAAATTTAAAGTGCTACTAGAGAGATTTTGTTTTTTGGTGATCGTAATTTTTGAAATTCTATCATGTAATTATAACAAATTATAAATTAATTACTGTCGCAGAGAAAAAAGAGAAAAAAAAGCAAAGGAAGTGAGCTATAACCGAATCGAATTTTCTTTTCCTTTTTTTTCTTCCGAATAGAAGTTTTCTTTTTTTCAATTCATTTACTGTTGAAAATTTTATGTAGAATTCTTCACGATTTTAAATAGCAATAATATGATGTCTTAAATCATTTTGTGATACGGTATCGCACTTTATCAGAAATTGATGCTTTCATGTCAGGATGTTAGCAACTTGTTTTGTTAAATGCAACTTTTTTATCAACCTCGAAAGTGTCTGTGAACATGAAAAAGAAATGAAATTCTAAATATCACCTATCAACAGCTTCTACGTAATGAACGATCGGATATATTCTCCAACTCTATAAGGGATCAGATATCAGCTATTAGTTTTATAGCAAAGATATGATAATCAAAAGAACTTTATAAAACATACATAAGACGAATCTTCTACACCACAGTTTATTAACTCATATAAAACATTAGTGCGTCAAACCAGAGAATAAACAATAAAAAGATTTCAAGAATAGAAGTAATAGATGCAACGATAATTCTAAAGCGTTCCGAATTGCGGTTCTTCTTCTACCACACCAAATGTTACTAAACCACAATGTACAGCAAATAACACCGATAACGTTAAAGCGCCTACAGCAAAGAAGATCGTTTCAGCTACCAGACCCTGAACAATAATTTTTTCGTGACTTCTGATTGAACAGACTTCCATTTCATTGTTAACAAAAATATTCAGGCATAATCAAAACGATTTAAGCATAGGGAAGATTTACTAGCATCTACAGTTAATAGATAGCTAGGAAAAGATCTATAGGAAGGGTTTAACTTATATCTATTTCCTTCAGCCTATCAAAGTCATTATACTTTTATTCCTTTTTTTATATTTGCTACTTGATTATTTATAAACTCACTGATGAGTGTTGTTCCTTCGCTGTAGTTCGCCGCAAATTCATCTGTACTGCTTCTTTTTGTGCACGACGCCGACTATTCCATTTCTCCTGAAGATTATTGTTCCGCAACAAGTGTAACCATATATAAAATATTTCATAAGAAGCAATGATAACCTTTAGAGCAGTTTGTTGTCTTATCTGAGTTTCACTGAGTGGCAGATATATGCTTATAATAGATTCGATAAATCGTACAACATTTGGACAACTCATTATGTGTTGCTGCAATCGATCCGACGGAAGTGGTAGCTTTAGAATTGGTGCCAAATAGCCAAAAATTAAGGCATCAATGGAACTTGGTCTGAAAAAGAAAGATAAATATGAATATACAGAAAGATAAATATAGATAATATATAAACACATATAACCTTTCAAAAAAAACCGAAATATTATATATAACCTGAAACTGAACATGACAAATTACGTTTCAGTATTACGTACTTGTCACCATAGAAATACTTTTTATTATCAAGTCTGCATTCTAAAAACTTGATTGTATTTACGGCATCATGAATAATTTGCGTTTCATTACGACCGCAAGCTGAAACGTAGGCTTGAGCCCGTCTCCGACGTTTTTCCAGATAATATAAATTATAACCAAATGGTAGTTGTTTTGAATACCAATGCTGCGTAATCGCTGAGTAATTATAAGAATCAAGCCACAGAAATTGCAACTAAAACAGAGAGTCTGAATTTCAAAAGGAAAATTCAAAAAGTTCCTAGCATATCATAAGTACTTGCACCTGGCATCGCGAAAACTTCGAATAATCTTGATTTTGAACAATTAAATCAATTCCAAATCAGTTGCAATAAATAATAACCCACTAAATAAATAAATAAAAATATTAAACCATGAATTGGTTTGCACCTCAGCAGGATAGAAATTTCGATGCATTAAACTTGAATATGCTTCAAATTCGCATTTTTCACTAGTGCTCAATTCGCTGTCCAGCACAACTTCCTCAAATAACAACGATTAATTCTCTACAAATAAAAATTTTGCCATTTGTTCGCTTTTTAAATTACAAATGAAATCTTTTTAATCATTTCAACTTCTATATTGCCAAAGTACACAAAAGAATTAATTCTATCAATTGTCCCATCAGGAAGAGTGTGATGTGTGTACGTGTTGTGTTTGTTATGTGTATATATGTATATGTATGTGTACATTTTGTGATGGTTTCCCAATTTTCCATCAACAGTATACCGTTCATCTACTAATGATTATTGTCTATGGAATCTAGGCTCAAGTAGTGTTAGGAAAAAAATACGTTTTTTATGCTGGAACATATATCAGTATACAATGAAATGTGAACTACGGGCTTCGCATCTCAAATTCATAAAAAGATACGCAATATAGCTAATTGTTACCAAGAAATTATTCAGTACTAAACCACTATTAAATTCATACCTGGCCGCTTTTTCTTAACATGTTAGCAAACTTATCGAAGTCATAAATTTTCTCGACCATATTACTTCCATCAACAAACATTGGATATTCACCTAAAACAATATTCAGCCGGTTGCAAGTGAAAACTAAATTAAATTGAACCTTTTTCGGAATGACTGGAAAAATAATTAGTAAAATTTAACCTACCATTCTGACTTTTCCATGGTGACCAACTAGGAATCACAGATACCGGTGCGGCACAAAATTTGGCACATGCCTGTTAAAATTATCAAAGTTGTTAACTTTTCTCTACTTCTTTTTCTTCAAAAAGCAGAAAATTTCGAAGTGAACAGGATAGGAAGAATCTCGAAACTTCAATTTTCATTTTCGATTTAAATTCAAACTTTCAAATTTCAGAATTAACTTTCAACAGAAAGTACAGTTCGTTACCATGAACTGAAGACAGCGAGAATCTACTGAAGGTAATCCAAAATCAGATGGCCATATATAGAGCTCCATCTTTTCTAACTTCCGCGAAATTAATCTCCACTTTTGTAAAAAACAATCTGAAAGAAATAGTAAATGTTCAACGTCTTTTTTTCTTTTTTTACTATCAATTTTAATTGAAATTTGAATGGAACTTTACTTTTTGATAAAGTACATCCAATCAAACTTCTTTTTTCTATTCTAACTGAAATTTCAAATGAATTTCAAAAATTTAATCAAACTTTACTTTTCAGGGAGTGAATGTTCTAAAATTTTGTACTTCAAATTTATTAAATGCTTTAATTATCAAAAACTAAAGGAGCACATTTCATTTACGCTTCCTTTTTGCACATTCAAAGGAAAGTAAAGGCATCGAAATAGCGAAGAGATAAATAGAGAAACGAGAGACAAAATTCTCTTAAAGAGGAGGGATATGATTTAGAATGAAAAGACATAATTGCTATAAAATGAACGATATATCATTGATAACAGATTGAGAAATCATCAAGCGAAACATTATGTATATGTGTAAAATCCTCATAAATCCCGAGATATCTCTAAAACACAGTACCATATCCATCAAAATGGCCAACACTTTTTTGCTGACAGCTTATGTGATCTATGGTGGGGTTACGTTCGATTTGCGAAAGGTTTTAAGATAGTATACTATATATCTTTTTTTCTTTTCACTTCATACTTTGTATTTATTAAATTTTTTTTTTTTTGGACATGCTTAATGATATGAAGTAAATAGGCTTCTGAAGTGAAATACGTAAGATAAGATGATTATATAAATGAAGCAATACGTGAAATGGCATGTTGTATGGTATAGCTTATTATTACATAATCCAGAGTATTCAAGGAATATTCTCTGCCAAAAGATAATATACAGTTCTCCACATATTCAAGCACGTTTTGATGTTTCCGATCATTTTCAACTTAAGGCAATATTCCTGCAACAACAATATACAGAGGAATAACATAAAGGTAGAGATGAACACGTTAGAGTATGTATACATAAGATGTATATATAGTGTGCACTTATGATATAGAGTAGTAATCTGATGGAGATATTCAATTAAGATATAGATAGTTATTCATAATGCATTCGATAGGTAATGATAGAAGTGTGATGAGATCTAAAAGGATAGATCAAAATGTTTTGAAAGTAATCCACATTTCTGCCATATCTTTATTGCTATTCATCATCTAAACGCATTTTTCGATGTACTTTCTTTGTGCTTCCAGTACTCTCCAGCGCTTCATAATCGACATTCCCGCTTCTGTCTATCAAATTACACTTTTTTTTTCAGTATCTCTTCTTTCCGATCTTAACGTCCATACCTCGCGAATTAATAGCAATTTCATCTTCATTGTTGGAAGGTTCGCACATGCTGGCATGATAATCGATGGTATTGTGGACAAAAAATTCCTGAGAAATTAATTTTCTTAGTCAATTATCTTATCATTCCGTATTCCTTCAACATTACGAAATATTTTAAGTTTCCAATGTCAAATTGAAATAAACTTAGTTTTAGCTTTTCCGAAATTGATTTCTTTTAATTTGTTTTCTAATAATAACAATTGCTTATGAATGCACAGAAACATCTGGTCTCTAAGCGTTAATTAATTTTACTATAATTGTAATTAACAATCGTTGGTATATCCGCAGTGAGCTATTCCGTTTGCTTCACACTCACACTTTTTTCTTTTATTATGCAGTTACTGTTGTATTCATTTTTAGCTTCACCTGTTCATCTTTCGTAATTGTCATCTGATGATTCTACATGTAAATGTGTGAATTTCTCTTTATGTGAAATTATAATTCTATATGTGAATGTGATTTATTCATACATGAGCCCAAGAGGGGGGAAAATTTTCCGTGTATTACGTGTCAAGGGAAATGGGATGTATTTTTAGAAAATTAATGTTACAATATTTCCTTCAGCTATCAGAATTATGGAAAGTAAAACGGATGTAACGTTTGATGATGAGGAGGAAGGCGAATTGATTAACTGGAAAGTCACCGATGACGCTTATGTATCTGCTGATGCCGTCCTTCTTATTTACAGCAACAAAAGCGGTGAGAAAAAATCATTAAAAGCATCTGTATCCGGTGTAGTTACTATCGATGCTACCATCAAAAAAGGGCAAGTAAGTATGTTTGATGATATTTATTTAGAATTTCTCGTTTATATATATTACGTTTCACTTGTTAAAATTGACAGATAAAAAGCGCTTAATATCGCTTAAATACGTAATTAATTTTTTTAAATTAATTTTTAATGCGTAATTTTCAACTTCTTTACTTGTACTAACAGATAAACAGTAGAATAGCAGTTGAACTTTTTTTTAAATTTTACTTTATTCTAACCGAGCATTCCGAATTTTAGTACTTTGTGTTTATAATGTGAGCATTGTTTTTTTTTTTATTATCTGTAGCGATGGGATCGCATGGCGCTTAACAGAAACTATAACTTTGCTCCTCATAATTTCATTTATTTCTTATTTAAAAAATAAAAATTCATATTTGTTGTTTTACATGAATTCTTTAAAGAATCCTTAAGGTTCAAAAAACTATTAGTCAGGTTGAAATTCTTCGCAGAAATACGTTATTTTTTTGCAGAAATTAAAAAAGGGTATGATTATTGCCAGTTTACGACCTTGTACTCATGCAATTGTTATCAAAGAAATGTGTGCATCGTGCGGCAGGGATTTAAGATGGTTGGTTTATATTTTCATCAATTAGCATTTTCTTGTGTTTTTTGAGGAACTACCTTAACATATTGTTTCTGGTTGAAGCTTATGAGAGAAATTTAAGACTTAAAGCATTTTTACAGTAAACCAGGGACTTCTGGAGATTTGATGGAAGCCAGTACTGCAAACGTATCAATGATACACCACGTTCCTGAATTGATCGTCTCTGATGAGGTTCATTCGAAATTTTTCAAATACACTGAACTGTCTGTCGAAAATTCATCGTCGTGTGCTGAAATCTGCTGTTTTTTTCAATAAGATATTATATTTAGCTATAATTTTAGCTAGCTCGAAAAATAGGCAGTCGTGATCGTGAATTGCTTTTAAAAGCACACAAATTGGTGTTGTTGGTTGATTTGGACCAAACACTCATACATACAACCAATCATACTTTTGAAGTGGACAAAGATACGGTAATCAGCTCAAGATTTGAAGATATGTTTTAATAGTTTTCAATTTTAACTTTTTTTTGCCACAGCCAGTCAGATTTCAGACTAATTACGAAAGGCAATGAAAAACAAAGTTCAATTTTATATTAATTACCTAAAAAGAAATTAGTTTCCAAACGGAGAAAATTAATATTCAACCGAATGTCCAGTTTATGCTTTAATGTGCCTACTGTGTTACTACTGAACGTGAGTACTTCTACCGGGTTTTTTTCTTCAGGATGTTTTACATTACAAATTGAAAGGAACTAATTTCTATACGAAAATTCGTCCATATGCACGCGAATTTTTGAGACGTATGGCTGAAATGTATGAAATGCATATAATCAGTTACGGAGAAAGACAGTATGCGCATCGTATTGCTGAGTTTTTAGATCCTGATAAGATATATTTTGGCCATAGTTAGTTGCTTGTGCTTCTATTGTTTTAGAGAGCAATATTTTATATGGACTGTATGGATTGCTTGATTTATTTGACATTTTCCAAAAGATCTATTGATAGTACCGGAAACATTTGACATGATATATTTCAATATAAAATTAGACTTTGTGCCTGAGACTGCACCGTTTTTTGCTAAAGACACATCATCATCTTTTCAAGGTTTAATTAGCGTGAATTTTTGTATGAATTTTGTTTATTTCTTTCCCAAAAAGTAGTTGTGTTTCGCTTCAGAAATTTTGTATGCCAAAAAACTTTGCCTGAAAATTTGCCTGCAAATCATGATATAAAATAATATTTAAGGGATATTGTCACGCGATGAATTGTTTTGTGCGATGTATAAAACAAAAAATATGCAAGCACTCTTTCCATGTGGTGATCATATGATTGTGATGATTGATGATAGGCCTGATGTTTGGCAATACTCAGATGCTCTTATTCAGGTGACTGAAAACTTGATAAACTTCGTAATGTAATTTCATCACGAATACCTAAATACATCAATATTGTCATGACTGCATAAATTTAAGATAGTGTAGTTGGACTTGATTTATAGGTGAAACCATACCGATTCTTCAAAGAAATTGGTGATGCCAATGCGTCGAAGTACGAAAAAGGTGAACGTGTTCATTCTGATAGTTATGCGGAACAGGATATGGAATCAGAGGATGATGAATCATTAGAATATGTTTCAATTGTTCTTACTAAGATACACAGGGCTTTCTATGAATTGTTTGACGATGCAAAAGTAAATCGCTTCCCGGTACGTTCAACAAATTTCTCTATTTATTTCGGAGTAAAATATCTAGAATTTTCTATACATTTTTATTTTATTCACTAATAAAATTTGTTTATAAGCGGTATAAAAATTTGGACATATTTTTTTTTGATTTTGTTCATTAATAAAGTTTGTTGGTAAGCGATATAAAAATTTTATAATTTGCCATAGGGTTTTGTTACTTACCTTTGAGAACAAGTATTGCTTGACTGTAGTACTCGGTGTTAATGGAATATCATCAAAAAAATGATGAAACTCGTTAAGTTAAGATAAAACTTAAGTGAACTATTGGGAAATTGTTTGTACTAATAGTTTTCGCAGTATGCTTTATAAACATTTTCTGTTGAATGTTTTCCTGGACATTTATGACATAAAATTTGGAATTTGAGGACTTGAAAGGAATAATATCATATTTTCGAAAACAAGTATTGCGTGATTGTTCAATAGTATTCAGTGGCATTGTACCTGTTGGTGTTGATATTAAAAAAACAGAAGCATACCGATTATGTGTGCAGTTTGGTGCAGTTGTTACGGATAATGTGAGTAGTTCCACAACTCACGTGATTGCTGCACGGTGGGGGACAACGTTAGTGCAGTTTTCAGTTTAATTCTACTTTCATTTGTTTTGTTTTTGTTTTTTCTTGAGGGAATGTAAGCATATAATGCTTGAATAGATGAGCTTTCAAATTTTTAATCGAAAAAAAAAACTTTTTGAGCGCTTTGTAACTTTGCGTTATGGGCGGCCATCGTCATACTTCCAAAATTATGTTCCGATTGCATGTCTGCATCTCTGATAACGATGGACGAGTGGTAGCATAAATGATTCAGTTTGGACTTTTCGGAATTTTATATGCTATCTATCCTTTCGGGTCATCAGTCAAAATGATAACTCTGAGCATAATATTTCAATTCTACCACTCATTACCGTTTTTGCTGTCACATAAACTATTTTGATTCGATTATGTCAGGAAAAGAGCTGGTTTAGCGATATTTCATAGCCTTTTGTGAATTTCTTGCAAATTCCCAAATTTTAATCTTTAGCTCCTTGAAAATTTTCAGAGTGCTATCATTTCTGTGAAAATACTTTCGATAGGTACACACATGCACATTTTTTAGGAAAGTTTATGAGGCTAACAAACTACCAAATATATCCATTGTAAATCCTAAGTGGTTATTTGCCTGTGTCGAAAGATGGGAAAAGGTATCGTTCAATTAATTCAGTTTGTTAAATATGCAAATTTATATTTATTGCAACATACATTTCAAGCATTTCAACAAATATTCAGTAAAATATCCCGATTACTAGAGCGGTAGCTCGTTACATACTATTGTTATGGTGAAACTCACGTATCAACGATGATTTTTTTAGTCACTATTATTTTGTATGGATTAAAAAGGAAATTGAATTTTACTTATTTAAATCATTGTTTAATTTATACTTATATTTTCAGGCAGACGAAAAAGAATTTGAATTGTTGAAGGATGAAACACGAAGCGGAGAAAGACTTCAGAGTGGGACTATCGTCGTTGATGAAATTTCAAGGCTACCTACATTGGGTAAAGAAGCCTTGTCGCTTATGACTGATGAAGTAGGTTTCCTGTTTTATTTTTTTAATAACCCAAATTTTATCAATTTGAAACTTAGAATTATTTTCAGTTGTTGTTGATTATCTTTACAGATTATTTTATCTATCACTTCAGGTTGATGAAGCATTATCGGAAGATGCATCAGATGATAATGATGACGAAGATTTAGAAGAACAATCGCTGGCGAGTTCATCCTCAAAAGAAGAAATAACTGTGAAAAGAAGATATGAAAAAAACGATGATGAAAGTAGTGCTTCATCCAGTAAGAAACAGGCTCTAGAAAAGGAAGAAGGGAATGAATCCGATAGATCATCGTACTCCGGTGAGTCAGAATCAGATGATGATGACATGGCAGCTGATGTTGAGCGGCAGTTTTTTGCAATGTAACTATTTGCTTTTGTTCGTTACTTCAGATCTTCCATTTGTCAACTCTTGGGTTACTTCTTATACTACCTCAGGTATATATTTACTCATTTTTATTACTTTCTAATGATCATTTCTGACAAATTTAATCATTTATGATTAAATTTACGCTTTTTTTTGATTTTTATAAGTATCTTAGGGATGATAAACTTTGAATAAAAGAGGTTACTTAAATAGAAGAGGAAAATCACATGTTAAATTTATATGTTTTTTACGAAAACATACTCCAGAAACAGTTACATGAATTTCTTGCCATTTCAGGCCTTCTCCATTGAAGAATATGCTTTTTAATTGCTAGCATTTTTGTACATTATTCTGCTGTGTTGTTTTTTGTCAGCACGCTTTTGATGATATCATAATTACATTTGTTTTTTATTATGTTGTTCTTTTTATTATTTATTGCCTATCTTTTTGGCAGGGTTTTTATTATGGTTTTAATTCATGGAAATTAGAACTTTGCGCAGATTGTACTTTGTTACTGGACGGATTTGACCTATTTTTGTTGAAGAAAGAAGCAAAATATTCCGAGTGAATTGTTAGTCAGCTTTCCCAATTGAATTTAGAAAGCAAAAAACGAATCAAAATTTGGATAAACCCGTCTAGTTCCTAAGTTTTTTGTTTTGCAGAGTTGAATACGATATTCTGTCTTATTTAAAAAAGCCTTTCTTTTCACTCTTTGTGATCATCCGCTTATTCTTCCAGCATCAAACAATTTCTCTCTACGGGTTTTGCTGTTATTTGTACATAAATAAAATGATTTATTCAACAGAAAGTTTTGCGGATAATGCTGATCTGGTTTAATCAGTTCTATAGCTTATTTAATTTCTTTTTTTCCCATTTCAAGAGTTATAATCTAATGTCATATTATAAGATTCGTCATCTTTTAGTTCGTTGTATAATGTTGATCCAAGATCTATTGGATCTATTGGATCACTATTGGATCTATTGGTCAATAATCCAATACTATCACTGAAAAAGTGTTTATTGTATGAATCAACTAAAGTGAGAGTTGTTTTGCGCTGGAGATGATATACATGAAATATGAATAGTACCGATTATGCTACTAGCGATGAGTAGCATCATTTGTCCTATTTTATAATTGCGAAATTTTCCTATAGATTTTTATGATCCAGTCAGCCCTACATTATTTATCTAGTGGGGATACATTCAAGATTTGTCGATAGATTCGCCATATATGTGTGCAAATTAAGGATCATATTATTGCAAAATTGATTTTAAATTTGAGTTATCTGACGGATCTATAAAGAAAATGATCTAAAGGATCTGGGATGGTATTAATGTTACAGCAGTATTGTATATAATTATGTCAGTTGTAGGAAACTCGATTTTCGTTCATCTTACTTCACATTTATCATTATTATAAGTGATTAACTTGCAGTAGAAATAAAGTTCGATTATCAGATTTCTAGATTACACCTATTTTAATGGGTAAAGTTTGATAAGAATTTGATGGTCGATCAATTTTGGTTTCAAAAATTTGATTTGATCTGACTTAGAAAGTATTCGAATGAATAAGTTCACTATTTTGCAAGACATCAAGAGCCTTATTAATCCCAAAAACTCATTTATATATTTTTCCTAACTGCTGAATGGAGATGAAGTGTTAACTTATTTCACTTATAGAATAGATTCAGCGAAATTTTTATAAAAAAAAAAATGCCATATACACCCGAGAGAAAAGATTTGTAAGTTTTGAGAGAATTAAAATAATTTCATTTCACTTTGCATGTGTAAGGAAGTGGATGATGTAGTCTGCTTGACTGAGATAAGTTCCGGGAACACTCAGAATACGGGACGTCTTTTCAACGATTGTGAGGGGTGAAGGAGGAAGGGTTGGTAGAGCAGAGAAGGAAGATTGTTTTGTGTTCAGCTCCGATATCAAATTATAGATTTGTTTGGCGGAGTGAAATTTCATTTACATGACTGGTTGCTGTTGTTTCATTGTGTACAATTAAAGAAGGATTTATTTTATCTTTCTATGCTATATTTTTTTATTCGGTATGAATCAAGTGAGGTTTTTGATTAGATTAGGCCATTTGTTTTTGTGATGATAGGAATTAAAATTGAAAAATGATATCTGTTGTGTCTTCCTGGTGACCTTAGAGGTAATTAATTGATTACTTTATGTTCGATTGATGCACAACTAACCAATTGCTCTCTTCTATGATAGCAGTATTTATATCTTTTTCCCCACCCGGTTGTAATGTATCTTTGAAGATTTTGTTAAAGAAGACAAGCCACGAAATGTGGGAATGAGAAAGTTCGGTAAATGTATACGAAAGAAGTCATTCGAAGAAAGAGTTTGTGAAGGAATCTGTTTTCTATGAAAATAAGATGAAAAGCTTTTTTTATTTGTCATTGCATATTCTATAAGACAAACATTTGTTGTTATTAGCAATGTGACTAGTTCTAACGCTTGAAAGGAATTCTTTATTATATCCCAATGGAGAACGCCTCATCAGCCATCTTCAGTGCTATGGATTTCCTGTTTTGGTCTCATCTAATGCATGCTAAAATATGCCGTTGTCATTTTAACGTACAGAAAAGTGGGAGTGAAGGAGAGTAAATTGTGTCTAATATGTTTAGCAAAATAGGACTGTTCAGGTTTATCATCTTTTTTTGATGACGTTGAGCGGTTGGCTTTTTTTCTCTATAAATTCCTAAATTATTGGATAAATTTTCGAAATAACAATTTGGAAACATTGAAACAAAATCCTCTTCTTCCTCTTAAAGCGTTAATACTGCATGATCTTGAAATTTCTTTCTTTCATGTTTCGGCTTATAAATATTCTATTTGGGTGTCCTCATAAGAACAGTGTATTTCAATGCTTTTTAAGTAACAACTAACGAACAAAATCAGCTGATGATTCGACCATTAATCGAACTATAAAAACAATGTAAAAAATGTTTTTGATCGAGTAATAGCAATGAAAGTATAATTTTTTCGATGTTATTATTTAGATAGGAATAATAACTGATTGGCAGTTTTTATGTTAAATGGGCTAATCATTATACTTCAGTAATTACTTTATATATCTTCGACAGAATGATTTAAAGATCATATGTTAGAACATATGATGTGAGAAGTATATTGTAGGATGATTTGATATGAAATGACTAAGCTAAATCGATGTTATCCATGTGAAACAGTAATCAACATTCTGAAATGAATTGAGAAAGTAACTCTTCACGAGTTTTGTCTTAAAGATGTATTGCTTTTTCTCTAAATTATTTGTATCTTCAAATTTTATGTCATTTTTTCCTTTTTTGTTTACTTTCATTTATTCTTTTGGAATTATCTAGTATAAATTACCGTCAAATTTAGTTTGTTAGGAAAAAGAGAGGCATTATTTAGTCATTCGTGGACTATTGTCATTTATATATGTTTGTTAGAAATTGTGTTTTAGCGTCCTAATTTCGCGTGACTTCGTATTTTCTTTTCATTTTCAGGAAAGGAACGATGGATTCAAGTAGTATTGAAAGTAGTACATTGGTATCAACCATTGCAAGTAATATCCAACGACTAAGCCAGTATGGTCTGTTTTTCTGTCCTTTCCGAGTTACTTTCTACCGATCATCGTTTCAGGGAAATTAATTTCCAGTGTATCTTACCTGACTTAATTAGCATTTGCATCGTTGGTTTTGATTCGCTTCTATATTTATCACATAAATATACACTGTATGGTATTATGCTTTATTCGGCTTTGCTTTTATATATCATTATTCATTCTTTGTCTTTCGTTGTTAACAGAGAATAGTGGTGTTTTTATACATAAGAAATGTAGAGATCTTAAGAGGTTTCATTCTTTGTTTCTTATTCTCAATATGGCTGCTATCGAATTTTAGAACATCCTTACCGAACACTAAAGAACTCGACTTAAAAATATGTGTATTTTGCAATATCGTGATGGGAAGGCTTAGCATAATTATCTCCTGATGCTGTATAACAAAAATCATCTATAAGTCAACGTGTCCTTGTTTCGATTATCTTCTACATATTTAATACGAGCGAATGATATATTAATTTAAGAAAAAAATCTGAATTTGATGTCATTATAATGTTAGGTGAAAATTTTTCAAAATTATCTTTCAAGTTATTCAGACTGTTTCATACATGATCGAATTTTAGTGCAACAACTGGAAGTACTGGGTGGGAAAATAGGTAGTAGTGATGGTGGCGAACGTTTACGTGATCAGGTAGCGGAAGTAACATCATCAGCCAATACGTTAAGCAAAGAAACAAACACTTTGATGAAACGTTTGGTGGAATTGTCAAATGATCAGGTTTCATCTATGGCTGATTTTATTGTAGAATCCAGATCCTTGCTTTACTAATAAAATCATGTTGCTATCCGTTTAAGTTTTTTTGTCCAATATTCCATAATTTTTAGAGGTATGCATCGGCAATGAAAGTGCATCGTGAACGACTTATGGGTGATTTAATTGGTGTTTTAAATCGTTTACAAGTGGCTCAAAGGAATGCAGTTGCGAAAGAAAAGGAGTCAATGAAAGCAGTAGCTGCTCAGGATCAACAAGTTAGCCATCAGGTAACTGTAAAAACTTTCCTAACTCCTAGTTCTCAACATTGAAATACTATCTACACTTTAGAAGATGATGGCATGTGATTTTTTTTTATTTTGGGAGATTTTTGCCTTTGCACAAGTTGAATTTATTTTAAAAGATTGTATCTTCCTGGTCTTCTTTTATTTTGTGTGATCATTTTCTCCATACATACAAATTTTGATTTTTTGGACGGTAAGCTTTTTTACTTGTTCCTTTTAAAAGAATCTTATTGTTGATCGTTGATCCTTATTTTAGTTGCAGATAGAACAAGTAAACGATGACGAACAACAAGAACGACAACAACTTCAGATTCAGCATCAGCAGCATCTCACGGAAATTAGGGAAAGGAGTGAGGTCATCGTTACAGCTTATTTTTTTATTGACATTTCAAATTTTTATCATTTAGCTTTTTGGTGCCAGTAAGTGACTAACTTAATCTTCTTGATGCAGTGCTGTTTTTCGCACCATTTAAATATAAATTTTCGATAATTTCAAAAGAAACGCTTTGAGTTCGCTTTGAAAGATCATGATCAGCTTTGTCCTGCTTATAAATTTGTAATGAAATAGAAAGCATACTGCATCCAGTTCGTATATATCTTAATTACTTTGATTTTATTGCTTTATTTACACGATAAGAGCGAACTTTATAGTTTACAAAATCAAATTATGAAATTATCGGAAATATTGGAGCTGATTCCTTACAGTTCAAAATTTAATGAAAATTAAGTAAGAAGAATAATCCTTGAACAAGTTTCTTCAGAGATTTTAGTGTTGACTGTTTAAATTCTAAAAATGTCCTCCTTTATGCCAAAATTTTTTTTTCATACAGTTCGCAGGAAATATGATATTTCCATTTGAACATTTTGGAACAAAAGCAATTAAAGAGTGACATTGCAATCACTAATTTACTTGTGATTTATATATTCAGGCGATGAGACAACTTGACCAAGACATCAGTGACGTAACACAGGTGATGAAAGATTTGGCGAGAATTGTACATGATCAGGGTGAAATTGTGGATAGTATTGAAGCAAATGTGGAACATGCATCAATGCAAGTGCAGCAGGTGCAGTACTTCAATTTTGTGAAATAAGAAGCAAAGTATTATGACATATAAATATAGAATCGATTCTATAATCTGGATAATCCAAGATATTATTTTTGACGTAACTGTGGAATTTCTTTATACTTGGAATATGGGATATAATTTGCTACTTTTGTTTTTCTTGTTGTTTTCCCTTCTAAAAAAAACTAATCTCCCTTTTTGCAAACCTATTATTTTCAGGGTGCAACAGCAGTACAACGAGCTGTTATATATCAACAAAGGGCGCGACAGAAGAGAATTTTTTTATTTATATTTTTCTTTACTCTCATTCTCATCCTCGTTCTCCTTGCATATTTCTTTACCAGATAAGCTAAATGGTTCATTTTTTTGGTGCTAAATTTTTTCCTAAAATATTGCAAACATGGATATGATACTGAAGTTGTCGAGGGATTGACTAATACAATACAGATTTATGCACTTTTTTCGAATGATGGCTTTTCCTTGATCATTTATCGATCTTGCATGTAGATGTAGTTGTAATTTGAAAAAAATTGCTCATAAACATTCATCGGTAGGACGGAATGATTTATAACAATAGTTATGATCAACGGAATTGGCAATTCTTCAAAAACTTGATCCCACACTATGTAGAGTTTCAGATTTGCTTTCAATTGAACCATTTTAATTGCACTTGTGAATTCTTTGCACTTAATTTCTCAGTTTAAAGGACAACAAAACTAGAACCATTCATTGTAATAGTTCCTAAGAAAAGTAAATGTGAAGGATTTGTAAGTCGATCACAGCAGGTATAATACCATCATGTTTCGCTAGGAGACCGATTTTTCAATTCTTTTGCGATTTCCTTCTCTTTTACGTAATTTCCGCTTCTTAATATATGAATTGCAAGCCTTACATATATATCATTCCCGGTGCCTTTAGAAAGAGATGGAAAAAACTGTTTCAACAGTTTCATATATGACACATCCTTCGCTCCATGTACCATGCATAATCAATCGTATTGTGATATTTGTCTTCTGTCTCGCATATTCCCTATTCGTAAATACTTGAAAGTTAAGAGTATTGCTTCCGTACTTCCAAGTATACGCCGACCTAATTGTACGAAATCTTTTTTTCCTAGTGCATGCGTATGCTTACCACTTAATTCTGCTTATTTGTGTACATACGGTTTTTTTAAAGAATTTTCAATTTACTTTCTTTACCTCAACAATAAATCCAACAACAGTGGTAGCATGAATTCAACTGAAAATAACGGTAAATACAACGAGGGATAGAAAGCAGTATGATAACCGGGATTTACCATCAGCTGAAATTTTATGGAAACATAATTGGGAAACAGAAAAAAAACAAACAGCGCGCTTGTAACTTTTAGCCGCATATATTGGGGAGATAAATTTGTAAAGCGGAAAATGTGAACATAAAAATTTTAAGCAATTTTAGAGGGCATTGCAGAAACGTGTGACCATGAATTTGACGGTAAAATCAAAGCTCCCATTCCGATTTAAATACATTGATAAACTATGTCTTGTTTGTTATAAAGAGCTTTTAAAGTTCAACAAGAGCCGTGATATTTGTACGAAAGAAACCACGTATTCCAAAGTGTTCTGTTATTTTGAAAATATTTTAAGAAAAGCCATAGCCTTAAATGCGATAGCAAAGACTAGCATGACAAGTTCCTGTCCCACATTGTAATACTGAATAAAACAATAACAATGAATGAAGTCGTCAACAAGAATCCTAAGAAAATTTAACTCCTGAAAGTTCAATTATCTCACATAACTGCAGAGTAAGCAAACATGACACGAAAAAACAGTTCTAATGGCATGATCCTGAAATCGACCTCTATAACTTTCACTAGTATGAGATATTTGAAGAGGATGACGAAATGATATTATCACTCCACATCACTTTCTGTTCAATATGAGGTAGATTGGCCTATTAGATACTGAAGTGCTAAATTCTTACATTTTTGTGATTTCTTAAACAATAATAATACAGTGATTTCACATTAAAAAAATAACAGGTGCAAACATCCCAACATCTAATCTACGTATTAACTAAAATTGAAAAAATTTCTGGATATTTTAACAACTTCGAGAAAAACTATAAACTTTAGCTATGCAAATCTTGGCGTATGCATAGCACATGCTTCCCAAAGTTTCTTTTCTGTCTCTTGGTCCAAAACGCTGGGTACCTGTTTTGTTAGTGCTACGAGTGGTGCCAATAAGCTGAACAGTGTATCCATTAATAAATCCAACGATCCATCCACTGTACCCGGTTCATCGGTTCTACATGTTAAATTAAAACTGATGTTAAATCATTTCATTTCAATAACTCAACCATTTATTTGTCAAATTTAATTAATATTTGAGTTTCCACACTAAAATGAAATAGTGAGAAAAGTTTGACAAGAATTGAACTGCGAGAATACTATTATATTTCTGATATTGAGTAATAAAATACCGAGTACTAGCGGCTGATGTCATTGATTTCGATACTGTAATGCACACGGCGGCTGCATCCAGCGGATCACTTGGGAAATCCCTCTCTGGAGACAGTCCACTTTCTCTTTTTTCATTTGTCCACCACCGTACCCGCCGTTCCATACAACTCCTGAGCTGCATAGCTCCCGAAGATAGAGCTCGATTACCTAAATAATTTCAGAATTTTCAAACTGGAAACATTATCCTGATGACTAAAGCAATCAACCATAAGGTTTTGAACATTTTATTTGCACCTACGCTGTTCATCACGACTCTCCTAAAGTTGGCTTTCATAAAGCAAATTTCAGTGTTGAAATAATATAATCAATCCAACATCATTATAAATACCTGACTGCCTTGCGTTTTTCCTCGCAGTCTTTCTAATTGCTTCACTCTGAAAATAATGAAATGTATGAGTGCATTTCAACAGAGATTAACAGAAATGAAACTCTATGATCGAAAACGAAAGAAAGGTTCACTTACTAGGCTTACGGAATTTTGTGGCTTAACTAACTGAAATTCAGAAATTAGATTGGAATAAAATTAAAACAACCTGTTCACCCTCATTTTCGCTAACTGATGGTGACTTTCTTCGAATTTTGATAAGGTCTTTCCATCTCCCTTTCTTGCCCAAATCCTAAAAGTAAACGTAATTTGTATTATTACTTATAAGCAATAAATTAAATTTGAAATTTCTAAGTCTAATACCTTAGGTATCTCTTCATGACTCCTTACCCAACCATACCACTTTCGACACTTCTTATCGACACAACGCCATCTAAAAAAATTAAAAGAAAATAATATTAAAATCAAAGACTTTCACAAATGGTAGTGATGCAGCAACTGATTTATCTTGAACTAACTATATCTTTTGCTGGTCTACAGTTTCGTTTGTCCATTGCTGTGAAGAGAGAGAGTATAGAACATCACCTGGTTAAAAACGATGACGTAAACTAGTGAATTTTTTAAACATTTACTATGAAAAATTACCTGTGTCTATTACCCCCGCACATCTGTGGCCGTACTTGTCCATTACAGTGAAAACAGTGCCTACAGCCATCTTCAGCCACCAAAGGTGTTTTCTCTACTTTGCTGTAAGAAAAGAGTAAAAATGGAAAAGTCGTTTACTACAATGCTAAAATAAAGTAATTTTTTGGAAATTTTCTACTTCATAAGATAATAATAAAAAGACTGAAAATCGTTCTGAAAAATTGCAATAAATCTCAGGAAGCGCTTGCTTGCTATCACTTCAAAAGACTAGGGATATAAAAGAAAAATCAAAAATATAATAAAAATTTGGAGGACCTGAATACTAAATCTCAATTCTGAATATTAAATCACATGAAACAATTTGAAAACTAACTAAAATTTCGGACGTCCATTCCCGGTTCTTTTGAAAGGAATATCATGGCCATTTGGAATTGATTCATTCTGACTCTGGGATAAAAGTGAAGATTGTACTGAAGCTGGAAATACACTTTTCTGCGCAGTACATTGGAAATATCCTTGAAGTTGATTGCGATCGTTTTCAACTTTTGTTATAGTTGGCAACGATGTTTGAGCAAAAATACTTGAGAATGAATCTGGCGATAAGCAATCAGGTATGATATTTGAAATGATCGGGTCATGAACGCTGTCTAAAGTGCTATCATGTAGCTTAGCACTTGGGGAAACATTTAATGTTACAAGATCGGTTTTAACATCGTCAGGATTTTCTTTCTGAAAAAAGGAACAAAAAAATTTGATCCGTAGCGAGCATGCATTAAGCAAAATCATAGGCGATGAATATCAGAAACTTTGAGAATAGAGTGAATGCATTAAGATTTGCATGAAGGTTGAAAACTTTCAAATTTTAGAAAATTTAAGGAATTAAAAGGAGACACTAACCACAAAACATGACAATTGGTTATTTAATTCAGAAATTGATGGTTCATGAATTTCGTTCCATTTCAGACAATTCGTGTTTCCACATCTAGAGAATTGAGTAATATGAAAAGTTCAAAACTTTCCACTCTAACATTTTCCAGGTTTTATTTTTTAAATCAAAGCAAAAGCAAACCTCCATTTCAGACCATATAGAACGCAATGGTAACCACAACTCGAACAATTTTTTTGGACAGAATTTTGTTGATGAAATTCGAAATTTTGTTCATCAAAACCTGCTAATGGATGATCATCAGATGCGCCCAAAATATCGTTAAACGACAACGATGATAATGGATCTGTAGGACTGAAGAGTGGTGATGATCCGAATAAATCATCGAAACCATCTGACATACCCGAACATAATCTGAAAAAACTCGAATAAAATGATTTCACAATATAAGAAGAACGAAAATCATAAGAATAAAACATACAATTTCTGGCAATCTGAGATTTTCTTCATCAGAAATGTGAAGTATGTACAAAAGGTGCAATGTTTTCTGGAAAATGAATGCCTGGTTCAGTAAGTATCATCATGAACATGACAACATCACGTATTTAAATAAACCTTGTGCGCCCTGAAGATGAGCTATTGAAGCGTTCACGTAGCCTCCCAGATGACAAATAATCTCCAACAACAGATTTGGAACACTTGACGCCACTTTTCATTGATAGCCTCGAAATTTCATCGATGTCTGTACCAATCCCATCGAGTAGAAAATTACAACTGCCATCACTTAAAACCGGTAACATAGGATCCTGGAAAAGAAATGTTAGACAAGCAATTGGTGATGAATTTGAAGTTTGATTGGTCTTTTCTTATTTCAAATCAATTTAACATTCTGAAACATGATCCATTAAAGTAATATTATATAGGAAGAGGTACAAATTTACTTCGCTCAGCTCTATATCAAATGACTGGGAAAACGAATTCGTTTTGTTACGACTTGAAATAGACGTGAAACTTCCCAGACGCCTCCGTTCACTTCTTATTTCAGTGTTATCCTTGACTGAAATGAAATAAATGTTTAAATTATCTGGTATAATTTAACAGTTCAGATCCTTGTGCTTTATAAATATTCATCAGGGAAGATTACTTGGTGAAAGAGATGGTGTCCGCATTTTGGTTGGAAGAGGTGAAGATGTGGTTGGACTTGATAAAAGATTTTCCAACAAGCTCTCACTGGTATCGGATCGATTCGATTTCCTTCGACATCTACTTACACTAACTTTAGCGTCTAAAAAGATACTTCAAACTATTCAAACTCTCCAACGATTAAAACCATATCTTGCGTTGCAAAACATCTTAAAATGTAACGATCTCAGATATAGTTTAAGTATGATGACTCGCTAAAGTTTTGCGAGAAAGTAATCCAACTGCTTCCAAGCTTAGACATCTATTAGCATTCCATATAATGCCATAGAAAAAATGAAAATGTTATTTGCTCACTCCTACAGAAGAAATAAGCAAAACCTGATAAAGAGTTCGACGACTCCGGAGATTTCTCGACGACAGCTGATAAACATACTTCTAATGTTTTTGGTGTTGTAAAACTAGGTTCTACACAACCAGCAGCTTCGCGTGCTTCTTTCAGAGCTTCAGCGAAACCCTTGAAAACAAATAGCATTTGATTAAGGATATGAAACTGAAATTTCCTCAAAAAATCTCTTTTTTAAAAAAAAAAAAGTTCCAAAGTTGAACAAATTCAAACATACGCGTTAGAACGGAAAATATGAAGAAGGTTACCCTAATTTTCCGCTGCACTTCATATTCATTACGATAAGCATGGTAGTCAAACAAATCACTCTTCTTCATTATCGCTGTTTCATGCGTACCGTAAAACAGCACTGAATAACGACCAGCGGGTATACCTTCCATTTTCTCTGATGATTGCATTATCTATAATAATCACTCGTTTCAGATTAATCTCTATCATTTAAAGCAACTATTAAAATAATGATTAAAATCTAATGAGTAGTTCTCTGGATGAAATCAACCAAATATTAATTTAATATTTCTATATGAAAACTCACCATTGCTGGCCATGGTGGAAATCCTTTCATTTTAGCCCACACAACAGTACCTGATTTAAAGTCCTTATCCATTATTGTCTGAAATAAAAATTCAACAATACCACAGATTAAAGTAAATTTCTGATATAAATATGAACGTCACATGTATCACACTACGATAAGTTACGTATGCTTTAAATTCATATGAGAGTATAAATGGAATAATGTTTGTCTGCACAGTGATGATGATATATTGTGTGGCAAGGTCAACAGCCATATATATCCATTGCAGAAGCGAACATGTATGAAGCTAAGTATGTACATCTTAAATGACCAATGGCATGGATATATGAGAGTACAACTTGTAATAAACAGGAATATGAGCTTGGGAGTGTAAAGGGAAAACACACACATACATACACATACATACACACATACACGCATACGCACACATACACATATACATAGGCACGCACACACACACACGTACTTACTTAACCTCATCGCTCTTCCTCACCCGCCGCCCGCCCGCCCGATCCCCCACAAGCGACCCTCCCACGCGCATTCCAAAAGATCGTCTAGACATTGCAGAGATGCACGTGAATTGCTTGGCATACTGCCTACAAGGCGATAATTTGAATTATGGGAAATTAGCGCCCATTTAAGAAATGACTACTCTGACACAAATATTTTCTCACTTGATGTCATAGGATATTGCATGTAATGTTGCTATAATACGTCATCATTTTTCACGTTGTTACCGTCATTCTTACGTCTGACAGACGTATAAATAGTCAAAAAGTGATCTTTTCTTTCATTTTCAACGTTATTAATGTTTTCGAAGAAGAGAAGAAGCAGCCGAATTGCGTGAGAAATGCAATTTAAAGCAAGCATTTTTTTTTCAATTAAGCAAAAAATTGAAGCTATTCATTCCTGAATTGAATGGAAATTAATCCGGATAAGAAATTTTCGCCAACCGAACCGAATAATGATAAATGCCATAGAACAATTAATGGGATAAGCAGAAAGGTGTGCAGAAGGAGATAAATGAAGAGTAAGAGAGAGGGAAAATAATTGTTGTTTTATTCTGATATATTCGATAATTAATTGAATTGTATTGGATTGAAGTGGATGGAAGAAATGGAATGAATGGAAATGTCTGAACAGAAATATAACTTTCTTTCATTTATTTACATTTCAGTATTAATTTATATTCAAATAAAGGTAAGAAGAAAAAAGCAAAATTTATACATTAATTAATACAATTTCGATTACAACATCAATTTAATTTAATGATTATAAATTTATTTCAGTTATTCATTAGCTCTAATAATAATGCTCGTAATAGTCGAGCCTCATAAGTTATCGTATTTTTTGCATTTCCAGCTCCTAATTTATCCATTGTTAATGGATCAGCTACTGTTGTTGGAATATCTTTTCCGTGAACTGAAATGGAATATTCGTGAAAGCTAATCCGGTTAAGTATTTTATTAGTTTAATCTTTAGTATATATATATGTAAGTTAGGCTTAATTAAATTTAAAAATTCAATAAAGGTAATGAAATAGATATATATTCAATAGAGTGATCAATTATGAAAGTTAATCAAACAGATATAAGAGATTTAATGATTATAAAATTAAATGATTTAATTTCTTCAACATAAGCTGAATAGTGAGAATTGATGTTGTATTAAATTTATTATAATTTTACATCCTTTTTCAAATTTAATATTAATTTAGAAAATAGAATAAAATTATTTTTTTAAAAACTAACTTTCACATTGTTCTAAAAATTGAAGACATTCTTGTAGCACAGAATCTTTTATACTAATTATATGTTTTGCTAAATTTTCGATCATTGAAATTATGCAACGTTTACTATAGAACCATGTATCTGTGCCAAGTTTCTTATCATATGGTTCCATAGCTTTGATTACACATGAAATACCAAATTCATAATTACCCTAAATTATATATACTCATTTAAAGGATTTTTGAAAATTTTCAATTTTTTAAAAACAATCAATAATTGAAATTAAAACATACTTTAGAACAATAAAGTGTACCAATAACAAGATTTATGATGCATAAATGAAAGAATCTTGTTTCATTTGAAGTTACCGCTTTTGTTTCTTCTTCATTTTCAACTTTCTTCATCAATTCTTCAGCCTTCAAGTAAAGTAAACAAATTTAATAAAAATTCATTCCGCTCCTTCTTCTTCGATTATAATTAAGAAAATTTAATTTTTGTGTTCTTATAAAATTTAACTGTTTTTCATTTTTTTTTTTTAGTTTACGAAATCTGATCGTATTTCGAAATACCAACCTCTTCATTTTGGTTAGTCATAATATAGCAAACACAGAGATTTGCCAGAATTATTGCTGTTACGCTGAGCATCTAAAATTAAAAAGTTTGATGATGAATCATTGATATTAAATGAATCATTCAGTGAATCAATCGATAAATGCGAAATGTTGCAAATGTTGAAATCGGTGAAATACTAAATTAAGCATACATTGTCAAAATTTTTCTTTACATTTGGCTCGTAAAATCCAGCTGCTTCCTTGAATTTATTAGCCTAAAAAAAGAAAAACAAATGATCGAATTGTTCTGTTATCGCTACTGAAATCATCCAATAAAATGAATGTTAAATTATTTATGCTACGTAATAATATAGAAGTAATAATTTAGTAATAAATAATAATTAGTAATACAAAAGTAATTTTTCTGAATAATGATAATGAAGTAATCATTGCTGATAAGTGATAATGATTGTTACATACCTGCATGAATAAAGTGTGCGCTACATTTAATTTCCATATATCATTCTCACTACAAAATTCCACTGATTTTCGAAAAATTTTTTCCACTTGTGAGTAATCATTCATATCCCAATAAATTTTCGCTTGTGACATCAACACTGGCAAATACCTGTTTTTAATTAATTTATAATAAAATTAATGAACAGATTGAAATTTAAAAAGCTAATGCAAATTCCTTCTTTTTCCGTAAGTCTTCGTACTTCCAAATGAAATTTTGTAAGCTATAAAAATTCAGAATAATTCAGAATGATTCACAGATCACATAATTTCTCATTTAACATGATCAGTCATATTTAATTTTACTGTGATATCGAAATCATTAATGTTAAAATAGAATTGAAATAATGTGCTATAAAACATTTCGGAAAAACATTCAGAAGTCAAAATATTGAAATGATAATATATTAAATGATCGATTGCCTTAGTAATTTATATTAAAATATCCCATAAGTTTGTTTCTATTTAGGCAATACGGACAATACTGTTAATGGATGGAATGAATAATTCCGGAAATCTGGTTTGATGATGATAATGATGATTAATCATTTTTCGATAGCAATGAAAATCAAAAATAATATTTACTTAGCCATTGTATCATCATATGCTTTGATAGCTTTTTGAGCAATCAATTGATCATTTCCATTACGAATTTCCTGAATTATTATAATTTCAATTAACTGTTATTGCTAAATGTAATTTACTTTAAAATTTCATTTGTTTATTCATTTCAAATAACACAGAAAGCAAACTTTAGAACATTTTATGATGTTAAGATTGAAAATTAAAATTATTAAAATTGAAAATTGAAATTAGCACAAAACATTATTTTAGAAATTCGTTTTGAATAATAAATATAATAAAAGTTAATCCTATCATTATCCATTTCTTTTTCTTATTGTTAAATGAAAATCATACATTTATACGTTTGGTTAATTTGCGTAATTCATTAATTTGTTCGTTTCCGATTGCTTCTAATTTATTGTATGCATCCATTGGCGCTGTTTGTTGGGTAATTATTGCATCCAGATAATCATACAAATACTATCAAATGATGAGAATAGTAATTTTGAAAATGAAAAATGAAATTAAAATTTTTGTAATAATAAAATTTCTCATAACAATTACCTGTGTAAGATATTTGTATGTCAAATGAGCATTTTCAGCCAGAACATCAGCTGCCAAGTCATAGTACTAAAAATGATTAATCAATAATCAATCAATTTTCATCCGTAACTGAATGATAATCCTAATTATCGATAACGAAAAACAACTGGTAATTGCTCCATTTTCATAAATGTGTTAGTCGAAAATGTAAGCTGTTACCTCGTATTTGCAGTACAGAAGAAGCAAATTACTGAATGTCTCACGTGGGAACGGATTTTGACTCAAGAGATATTGTAATTTTGCAAAACCTGCAAACCTTATTTATGAAATGATCGTTTGATTGAGAAACTTTTATTTCAAGTGCAATTTTAAAAGTTACAAAATGATACGAATTATTAATTAATTAACTCAAATGCAATTGATTGAAAGAATTTGGCATTTTAAAATGATCCTAAAGGAACTAAGTTACCGTCAGATGGATTGGTATCCATGTTAATTAAGGCTTGATTATGCAAAGTGACTGGATCAAGTTCCTCCTCCAGTCTTGGTGGCATATCTGTTAATGCTTCAGAAGCTGCTGATACTATAAAAATATCGAATTATTAGAAAATTGTATTAAAAAAACATGTCTACATCAAATGATTTTAAACTAACTTCACAACTATTAAATTTTAAATTTTTGAAATGATTTTTGATATAGCTGATGATTTTCACAAAGATATAATAACACTTACAGTTTTTAAGATTGTACTCAATTGCTGCTTTCAAATTGCATGCTTCAACCAAAGATGTCTCATGCAAAAGACGTGTATTGCCAACTGAACTTACTTCCATACCTTCCGTTGCCATGCCAATTGATAATTCTAATTAAATTCGCTTATTTAAGCTTAAATTTAAGTTACAAATTATCGAATAGATTTCGGAAACTTTTGATAAACAAAAATAGACTTTTTTTTTGTAATTTCTTTTTGGGAAGAAATTTACCTGGATGATCTTGCACACCTCGATCGATAATATCAGCAATAAATTTTAATGCCTGTGAATAATTATGCATTTGATAATGGCATAAAGCTATCGAATAAGCCAAACATGGCTGAAAATTTATTTTTTTTAGAAGTAAAGACAATTATTAATTCTTTTCGCTGTGATGAAAACAAATTGTTAATTGAATTTCGCAACATTTTAATAACCTGACAACCATGAGAATGTGTAGCGGTCGTAAAACGTTCAAGAGCTTCTTCATAATTTCCTTCCTGAAATATATTTAATAATTGATAGCTCTTCAATTCAATATTTACTTGTCCTGTGAGAACCGGTCTTACTTTATATTCAAGGCATGCTAAGTTGATGTCACCATCCGGATCATCCATTGCATACTTTTCAACGAGCATTCGTGCATTTGTTATATCTTCTTCACGATATTTGATCGCTGATTCTAATTTTAGTACTTGTTGAGCAAGTTGTGACTCATCAATCTTAAAGTTATTCCAATATATTTCATATATAATATTCTTGAAATTATTTGTGAAGTTTGAAAATTTTAAATTTCCAAAATTAAAATTTTCTTTTTTATGAAAATGTTAAATTTAATCAATTAAAAGATTTTTTTTTGAAAACGGTTCACTTGCGAGAGAACAGCAGTAGCTTCCGGAAACATGAAAGCATTGTAGAGTGATTGAGCCCAATAAAGTCGATATTCCGGAAAGGATGAATATAACTGCACAAGTTGTTCGTAACATTCCGCTGCTTCAACAAATTGTTGTAGATAGAAATAGCAATAGCCAAGTAATGATAATGCCGCTCGACTCTATAAAATCTGTTCTGATTGAGAATTTCAAATTTCTATTATTTATTTATTTTTTTAATTTTCTGGAATGAAAATTTTTTTTATTATGATCACAAGATATCAATGAGATCTATTTCTTATTTATTCTTTGCAATTATAATCAAAGTATGATAATATTTTGATAAAAATGATATCTTTCTCTCTTTTTTTCCCCTCCTTTCTCTCCCTTTCGCTCTCTCTCTCTCTCTCTCCCTCTTCAATAATCACTTTTTATGAAAAAGCTTCTATCATGCAGTTTTTATCAGTGATAAGATTTGTGTGATCACGCACTTATAAATTATATGATTCATCTCGCTGTAATTTATTAATATAAAAACTTTTTAATATTGCAGGATAAAAAGCATGCTATCGCTTAGAGAAAATCTTTCTCTGCTTACAATCATTCATTATAAAATTGATCAAATTTGTTAAAAATTACATTTGGCGTGCGTTGCAGTTCATACTGCAATGATCGAATTGCATTTTCATATCGGCCTTCTTTGATCTGCAAACCGTAAAATTTGATTGGCATTTAATTGAATAGAAAAAGTTTTATTCCATTAAATTATTGCCCCCTTATTTTTCATTTTTAATTTTCGACAAATTGATATCGTCCATGCATTTCGAGAATTGAATTTTTCAAAAAGAAGTGATTCCTTACTAGAAATAATGGAACTTTCTAAATTCATCATTTTAGGATTGATAATATTCGTTATTATTTCTTGCATAGACCCTTTCCCATATTGATCTTCACTATTCCAATGCTTAACTATGGCTATCAATCACATTTCCTGATAACTTTTAAATCGCTAATCTTGTTTTATTTTTAAATTTCTATAATTGTGATATATAATTAGTGAATTTGAGTATTATTTCTCTTGCTTAGAAGTTTTTGATTGCTATTTATATATTGCTTGATAATTTTCAACTTACATTTTAATGTGCCATTTTCAATGTATGCATTTTAAACGTAAAATTTCAACATGCAATAGAAACGAAAATTCTATCCTATCATATCTTTTGGATTTAAATATTTCAAATTTAAATAACAAAAAGACGAGGATATACAGATCAATGAGAGTTTCCTCATTTCAACTATTTGATTGTTAAAAAAATACAATCAATCAATAAAATCATTAATTGATTTCATCTTAATCTTTTTATTTATCATTGAAATAATGAAAGTATTGATTTGAATAAATTATGAAATGCTTCGAAGCAGAAGTTTTGATATTTTTTTGTTTTGAAGAATATCCAAAATTGTTGCATTTTATATTTTTTTAATATTTATTTGAATGAATAAGAGAAAAAATAAAGAAATTTTACTGAAATGAAAAGATCGCTGAATTTCTTCATGAAAAAGTTTATTTAATTAAAAATATTCTAAGTTTATTTAATTAAAACTATTATACTTTCAAATTATTAAAACAAACCAATCCATAAATTGTACTCGTAAATTCGCCATCTTTTATTGGTGCAAAAGGCATTCTGAGCTTAAGTTACAATTGGATATATATATATATATTATTAATCTATTTTTCCTTTTTCATCTTCTAGGATTATAAAATGGATTGCCATAGTAACGGTAACCTATGGTTTCCATAGAATGCAATGAATAAATTTAATACTTGAGCGATTCCCATCATCTATATAATTTTAGAATCAATTTTATATCCTGTATTATATAAGACTCAAAATAACGGTAGATATTAAAATATCCAGAAAAAAATTTTTTGAGATTCTCGAATAGAAATCAATATTTTATTCAAATTATTTTATTCAAATATTTTGTTCAATGTTTAATTATTCAAATATATTACTATTATAATATTAGCAATATTTAAAGATTCCATTTGACATGCCCTATTTCATTTTTAGATTCCTTCTCGACCTATTAAGAAATGATGCATAGAAATGAGTATTCGAACCTTCGGTTTTAAGTTTTATTTCAATTTATTTCCATACATACAATACGGTAATAGCATTTACAAAAATATAATTTCTCACCCAATAATATTGTTAACATAAGCAATATATTTTCCACCAATTAATGGCTGAAAATTAATTCCCATTATTCGAAACAATAAACTCTCATTTCTTGTTAGCTACAATTCTTTATTTTTATCACTAGTATTTGTAATTGAATAATGATTAGAGAAGTTGAAGAAATATTAACGAGCCATATTTCATTTCTTTAGCTTTAAAGACATGAAAATTAATTTCCATTATTCAAAACAATAAACTCCCATTTCTTTTTTTTTTTACTTTTAAGTTCAAACTTTTAAATAAGATTTGCTAGCATAGAAATTATACATTTGCATCCCTATGTTATGTAACCTACAGGTAAATTGTATACACATTCGCAGTTACCTTCACTGTGTGAGACAGATATAGATAAAATTCAAGTTCTATATGATGCATAAATGAATGATTGCATCACTTCCTTTCTGGGTTAATCATGTACGACGCGCAGATCCCCATCACTAAATTCCCATACCATATGGAATAATGATTACTTGTGATTGTTTCGCCGTTTTAAGTTTAAATCACAAAATTCACAATGTTTTGCACTCTTCTTCCTTATCTTTACTCGAAACATCTAATCGTTGACATATCGCAAGATCAACACATTTCTTAAATTTTAATCAAATTTCCAACGGTTGGAATTTTGAAAAATATTTATGCAGTATTTGATCATCAAAATTTTGAACTTCATGAAAACAACAGCACAAGCCATATATTAAATTATGTAAACTAAAAGAATCACCCTGCATTGTCATTTTAAGATGTTATACAGGCACTAGCAAAAATCTCACATTAAAATGGGAGATATTTTTTAGACTAAATTAATTAACTACTTAAACAAAATTACAATGCATAAACTTTTGAAGCAAAAAATAGCTGCAAAAAAAAATTAAACTCTATTTAAATTATATATGCGAAACATATCAATATATACAAACTACAATGAAATCATTCTATGACTTAATATCAAAAGAAATGCTTAATTAATGCCAAAAAAACTCTGGAGAAAATTGGTCTTTCTCTTCAAAACAAATATCTTTTTCTCGAATCTTGCTTGCCAAGGATGCAAGCACAAATTTAGGTTTGCATTCATTAAAATGCAATTATTTTGATTGATTTCACACTCTATAAAATAAAGAGCCGAGAGAAAAATTAACAAGGTGATGATAAACAATGGACATGTCAAAAACACAATGAATATCACAATGTCAGAAAACAAGTATTTTTTCTTTCAATTTATTCCAAACAGTTAATCGGTAAAATGCACATTAGAATTTCTTTCGACAACTTTCAAGTATATATTTGATAGCGTAGCTGAATATCTTGATATCTTACTAATTTGTTGCAAGGGCCACATTTACCAAGGCTGTCTGCTATGATTTTGATTCAAGAGATTTCGCTACTCATTTACATTATTTTAAATGATGATCAAAAAATGATAATACCACTTGAAAGAGATAAAAGAGATCACACAAACTGGATGCATGGTTAAAATCCTTTCTGCAATTGCCGTACCTAAAATTCGAAAATTAAGACGGCAAAAAATTGCTCTTAAAATGCATTATCAGATCTTGGACTGCAGTTTTGTTCGAAGCAAACAAATAACGCTAATTAGATTAATAGGAAATTCTAGTCTTAATAATAATGCAGAATCCATCAAATGTTAATGAAATATTGTCAACCTTCAACTATTACTTGTTTGTTTAAAATTCGTATTTGATCATGAAGTGACTGCAACGACTCGGCATGCTGCTTTTGCATCATAGTTATTTTCATTCGTCCCTGTTGTTCTTGCATTATTATTTCAGCATTCAATTCTGCAATCTGTAAAGATCAATCAGTACAAAAACAGACTAAAACTATATGGAGAATTACCACAAGTTAAATGTTAAGCTGCCAAGGTGATTACTGAGATATTATTCCTAACATATGGCGCAATTGTGTATCAAGATATAACTACGAAGCATCACCTTCTTAAAAAGCTCATAATGATGTCTGATGACTCATCAAATAATGGTATCTGCTGAAGATTATTATAAAAACCTTTGAACAAATAAATCTTATGCAATATTTTTTTGCTTCCTGATTATTACAGTTCTTCGGCACTATTTGTATCGAAAAAAGGAAGTTATAGCTAGTATGAAAAGAGGATATGATAATTTGGTCATTTCAGTAAGTTAACCTTCTTGTTCCTTTCCAGTATAATTCTGTCTTTTTCGAAGCACTTTTTTTGCAGTTCTAAAATTTCGTCCTTATATTGTTGAATGACAAAGATGTGTTCGGAATGAGCACTGTCTAGTATTGTTTCTGTCATCGCATTTCGCTGAAGAAAAAGTCATATAAAATGACAGTTACATTCAAAAATGGCTGGGCAATAAATTTGCTTTCTGTAAATATGAAGATTACTGAATATGAAGGTTGACATCAAGATTTATATAAAAAAGCGTTTTAATTATGGAACGTAAAACGTTAGTTATTCGGTCTTTTTATATTTATTTTTAACAAGAAGATCTGAACTTGCAATCTTCCCACCTTCGATATTTTTCCTCCTCTGTTTTCAGAAGAATTCGGTCTTTTGCGTTTCGAGTGACTGCTAATTTTTGACTTTGATGTATTGCTATATGTTGCGGCTTCTCCAAACATTGCCTTTCTAGACATTGTACACAAACGGCAATATAACGGTTTACCCTGTAATTCACTTAATGCTATCATTACGAGAGAATTAAATAGCATATATTTCTTAATAAAGCATCTTTCGCACTAAGTTAACTCAACAGCAATCATTACAAAAAATTAAATTGATGAGTCACAAATGATTACAAATGCTTGCAACCTTTTGTGAGGGTTCTCGAACAAAGGCAGATTTCTGAAGGCATTGAGAACACTGCACCGGTAATCCATACTTTCTCTCAGCATGACAACACCAAACACATTTGTTAGCAACGAAAGCAGCTTGTAGCTGGCAGTACATACATATCGTCGGCTGAAATAAAGCAAACAGTTATAATTAAATAACAGAACCCCATGGTATTTTGGAGCGATAATACAGCTTGTCTAATATGTTTTTAAAGAGCAGATTTCATTATTCGGTTGTTGAATCAGTTGATAATCTGAAATATTGCTTAATGAGAATTCCAAAGAAGCCATCCAACCATAAAAAGAAAAAAGAAAAAAGAATAAAATTATTTCAAAATCATGACTAATATGAGATTAACCTTTGTTTTATATTTCTCCTCGTTCTTCTTACACTTTTCACATTGCGAGTCACCTTCACTACTTACACTAAAACATGCTCTAAATAGCACTATAATGAAAAATTAACATTAAAAATTAAAACAGTGGATTGAAATTTGAATGAAATTTCGTAAATGGAAAACAAAATAGTAAGAGCTAATAAAAAAATCAATAGCGGATATTTATAAAGACAACTTACGAGGTTACTTCGGGGATTCCCGCTTTGCAATAATAACATTTACGTGTCATCTCACCCTTCTCACCGATATTTCCCCTGGAAAAAAAATAACTTAGATATAAGTAATATAAATACCCTTCCGCCCTCCTCACGTTTTCATGATCTGATTTCTCTCTTCTCCATTTCACTCGATATATTCAATTAGAAAAAAGAAAACAAAAGATGAAACATAAATCTCATCTTTCTGAAATTGAATCAACAGAATTCCAAGATTAAAATGATATTGTATCGAAACGTCTTTCCCTCAATGGCTAATGTTTTGCCTTGCCTCTTCTCAACGGCTAATGTTTTGTTGGATTACTAATTGACATCACGGTTAGAGATCAGGCTGAAGGTCAGAAATTTCCCTTCCCGTTTTATTCACCAGGAAAATGCAGAGATCTCTAACGCTTGACACTTTTCTCTAAAAAAGAGTACCAAACGCCTTCATGAACAGTCCCGCTACATCCCCCCAAGTCATGCAAATAATTTTAATTGATTAAGCTATTTCTAAGAAGAGAACGAGAGCAACAGATATTCCTCAAAACTATTGAGATTAAAAAAAACGGACAGAATGTTAAAACAAATCCCTTACCACTTTAAAATAAAGTATACACACCGTTGCTGTGTGAGATATGTGATTTTCACAGGGCGACACATGTTATCGAGCTTAGGCCATCATTATTTGCAAATTACTCGGGATGGTTAGTTTTGCGATGTCTAGCAATATTTCTGGAGAGCAATGATCCACTATTACCTCTGAGGTTTGGGGGGCGATGGTTTATTTGCGAAGTGGTGCGGTAATGGCTGGTATTGCGATAGTTACTATTAGGCAGACCCTATGATATCCCAGGTTCTAAAGGCTATGGATTTGATTTTCTGTGAATTTTTGTGTTAACTTGTTTCTTAGGCTGCTACCGTTGACTAAGTTCAGTCTCAGCGTATAATGTAATGCTGCAATTTGCGTGGATTTTTAGGATATAGAGTGACGTAAACTGTGTAGAACAATGGTTTGCGGACGTGTACGCACGAAGACAGTGAAAAAAGCTTCCCGTGTGATTATTGAAAAATATTACACCAAGCTGACACATGATTTTCATACAAACAAGCGAATTTGTGAGGAAATTGCGGTTATTCCGAGCAAAAAAATGAGGAATCGTATTGCGGGGTAAGTGGGAATTGAATTACCAAATAAGCCTGAGTGTTGACGAGTTATTCAAAACCGATGTATCAATAATTTTGCTCAGATTTCATTTTTACTTCGGATTTTATTAGCAGTACGCGTCCCAACTGATAAGACTTGGAGGGGTAAACTTTCTCACAGGTAGTTTAATTCCGCAGTAATGAGTGTAATATCTGAGTGAAGTACTTGATAATTTTATAATCCTGCTCGGGTTATTTTTGTTATTATCATTTTGGATACAGATACTTGATCCTTCTTTCTCGGGATTATGAATAGTTTGTTGTAGTTACATAACACATTTGATGAAACGTATCGAGAAGGGACCAGTTCGTGGCATTTCAATTAAGTTGCAAGAGGAAGAAAGAGAACGTCGCGATAACTATATGCCGGATATTTCTGTCGTTGATCCTCGGATGTTGACTACAATAGAAGTAGATACGGAGACCAAACAGATGATTGAATCAATGGTTTGTTTTTCAAAATGTTTTCATCTCATTCCCATTAGATTTTGAAACTTGGCTTGCTTGTATTTGTGTATATGTCAGGATTGATATATTACAAAAATGAATGGTGAAGTTCCCCAGGGGGAACTGCATGTTTTCCTGGATTGGGAATAATGTCAATAATAAATAATACCCCAAAATATTACCTGCAAGGTTTGACTGCTAATGAAATTGGGTTACCCTGCTGATTAGATTAGAATAGCTTTACAGCGATTTGGAAGCAGATTAAGGAGGCTTTCATGTAGTTTTCGCGAGGCCAACGTTAAAAATTTCTAAAAATGATGCGAAGCGCAGTAATGAGTACGGGCAATTGAATACATTTTTGAGCAAGAATTTTTAATAGCAAGTAGAAGTAAAATTTTTGAGCAAGCAAGTATAAGCAGAAGTTGTATATGAGTTAACATTTTGTGATAAATATTACAGGAACTGAGTATACCAATGACCGACAAGACAGCAAATACGGGAATGGCTGGTCGAAGATAATTCAGAGAAGGAATGGCGTTTTTTTCATTTGTTTCTTTAAATTCTATTTGTTTGAAAGATGTACTCAATAAATTCTCGGCTTGTTTGGATGGAGCATGAAATAAGGTTCAATTTGTAATCTCCCATATGGATTTAATTGAATGACACATGATTGGATGGTAGGATGAAATTGATGTGTTTCATAGCTATACTCCAACTTTCTAATGGAGTAGATTGTCGATGTCTGGTTCGAAAAAAAACGGCTTAAAATAAGTTCAAGCATGACTCGGAAGTCATTTACGATAACTGTTCTAAATACAAGTCATGGAGGGATGGGTGCGCAGTTTTCAGTTTATTTCCTCGGCGGCTTCCCGGATGCTGTGCTCGCGCTTGGTTCGGGTGATTCTTGTTTCAATTTATTCCAAATGTAATTTAAGGACAGTCATGAGAGGAATGAAGCAACAGGGGATTTTTGTTGCGAGTAGTTACGGATGGGGAGTTTGATTTTTGATGATTATAGATCCGACTACTGTGCCAGCAGACTAAATAGGGAAGTTTGGTACTAACTGACAGGTTAACTACAACATCTTCGATTTCAAAAAACGAACTTACCCAGTTTCGGAAGCGGAATCGTGGTTTCGTCACGAAACAAACCATGTCGCTTGGAAGCTATATTTCTGTCATTTGTCTGATTTACAGTTTTGTAATAAGATTTCAGAGATTCTCAACATTTAAATATATCCATGAATTCTGAGAGTTGTAACTACCTTTGATCAGAATTGTGACTATCTTTTAGTGCTATAATTCGAGAAAGGATAATAGGGTCAGCGACGGTAATCGTGGTTGGAGTGTTCTTGAATTTGAAGTTCAGTGAAGAATAAAAATGGAAGATCGGGAGGGACACGTCCGGGACTTATTAGGTTGAGATTTCAACAGCAAGTACTATTGTATAGTGGTAAAGGTCCGAGTTTTAAAGTGTATATGCCGAGATTTATTTACTGTACTTACCAGAAACAATGATAAAAATAACCGATTAAAGGTTACAGGGTTTCTGAAGAAGGTTCTAATCAATAATAAATCTAGGTTTCCTGGAGCTTTTGACGATGTGCTGTTTAGATGACTTCGCCATTTTTATTCGTGTTGTGGAACTTAACAAGACTGAAGCCTTTAGAATGAAGAAATTACCAGAAGAGTGATGAAGAACGAAGAACTGGCTATCATGCAATCACTTTTATACTAATTCACCAGCTATTTTCATATCCGATTGTTGGTATTTAATAATTGTTCCTTCATCAGTTTCCTTTCCTTTTCTGTTTGTATTCTCGAAAATGTTCACCGTTAACTTTGAATACTAGTAGTAATTGTAAATTGGTAAACGGGTTTGTCGTGAGACCAATTCACAATGAAGCATTTTGTAAATGTCAGAAGAATGAAAGTTTGTTCGAATTACATATACAAAAATAGTAAACATCCTTAAATCATAACATTGTTAAAGCGATCCTTTGGTAATGAGGTAAGAGCTCCAAAACGGGCACCCTCAAATTGAAACCAAGTGCTGCACAGAGTGGTATCTCATATCGCAAAAGCTCTTTGCGATTGGTTCGTAATGATGACTCCAAATACTAGAAATTTAAGTTCAATTTAATTTAGAACTCATTCGAAAACAATTTCAAAAAGGAACCTGAAGGAATACTTTTGAAGGCGATGAAATCATTGAAGTGAAACTAACGTTTACAACATCGGATACGCACATAGATCCAAAATCCGTAATTTTCGCAGCAATGAGAAGAGCTGCTCCAGCCACCAATTTCCGATTCATTTTACACACTAAGCCCTATAAATAAAGAGCTCTTAGGTATCGCTAACCCACGGGAGGTGGAAACCAGTTAAGAAACACTGCTTTCATTTAATTAATACCAAGCCTGATGACAGATCTTCCAGTACACATTACCGAGCTTTCTCAGGCTGAGCGAATCTCGAACATGAACACATGAACTGAATCACTAATTTAAATTTTAAAATATTTTTATTAAATTCTTTAAATGACCTTTAGGAGTACTTTCTCGTAGAAAACATAGGCATGTGCTGTTGTAGTATGTTCTAAATTACATGCAACAGCTATTTGGTGAAGCTCTCGTTTAATACTGAAAAGGAAATTAAAATTAAATCAATAAATTAGGAGAAATAAGTGAAGAGAATGTCAAACTCAAAGCTATCAGCAACTATTATCATTACGCTAGTTAGAAAAAAGTAAACAAGGATTTATTCGGGGACAAAAATAAACAAATACAAGAATAAAAACCTCTTAATTTTACTAAAGGAAACGTGAACATGCGGGAAACGTGAACGAAATGCTTCGTTTACTAAACGTTTCATTTCATCGTCTGGCTGATAATGCATTACTATGCTCTGTGAAATAAAAATAATCATAAGTATTATGTAATGATATAATTTGTCGAATCAAAAAAAAGAAACAGTTGCTGTCTAGAAGGGGGAGGAAACTTACTACATATCCATTAAATTTCATCACAGTTTTTTGAGCTCGGGAGTCAAAATTTGCTATAAAGTTTGGATCGTATTCGGTTGCAGTTGTATTGCAGCTGGAATTATGTACTGTTGAATGAAGTAATAATGATCCTTCTTCTATTGTGTCTGAAGCTCTGACACCTGAAATAACATTGAATAACATAAGACAAATGCAAATAAGACAACGGTAGAATAATATTAAAACGATGTGTATATGGTCTTGATAAACCATTAATACCTATAATCTTGTCACTAGTTGATATATGCCATCGAGTAGAAATACGTGGATATATTAAATTCTGAAAAACTAAGAGCATTTAAAGAAATCCATGAACATATCACACTCTTTAAGAAGAACAAAGTTGACATTAGGAAGTTTGACTTGTCAGCATGTAAGCTTACCGAGCTCTTGTTATCATCGAGATTTTTACGAAATGGTGAACTGTCACCTGATGAGTATGAAGTACTGCTCATATTTGTTGAAATCAAATCACGAAAACTGATTTCCTGCATTAATAACATTAATAATAGAGACACATTATACAAGTGAATAAGAACAGAACGCAGCAAGGCGGGGATATGTCTTGCAAGTACATTAGAGCAATTCCAACCTGCATGTGTTTATAATTAATCGGCTTGATCCTAGCATGAGCAAACGATATAACACCTAACCGATCGGAATCTTCGCTGAAATCTATCGTATCATTATGGAAAAAAAGACTGATGAGAAGTGAAATGAACTACAAATATTTAACTACAAATACATAATTTATCATATGAAGTATTCGTTGAAATATATTTGCGAAGTTCATTTACGCTTCATCACTTTCCAGAGATAAACAGAATGAGGTGGTGTTAATTCCGAAATAATAATTTCATTGGTCAAAACATGATAGTAACACCTTTGACTAAAAGCAATTGAACCAACCATATGTCAATTACTCTGGTTGTATTAGATGAGAAAAAACAATGACTGCCATTTTAAACTAGCCAGAAACCAAAAATACCCACAGCAATAGCGGTTAAAACAAAAAAGTAATGCCGTTACTTGCGCTAAAACTGAATTATAATTAATAATATCCCCATTGATAGCGAAGACTAGCACTTCTGATATCGTCCAAAGTTTTACCAGAAATTGCATTGAAAGGTTTAAAAAAAAGTAGCAAACATTGCTCTTATTGAGTATGTCAATCACCACTGCGGTCAAGAATAAATTTAACAGACCTTTGGTTTTTGACATTGCAAAGTTTCAAGAATTTTTGACGATTTGTCAATTCCTTCACATTCTGATCGCATTCTTCCATAAAAATTTCAGTATTTTAATGATATAATAGAGTTTTCAAAGTTACTCAATGGATGAAAATCTCTCCCGTAATTCACCATGAATTTTTTGCTACCAGCGGAATGGAAAGGATAATTGTTGAGTTGTATACAAGCATGAAGAAGATTGAAGTAAAACAGAACATAGTTGTATGTTGACTTACTAAACCCAACAGAGTCAAACTGAATTCAATAAAATGAACCCAAGACTTTTATTCTTCAAGGAGTTCATGCAGTAGTTATGATGGGTAGTGGAAATCATTATCAGGGAACGATAATAACTATATTTAAATAGTCCTACTGGAAATATCAGTACAAACCTTTATTTTCTGCTGATACATTAATGCAACTCTTCCTTGACAACTTCCTCAAAGACCTAAAGGTTGAAAACAAAATTTGAAGAATTAAAACAAAAAATTCGAAGAATTAAAACAAAAAGGCAAAAGAAATATAGTTTTCTACTCCCACAGCTACCGATTAATTGTATACATACCTAATAGAAGTTTCGTCAGTTCTGGTACTATTTATGCTCTTACTGTTGACAATACTGATTCCACGTATTTGACAAAGCTACAATTGCAATGTATTAAATAAAAAAGTGAATGTACGTTAATAAATGAAAACGTGAGTAAACTATATGAAATATATCGCTGTCTAATAAGATATCAAATAAAGGATGGATTCGATTTAGTTTTCACATGCACCGATTTTAAATCATGATATTTACAAATATGTTATTACCCACCTGCTTCGACATCAATATACCACCGTTTACTATCATTTTGTCATAATAGTCAGTTTTTTCCACTTCCCACTTTTCTAAAAGAAATGTTTAGAAGCTCCGGCAATAGATCATAATCTCATGTAATATCACGATATATTTTTCATCTCTTAGATATCCCTTATTTTAGACCTTCTCGAATATCACTACAATAAATAGAAAAGGAGATGAAAGAAGATATATTCATTTCTAACTTGAGGACAAAAGCATACCACCTGATTGTTGACAGTTCTCGCTACAACGGATATCCCGAGGTAGGCTATCATCATAACTAGATAATCCATCACTATATTCCGATTTTCGATTTCCAGAAGTGCCAAGTTTAGTCATAGATGACAGAGAATTCTGCATCAGGAGCAACTGATAAGCATTTCGTTTTGATGCTCCGTTATGCATATACATAACATCTACAGACCAATTCCTAAAAATGGGACATCATCCTTTGTCAAAGAATACTGGACTTGAATACTCAACTCCTTCCCTACATGTCTTCTCCATTTTTGCAAACCATCGACACCAATCATTAATCTACGATTGTAGACTAGTTCCCAATTGTCCTCACACTCTATTCCAGTACCCATACTATTAAGTCACACCTCACAGTTTCATCGGTGAAGTTTATCCAGACTACCTTCCATCCATAACAGTAATATGGTAGTCACAGAAACTGCAAATAAACAATATCTCCGCCCACTAAATCCATTTCAAAAACCTAAAATAATTTACGTGACCACACAGAGTAAACAAGTAATTCCAATGCTACGAGCATTGATGAAATATTTTATTGCTAGCAAAACTTTGTGTTCAACAACAAATGATAATCTCAATGCTGTCAAAATGAAAACTCCCAACTATAAAGGAAAAAAAGGAGAAAAATATATAAAGCAGGCAACATTATTGATTGTTATTATTATTGATTGCTTACAAAATATTAGCTTAAATTGCAAAAGGCTCTTCTGATATTTTTGTATTTATCACAAACAACATACCAAAAACTGCCTATATTATCACTGAAACTTAGCTTAAGTTGAATGTTTGGAAATGCATGGAATTTCAACTCCCTCCCTCCCCACCAATGATTATTAAATACACTGCTTTAATTCTCCTCAAACACTAGCGAATACAACAGTTCTTAAAATCCCAACAAATAATTCGACTAGCAAAAAATTATTTTTTAAACAAATAATTCGATTAGCAAAAAATTATTTTTCAAATTATTGTAAATGATGTTGCGTAGTTGACTGAGATTAAAAAGTTTAAATGTATGCATGTAATGTAGGATAAAAATTAAAACAACACATGAGATTAGAAATCAAATATGGAAATTTATTAAGACATAGGCGTCAGCAGCAATCATCTCGAAAATTTCAGAACGTTTCTTCGTGGCATTGATGTTCTAACGACTGTGAGATGAAGACGAACGTGAACGCGACCGTGAGCGAGTACGGGACCTGAAACGCATTTCAGAGTCATTCCTACAGTCAACATGTAAATGTGATTATTTCCATTGGCTTTTTCCTTCTTTCAGATAAACTTTTTCTCTTCCGTTCGCTTCCTCTCACCCAAAAAAAAATGCATAAGTTTTACCGCACCTTCTGCGACGTTCGCGTTCTCGGCGTGGTGGTGATCGTCTGCAAAAAGTAGCAAATTATTTCAGTAAAACAGTAATACACTCTGCAAAATTCTTCATCCTGGAGAAAATTTTCTATACATACGAAGCTAAGCTCGAACTTTTCCGAACAGCCCATGCTAAGTATAAATTTTATAGTTTCGCAAAAAATAAAAAGGATAAATCGTAGTCCCAGAGCAAATATAAAAAACATATAAAATGCGTTTCGTGGATGGTGTGAAGAGGATAGCACCTCTTTTACAGATCACTGAAACATGAATGTGGCACATTTGTTGCACAATGTCCGAAAAATGAATAAAAACCATTTTCAAAAGAACTGCGAATCGTGCACTACAGAGTTCCCATCACCATATACTTCCTCCATCTTCCAACAACAATATTCCAGAGTATGCCAAAAACACAAAATGATGGACCATCAACATCAAAACCAATTCACAGCTCGGCTCATCCATTCCAAACAATATGGACGACGGAGGGAGCCGAGCCAACAAACCAGTTACCATCAAAGTTTCAACACTGTCCATAATGATTCCATCACACACAAAGCAACCAAAGTTTACCATCATCCAGGCCTATATCAAACTAATTTAATGGATAGCCCTTCGTGTATCCCACCCATCCCGGATGAAATGGATATCATAGAGAGTTGAAAGGCAGCAATTCAGGGAAATGTGGCCGAATAACTTCTATAAGCCATCTTTCTTCCCCACCTTCCCATATGTTTCAACAAAAAAAATCCTATAACATTCACCTTCTATCTCGATCTCGACCATATCCCCCGTAACGTCCATAGTCTCCATATCGACTGCCGCCGTAGCCTCCATATCTAAAATTCCACTTTTTTTCATTCTCTTAGAGTCCCACTAATCCAAATAAAAATTAATCTATGAAATGAGAAACACTAATAATCACCTGCCATAACCACCACCACCACCATAATAACCACCTCCATAACCACCACCACCAAAACGATAGCGATCATGAGCACGAACTCGAGGTAATGCTACCGATACGCGTACTCTACAGTTACGAATGTACCTGCAAAGAAAATGTTTCAAAAACATGTTCTCTGATGAAAATGGTATACCTGAAGTCATACCGCATGCAACTACACAATCGTAGTTCAGCAGGCTATCAAAAGAATCGAATTAACAGTATTATTTAAGTTTATTCTTAAAAAACAGCTAACGTCACTGGTGAATCCAACATCAGGTTGAATTACAAAAACATGTAACTTACGTGTTGTTAAGTGCTGCCAACGCTTCATTGGCATCCGACTTATTTTTGAATACCACAAATGCAAAAAGTGGTGGGTAACTCGCTACCCAAACTTCGGACAGTTTTCCAAAACGCCTGCAAATGGAAGAAAATACGTGATGAAAAAATACTTGCTAGTGCAAATAAAAATTAAAAAAAGCATAGATCATGCGAGGTTAATACTATATTAGATGTTACTAACTGTTATGAATATTATATTAAAAGAAATCTTACGAAAATGCTTCTTCCAAATCTCGTGCACGTACTGACTCATCAATATTCGCCACATGAAGACGTCCTTCTTCGCCACGTTCTGGTGAATAGGTTTTACTGCGGCTTCGGGTTTTTGAACGTGTACGACTTCGTGAACGTGATCTAAATTATATAGTAAATTCTCCATCTGTTTAATAAGTTAAATGTAGACTGAAGTGATTATTTTATTAATATACCGTTCCGTTGAAGAAGAACTTGAACTGGTTTTCGACGTAGAACGTTTTCTCGGCGCCATATCTAAATATATCCCATTTATCTCAACAGAAAAAACAAAAATGATAAATCCAGAAGCACATCTTTTTTTCATGGCACTAGGAAGAAATAGTAAAACGAATAAGTGATCACGCAACGAATAAATGATTCATTTTTTCAAAATTCACTTCTTTCAAATCCGCATCCATTACTCCTTCAGAAATCACGAGATTCCTACAAAGTTATTCCTTCCTTCCTTCCACATTACACGAAACTAAGCATTTGATGGCAAACCAAAAGAGAAAATGAAATCTTCACCCAGAGATGGAAACAAAGGAGAGAAATCAATGCCGTGCACCAGTCACTACCTCATCTCTCATCCACTATCTCTGATTTCCTGCTTGACACACACTGTTGTTTACTGTCTAATCGTTTAGCTGTAGGTTTTACGTTATTATGGTAACAGATGCAAGAATTCCTGTATCGTTTCTATGGCAATACAGGCCCTCGTGAGATACCGATGAACATTAGCGACTCACTTTATCGACACATAGAACCTTCGATGCCTTAATAGGTAAATTTTCCAATATGCCTTTCGCATGTCTCATTTTGATATTCTCTTCAAATCCTTCTCTGTCTCTCTTCTAACAACCCCACACTATCTTTAAACCAAGCAGCCTAATTTGTGACGGCTAACATAGCTCGACTTAGGAACCATTTTGTAACGATGTATTTCTGGTCAGTTAACTCCGACCGGAGGTCATTATGCTACACTTTTTGGATTGAGACTTTGTTGTGTACGTACAATAAGTTAGGCGCAGATTTCGATCATTACGTGGAGACGCTAGCATATGTTGTTTGTGTTTTAATTAGATATTTCAGGTTAATAAGCACTAATGATGTGGTACAAAAATGGAAGGTCAGGATGAGCGCACATTCTTGTGTAGTTATCAGCGAACACGCGGATACGGCAGCTTATCAAATTTTCATGTTTCCACGAAAAGTTATCGTACGATCATTCAGCATCAAATTACACCGAATGATACACTTCAAGGACTCGTGTTAAAATATAACACTTCAGTATGTATTTCGTATTTGGTTCCTCGACCAGTACAAATCATTCAAAAGGCATTGTAACCGCAGTGCCATTTAGAAGCCTGTTTGCTGGTAGAAGGAAAAGAAAGATTGTCGAAGGTCGTCTCTTGACATTACGGTCCTACTTCAGAAGTCTCTATCTTTCAGAAAAAAATAGAGTTAAGAATTTCTATTCTTGTCGTCTTGTTTAGTAGAAATTTTTCTTCAGAAACCTTAGAAGTGAAATATATAGTGTTTGCTAATTTTCTGATCGCTTTTTCCCATATTTTTGAGAAAGCAATTTGATAATTCGAGTCTTTTCTGAAAGTCGGCTAGATAAGAATTGTTAATTCTATCAGCAAAGCAAGCGCTTGAAGCATATTGTTTCCAGTAGCAGTATCGACAAGATATTTATTGTAGATGAGCGAAATAAAAAGACTGAATCGTCTTTGGTCGAATGAAAGTCTCTACCTCAAGGAATACGTCGAGATACCAATTTATGATGAGATCCTTGAGAAAGGTCACGCATTGGATAGATCCACAAATGTGAAGAATCACCGGTGCTATGAGGAATCCAAGAAGTCACAAGGTATCGATGGAGAAAGCCTGCAGGATATCTTCAAAAGAATCGACATGAATATCAGGAAGACGACGTATAGCGTAAACAAGTTAACGGAGAATTCGACGTAAGTTTAACAACTTTCGATTGTTTCTTGATGAAAATCCGAAACTTCTTTTTTTATTTGAATAAGAGGATTAGGAAAAAACTTGGTTGCATTTTGTTGAAAATCATTCCTACATATTTCCAAATTACTCGTTTCGGCTCTCTGAAAATTATCAGTTGGTAGAGTCCTTGACATTTGCACCCGATGGCTTCCGTGCATATGCTCTTGCTTCGTAGGAAATTTCCTTTGTATTTTCTGCGGCAGTGGAAAAAGACCCGAAGCAAAGGGGCTAGGCAACGAATTTAACAATTTAGATTGATTTTTTTACTCATCTTTCATCTTTAATAGATCTTTTTAGATCTCCTCGATGAAGGCTTCGAAATGGAATTTACGCGAAGTAAACCAGGGTGTAAAGAATCGACATTCAATTGTAATTCTTCGCGTCTCCAAAATGCTTATCAAAACCAGTCAACTGTATCGTCATATTCTCTAGATTCATTGTAATTCTCCCGCATCAGTATTTATACATTCGTTGTATTCAAACAGATGTGCCCCCACGTAAATGTTTACCTTTTCTTTACTGGTTTACCATGTTAGCGTATCCCTACATGAACTGTATATTCATAGTACCTATGGAATTTCCTCAAGAGTCTTTCGCGATTCAGGCTTGCCCCGCTCCCTTATTATCAACCTTCGTCGAAAACCATTACACTCTTTTGTCGTGTTGGATGCAATTACCAAATCAATCCAGTCACAAATACACCTCGAGAAAATTGCACCATTGTGAGCTCAATAATCCACACACTAATGATTTTGAATCCTACTGGGCGTAAATCTGGAAATTACCTGCAAACTGTTTTTACCCTAATGTTTTCCAAATTTTTTGGCACTTTGAATTAGGTTAATGAATAGTTATAATATTCATTATCACTTTGCCTGAATCCGGTATTTCCCATGATTTTATTGTGAATAAATTACCGCAAATTGTTGATCTTTGCGACATTTACGCGAAAATTTATGCAACAAAACTCCGATATATAACAAATTATACGACAACCATTAAATATGTTACTTTGCAGCCGTCGTCTTCTTGGCAGCCTTTTTTTCAAACTCTTTCCGACGTGAAATCTAAAATGTATGACAATGAATGCTAAGGGGATAAGTAATGTATGGCCAATTAAGAAAAGGAAAAGATTGTACTTATACATCCAACTGCTGCTTCATACTTATACAATCTGTATCCTTTAGGAAAAAAAGCTAAGAAGGATTTGGGTAAGTTACCTGCGAGTGTGTAAAAGGCTTATGAAGCCATTCTATTTAATAGAGTCATTCTGTTTAATCTAGCTGTTGTTTAGGATGCCAGTGGAAGCACATAGGTCTTTGTAAATAGAAAAAATCATTACCTGAATTTTTTCTTCAAACGGATGTTGCGTTCCAAGTCGTCTACGATTGGTCAAAATAGCGGCGCGTTTTAGTACTACTGCATATGGATTCAATTTAACCATGATTGCAGACTTCTTTAGTGGATTGCGATGTATTTTTGCAGGCTTAACCTTATGTATGTTTTTCCTTTTCTGTCGAATGGCCCTAACAATTTCCTCCGAGCGAATCAGTGCCGAAAAGTCAGCGAGCGCCATTTTTGCTGTTGGCATGACGAATTTAGCTTTGGCAGTCGCTTTGCGTGCTACTGTCCCGTAAATAAGATCCAATTTACGGAAAGCAGACTCCGTCCAAATAATCAAACGTCCAAGATGGCCACCAGGTGCGACTTTCAACAAATTAAGATGATCTACTGGAAGCAGATGAATGCCCGGGATGTTCCTGAAAGCTTTGACGATACCGTTATCCTGATTGTACACTATAAGAGGACCCAACTTAGCCTTGTAACGGCGATTGCGTCCTTTTCCCTTACCAGCGCGATTACGTTTCGAGTTGTAAACCTAAAAAACAGTATCGAGAAATTAAATTAGTAACCAAAAAGAGATGTATCAGGTAATCCGTGCTGCTGAATTTTCTACATTGGTGAATTGCAGTTTTAAATATCAGCTTCTTTCTAACATTTGAACAAAAGCATAATGTGGAAACTAACTTTCACGATATCGGCCCAAAAATGTGAACGACGGAGAAATGAAACCGCTTCCTTTGTCTTCTTAAAGCTTTCCAATTTGTCAACAGCAACAAATGGGATTTCTGGTACTTGGTCGATAATGTGTCCACGGGCTTGCACCAAAGCTGGAACACCCGAAGCAGCTACTGCCGAAACCATTGCATACCGTTTTTGTGCAACATTAACACGACGATGCCAACGTCGGAATACCTACAATAGTCGCATCAACAGCTAACCTATCCTTCAAAAAAGTTAAGCATGTTCTAGAAAAATATCACAGTGGAAATATTAATCGAAATGTTGCTTAATTACTCAAAGACAAGTAAATATAAGAAACCGTCGAAATGTGGCTCAGGCTAACCATAAATGATCTGCAAATGAAAAACTAAGAGCAAATTAAAATGTAGAAATGAACCTTAGTTGGTGCAAACATGCGCCCGCCACGGCACATATTACCAAATGCACCCTGTCCAGAACGATGCGTACCACCACCTCGTACACGCGGAATTCTAGCTACCGCACGACCTGTACCCCATGATTCCGCCGAGGTTTGATGCCCTAAACATCAAGTTCAAATGTTCACCTAAGAAATTCAGCTATTTCAGACTTCGCAGAAGTTAGTAATTCCTTTAACTATTCACTAACCTAGTATCTTTTCTCATAATCGGTAAATTGATAAGGTCATGCTAGGTATTTAGATATTTTAAGCAACGGAAACCGTCACACTTACCACCTCCCTCTGACTTTTAGTACTATCTACTCCACAATAATAACTCAAGTCCCAATCTGCACTTACAAATCACCTCCCTCTAAGTTTGTGAAATATTTACTGCAGAGGTGTAGAACTTTAATAAAGCATCATACTTTAAAATATATACCGAGGCAGAAAAACAGAAGGACAAACCAGCTTCAGTTGAGACGGCATACGGCTGACGTTTATTCTTTCTTATTTGATCGTGTATAAAGGAAACAATATCTGGACGTAACGGTGCACGGAAAACACCCGGCAGCTTGATCTGACTGTCAGTCGCTTCGCCCTTATCATTATAAACGGTTACCAATGCGCGTGCGGTCATAGCACCTTTAGTAACCAAGAAACAGTTTTTAATAAGCTTTACATGTAAAAAAAACAATCAAAACTTAGGCGCATCTAACGCAACTTTTTTGTCCTTAACATTACGCTACAACATGCTTAACATACAATTTAAAGCTAATATTCTTTCATGATTCCATAAGTACGCTATAAATACACACACGAAGTTGCTATGAAAAACAGTCCGATAAATTTCCCGTGCAAATGATATTTCGGGATTGAACATTTAAAATGTACTGTAGATGCCATTAAACTTTCTTGGTAATAGTTTCTTGGTCGTCAAAGATAAAACACTAGGCCAGCATTGCAAGCAGCTTATCAGCAGTTCAACTAAACATAATTACAGCATACAGCTTCTAATTCCTCCCTCCCCATAATTGCCACACTCCTCGCTCGCAGACCTAAACTTCATCGTACGGCATAAAGCTGCAAGAGGCCTGAGCACAACACAAACTTCGTATTGGCATAGTTCGTATCGCTGACTTCTGCACGTCCATGAGGATTGGAGTGGTGGACAGTTCTATGTTCCGTAATGTCATATACAGAAAAGGAGGGCGAGTAAGAAGGGGCATTATATCGAGTGAATTAGTTTTGGAGTTGAATAATAATGAAGAAAATTAGAAACTGGGAAGCTGTGTGGTCATTCCTAGGGGAAAATCGTAAAGTATATAGTACATGAATGTGTAATCCAAATAAGCAAGCAAATGCGTTTTGGCCAGCGATGTACAGTTTGGGCGGAAATTGTGGTCAGGTCAAAAGCATACATGAAAGCATTTATCAAGTAACTTGTCCTCACTTTCATTTAAGAAAGGTAATTTTTGTCTGAATATACCTACAAAGGTCAGTGTGGACGATCAGATGGATCGAACGTCAAGTATGTTGATTCATTATGAAAGACCTGAGTATGCCAAATCTGCTACTGTTTTACACCGTCCAGATTCCCTTTCGCTTTTTCTTGATTCTTTAGAAAACCCACTATCAGAGAGTGAATTTACGAACCTAATGAGAGGGACGACAGTCCCATAGTCAAGTGAAAAGTTATTTTGTTGTTTATATGGATGTAGTGTCAAGCTGATTAATCTCTGTTTGTAAATTAAATCTAGTTGGTAATTGAGTAAAGAATTGAATTACGTCTTTCCAGGAAAAGAAAATTTTCAGTGAATTAAAAAAAGGTATTTGAAATTATCCTTTCAGAACCGAAGAGACAAAGATTGGTTGATACCTGATGGAAAGTTAGCTGAATTGTAACTAGAATTAAGAGGCTAACTCAGTTAAAAAAAGTTTTTGCTGTTTTGGAAGCGGCAATTCGGCGTGGTCAAGAGATGATGGAAAAAATGTTGCACGTAGCGGTAGAAGACATAGAAGACGACTGATCCGCTGGTAACAGTTCAAGTTTACTTAAACCTTGTCATAGTAACATGTGTCATTTATGTTATTTTGAATCATAAATTGTAGTGAATCTCGAAGAAAGCCTGTTTTCGTCTCAACAGGAAGATCTTTCAAAAAGACGTGCTTCACTCATGGTTGAACTTGTTTCCACGCAAAACGCAACGGGAAAAGTAGGTTTTAATTTATTTGAATTAAGATTTTTTTGTTGAGGAGTGATTTTGTAGGAAACAGATTTTCCTTACCCCTCATATTTGGTTCTGATTTTATGTTCAGAAAACCGAGTACAACGCATGGAAAACAGTTCATTGGTGGTCAATTTATTAGGGAACAGTGGAAAGAACAATAACACTTCTTTTGTGAAAATAAGGAAGTTTGTTGGAGGTAAGATCAGCAGCTAATTAGTATTCAGTAATGATCATACAGTTTTATATTTATATTATGGTGGAATGAATTTTCCATAGTCATTTTCTGTAGTTCACGGAGGACTTTTTGATTTAGGATATTTCAAACTGCTTCTTAGGAATTATTGACTTGATTAAATTGCTGCCATTTTAAATCATTTTTAACAATCTGAAAAAATTCATTTAGGTTGAAGCGTGAGAACTGAGGAAATGTGGTTTGGATTTCTGCGATGTTTATAACATCACGAATTGAGCTCCCACCACATTATGAAGTATTGTCCTCTGAAATTGTGATAACTCTTATAATGCAAATCTTAATTAACGTTCTTAAAATTTAATATTGGTTGTTGGATTAACGTGAAAAAAACAGTAATAATATTAAGCTCTTTGATTACTAGTTTCTTGTCAGCTTGCCAACTTTATGAAGTGCGGGGTGATTCATAATCAAATTTATTTGTAGATAAAGCAAGTGCGTACAAATGGTGATGTATCATCGGTGGTTTTTACAGAATATGTGCACTGTTTTGCGATCTCGACAGTAGCAGTGCCATTCATATATGCATATTAACTATCGCTATTTGCAGAATATCAATCCGTTTGAAATTTTGTTCAGTTAAAAGTTTCAGTTTAAATATTTCATGATTGTGCAAATACTTATTTTTGTTTCTTTGTGAGTTCTAAGGTTTTGTATAAATACTTTTCTTAAGTGAATAATTCTTTCTCAAAATAAATTTTTCTACGGAATCCTTCGTTTTTAGACACAGTTAATTGACTGAGATCACTTCGGGGTGCTATGTATATCTAGAATTTTTTTTAAGGATTTGATGGATTTATTACATTAATATTGTGAAGAGCTTGTGTACTTTCTATTTGTTAACTTTGTTACGTCACAATCAGTCACTTCCATGTTGACTGATTGATTGATTTTAAAAAGATAATTTTAAACTCCTTCAGCCATGTACGATTCCTTTTTTGTTTTATTGTTACAGTTACAAACGCATTTTATGTATATTCATAACCAAAGCTTTAGGTACATATTCTCCTTAATTATTAAAACTTTCTTGTTACTGCTATTGGCTCTAATGTGTTTATTTGTATTCGTCAAAGGAAAGTAACTTTTAAATTTATTATTTGGAGATAAGTTACTGAAACTCTTGCTTGATAGGCTTTTTACTATGTACAACAGATGTTTTTATGAATAAAATATTTTTTTTAATTAAATATTTTTCTAGCATTGGATATGTCATAGCGCATTATTCGTATGTTGTGATAATACGCTGTAACTTGAAGGTAATTAATAAGGTCTTTTAAATCTAATGTCTCTTAGGGGATATCAGAGCACCACTCAAGTTGATAAGCACTGGGCTACTGTAAAGATTTATTTTGTTAGAAGGGTTAATGCGGAGATTTTTCGTACATGTTTGCATGAATGTAGCATTCCTTCGAGAATAATATTTATAAAGATAATAAGATTTTTGAAAAGTTTCTTGTGGTTTCGAACATATAAGGTCGGAGGGACGATTTAGACTGGGACCTCTACTTTGCTTCGGCTTCCTCTTGTTAACTAATTTTGCATTAAATTCGGTTAATTTATTCAAATCAGTAGCTTTCAACTCACAATTTTGTATGAATTAAAAATATCTGTACAGGAGATGTCGATGCTGGACCAACTAGAAGAGATGGGTTTTCCTCACGATATTGCGTATGTTTCCACTCTTTTCAAGAAATTTTATCATCAATAATTTGCATGATAGAAAAATGAGTAAGTATGCAAATCGTTGAAAGAAAGAAATCCAGAGACCTGATAGGTTTCATAATAAATTAATTTTAGCGAAAAAGCATTACGAGAAACAGGTGAAACAGGGTTGATTGAGGCAGTGGAATGGATTGCGGCCCATCAGAAGGACAGTGATACAAGTCCGCGGGAATCTCTTCATCCACAACCACCAGAAGAAGAAAGTTCGATTGTTGAATTTGCTGAAGAAGAGGAACCATCGAAGCCATCGTCTACTGAAGTACCGCAAGCAATGTCATTCAAATGCGATGTGTATGAATATTTGAAATTTTTCTTTACAAGAAGTTGAATGATTCAGTTATATAATAAAGTGTAACGTACTGTAAACGAGAGGAGAAGTATTAAAGAGGGATAACAGATATGTATATTTTGCAGTTGAGATAGTTAACCTGGTTAGATTCTAATGGTATATATCGTTTTAATAATCAGTATTCCTATCTGTTGACATGTGCAACTCCGTTCTTTAGTAATTTCTTATGACTTCAACCGCCAAAAACCTAATCTTTTCTAATGTTCGAAGTATCATGTGACAGACAAGTGGTCATTTCACATGTAAAACACTAAGGAGAAATTATGAAAGAACAGAGTATGCTAGACGCTAGACATTTTACGGAACATTTTGCTGTACTCTACTTTTAGGTGTGGAAAACATTTTGCCGATGACCAGGCTGTTATGTTCCACGCAGCACGCACAAAACATGAAGCGTTTAGCGAGTCAACGGAAGCCGTGAAGCCGTTGACAGAAGAAGAGAAAAAAGAAAGATTAGCAGCACTACAAAAGAAATTGAGGGAAGCGAGAGCGAAAAAGGAAGACGAAGAGAGAAAGGAAACGCTAGAGAGAGTTGGTATTTGTCCCCTTGATCTTTCAAATATACTTTTTTCAAAAGTTTTTGCACTTTGTAAAACAATTACTATAATGGGAAAAGCAATTATTGTAGGAAAAACGACGTCGTTTAGAAGGAAAATCATTGGCAAAAGTGGAAGAAGAAAAGAAAGAAATGGAAATGAAAAGAATACTGGAAGAAAAGAAACGTGAAAAGCGTGAAGTTGTGTTTCAAAAAGTTTTGAATGAAAGGTATGTCATAGCATTAGTGTATGAACCACAATTATCTGTTAAGGAAATAGAAACACGGAAACGTATTTTGGAACAAATTCGTTTGGATCGAGAAGCTCGTAAGCTAACTGAGCAACTACGGCAGCCGCAGTCGACAGCGATGACGGTTAATTCACCATCGCCTGTTGTAAATAAAGCATCTCCAGTAAAGGATGATTGTTACTGTCAAATACAAGTGCGATTGCTTAACGGTTCAATCATCAGGGAAAAATTTAAAGTAAGTTCAGCTTTAGCATGATGGCCAGTAATGGGAAGCATGTAGGAGTTCACGTACTTCTCAAAATTGTTACCCAGTTAAAAACTGCATAGTTTTGACAAAACTATTACTCCTCTTTGAATTTTTGATGATGTGCCATGTAGAATAAGGCAAAAGTCACGTACGGGTGTACCAAAGGCATGTAACGATATCACTTTTTCAGTCAGATGAGCCACTATCTCATGTACGCTTATGGGTGGAAATGCATAGTAAGGATACAATGGATGGTATCCCCTTTACCCTCATGACTCCATTCCCTCGCAAAATATTTACCGATGAAGACATGGAAGCACCAATCAAAGCTCTCGGTACGTTTTAAGATATGAATCTAACATTCGCAAAACGTTTGCACTTGCTTCTTCTAGTTTGAATTGTGATTTTCAGGATTGGTGCCTTCTGCAAATATAGTTGTTACGCGCACTACACACTAGATTCAATTTACCTGACGAATGATGTAAGCAATCAGCCGATATTTTATAGTGAGAAGTGGGCGACAATCACGTATAACATCCACTGGAAACACTTTAGTTGTTTTCGCTATGTTATGTTATGCACAAATACTATCATGTTTTCTAAATTTTGGCGAATATCAGCTATTTCAGTCATGATAGAGTTTGATGTTTTGAAAACAAAATGAATCCTTACTAGCTTTTTATGTACATAGGTAATGAGGAAAAAAAAATCTAGTCCTCTCATTATTTAGGATACTTTTAAAAGGATTTAAATATTACTTCATCTATTAACACAAAGATTTGGCATTTTCTTTTCTGGAATTTGTGTCTTTGTTAAACATACTCAACTTACCGTAAACGTGCTTGATCTCTCCTACAACATCCATTGGCATACCGCATGTTTCCTAAATGTGCATAAAAAGCATTGGAAGGACAAAGTCTCGGTATTGCAGGATGCACTTAGTGTCTATGTATTAAGCATAGGTCAGTGAAATTAATGAATGCAGCAGAGGCAAAAGATCTAGAAACATTGCAATAATTACAATCAAGTGTAAAGTATATCGGAATATGGCGATAATATCAATGGCAGTAGTTGGAGGTTAGACTGCAAGCCAATTGCTCTAACACCTCTATTTCAAAAATGGAAAGATTCACACGGATTACCTTGCTCATTGCATTCATTTAAAGTGAAGCTAAGGAATTTACAATTATTCGGAACAATACTTTTTAAATGTTTAACACAGTGATATTTCTAAACAATAATTATAAATCTTATAATAGTAAAATTCAGATGACACAATCTATGGATGTACTAACTGCTAGAGTTTATTGATTTCACAATGAATTTTAAGACATTTGTCCTCACTGACATTATGTTATGCATCTTCTGCTACTCGAACATAAATAGGATAAATTCTGTGATTGAGATGAAAAAAATGCACAATGAGGTCAATAAAAGAATAATTTTGGGGCTAGTGATAGTCGCTGCCATTAAAATCTGAGGCAATATAGAAATCTACGAAAATGAAACAAACTTTGAAGGTAACGACTTAAAAATTTAATACAATATCTGCGAGATCAGCAAAGAAACAGTAGCTTCATGAATCTTCCATTTTCTCCAAAGCTGCTTTCACGCGTTCTTTGAGTGCACCTTTGTACGTCGCCATATCCAAATTTGGGAACTTTTGCGCAATCTAGAATGTAACTTTTTAGGCAAATGTTATTGAGAACAATAGCATCTTGTCTAAATCTTCTTGCTGGATTGATTGGTTATATCTAATCAGGGTTCGCTTTAATTTAGCAGTCAATCGTTCAGCGCCATATAAGACATTCGGTCCCACAAGTGAGCATGTCTCATGGAGTTCTAGAGCATAGTATCTATGCATGAGTTGCCTGCTTTACCGTTAATTTCACTGAAAAATCATCTCTTAATTGCTGGTTAACACAACTCTATCAATCTTGACTGCCAACAACTTCGTAATACCAATTTTTGGTCCATTATGATCGAAATCTTTACCCTTTCACACATCTGTTTCATCGTGCAGTTCACCAAATCCACAGAACGAAGTATTTCATTGATAGCACTTTCCACCTCTGCGTTTGAAGGTCCACCATCACCCCAAGTTGGATCTTCCTTAACTCAGTGAAGTATTTACATTTTTTTGCTTGATACTACGGGATGAAAAGCATCACTCATCATCCTACATTCTCAACCAATCTCCAAATGAAACCAGTCCTAGACCATTCTCAGTATAAATTCTGATCAAGGATCAAGGCGCGAGAATCTTGAGCAGTTAAAATAAAAAACCTTTCTCGCAGCGCTTTTGGAAACGGAAGTTAATTTGCTGGAGCCCTTCATTTTTTCTGAACGATTTTTTGTTGTGCGTATTGATTCAGATTTCTTTTCCGCATTCTCATCACCGCTAGATTCCTCCCCGCTCTGACCAGCATCGTCATTTTCACTTGATTCTTCTTTTGATTTCTTTACACTTTTTTTGTTTCCTACAAAAATCTTACATAACACAATCCATATATTTCTATCCCGTTGCGAAGTCATACAGATACCTTTCTTATCAATTCTGCTTCTTTTCACTTTTTTCCCTGATGATTTTGAAGAACTCCTCCGTTTCTTTACTGATGTGATTTTCCTGCCCTTATCTTCCGGTTTTTGCAAGAAATGAAGGACGTTCATCACCTCAAATAAGTTTGTATATTAAAATTTCATTACGTAAAATACTCTCATTTCGTACCAGTGAAAACTAACCAAGTTCATGAATTTAGACATTTTTATGAGCAAAAAAAGATGCAAATCACTACTTTGCAAATACACTTACTGCTTCTTCCTTTGTATGTCCTCTTTCTGAACCCAAAATTCTTCCAATCATATGTAACTGAAAAGTTAAACTAGCATCACTGCCATGCCGAAATCATTTAAACACTTCCATTCTCATGAAAAGGACTTGCCTTATTGTATTAAATGCAATATATCTCTTAGTAACAAACCATGGTTGTGCATTATCTTCTAAAAGAAACTCGCGATTCTTGCCACCAAGCAAGGATTCGTGGTGAATGGTTTCTACCGGCCTAAACGCTATATTTTAGTTTCATATATTCATTTATCTCAAAAAATCAAGCTTCGATATCTCGCCGTACGAAGGAACTGGTAGAGAGATTCGGAAAATGACGAACAGAACACATTAGTAAGAACTTTTAGGTAAGTTCATATGCACCGCATCATCTAAACCGAATATTATAAAATGTCCCAAGCCAATCACCGTGAATCTATCCAAGAAATAAATACATATGATCATTCAACAGCTGGAATCACGAGCTTCTATCGGAAAGGCATTTTATTACATCACCTCACATTATTTATCTTTAAGCTCCGTACTATTATTATAGACATCTATGCACGGTACACAAAATACCTATGTTGTGAGCAACAAGCTTCTGAAGCTACTAAAACTTTCGATTGAATACCTCGTTATTTGTAAGCTTCATTGCCGTTGCCTTCTTCTTATCGAAATCAATACTCTTTTCATTAAATGCAAAACCGTTAAATCTTCTAAGGTCTCTTTTTCTGGACGTCGCTGTCCCAGGAGTGCCGTAACATAGCCTGTGAAGCCATTTCAATGTCTCATTTTGTGCTTTAGAAATGCCAGTATTCACTAAAACCGAAAGAATGTCAGATAAAATATATAATCAAAGAAAAAATTACGTAAAACTTTAAAAGACTATTAGATTAAATTTTCGAGAGTCCCTTAAACTATATTTGTGATTATTCTTTCTAGAAAAAAATACCGATATGTAAAAGGTAGTAAGTGAAATCTGATATGAGTGTCCGAAATTTCACTATAATAACTGTGAGTAACATTACTACAAACATTGCAATTTCAGTGCTGATTTTTGAACGAAAATTTTACCGAATTCAATGTCACCCAGAGAAGTTCCTGATCCAACAGCGTCCAAAGATGCTTTCCTTGACGGCGGAGATGAGACAGCTGCGAGTCGTTCCACTGCATGGCGCTGTCTTTTTCCTTCTCTCACAACTGGCTCATCAAGAAGACCTATAAACCCAGTGATAATGACAAAAAGCACTCTGCTATGTTCAATGATATGAGCCCAAAAAAAAAGGCATACTTATTTATTAATATCACTAATAATCGACCTCAACTAAAGTATAGAAGCCACATGCTGATCACTGCCATCAAAAACCACATATTGCTTTGAAAATTTCAAAATTATGAAAATAGTCTTTGGCAAAAAGAGAACCTCTTTTTACAGGCTTCGGTTTTTCCTTTTTAGCGACATCTTCGGTTTCTCCCACATCACTGATCGTATCATTCATTTCACTGCCACTTCTGTTCAAATCTTCAGTAAATGGTTCTGAACTTGCCACTTCCTTTATTTCCACACTCCCTTCATCCTTTTCTCCAACATTTATTTCGTCTTTTCTAACATCAGCTATTGTTCTCTCTTGTTTACGATCGCCAACAATTTCCTCTTCATTGCTTTCATCTTTGGATCCCTCCTTTTTTTCAAACTAAAACAAACAAGTACGAAATAAACACTGTCACTACAACAGAATTTGCGATGAAATGTTAATGACAACTATATTACCGATAATCATATGACAAATAAACGAACATTCTTACCCGGTCGCCAGCTTCTCCCTTATATTCATCAGCCATTGTAGTACATACGATTAGAAGCCTGTCTCACCAACTATAAAGACATGCTTAAAGTGAATTATATCAGCTTGCTATATTATTATGAGATGATGACTATTAATAACAACAATGCAGAAATAATGGGGAACAGAAAGACGAAAAAAAAGGGAATATATATTTTATTTCGAGGTTCTGAGCAATCCGAGACATGCAAATCCAGAGACATATCAAACTTGAAACTCCTTGAATCTTAAACGTCCTGAAACCTAGCACCACCGTCACTTCCTTGCGTCCCGCCAACTTTGCACATTTTAAAACTAAGACCCGCCTGGATTACCCGCATTAAAACCAACAACTCATCGTATCCCATTCTTACATAGCTTGTCACTGACTCGATATGAAAACTGCGATCCGGGGAGGATATTTATTGTAGACAAATATGATTTTACGTCGAATTTCAACGTGAATTTATTGTTAGGGTATTGGGCATGGACGTGTGTATCATCATCAAGGCGTGTAATTTTGCAGCTGAACGTCATCGCTTGCAGAGACGAAAAGATGCTGCGCAAACGCCTTATATCAATCATCCCATTGGTAAGTTTAGTTTTACTTGCCGCAGCTATTTGACTGGCAAAATATTTCGATTTAAAAGAGTATAGCATTTGGCGATTGATGTAACTGTGCTACTCAAGAGTGCTACACGTGACACTTATTTTTGTTCTTTTACGTATGAAAAATTAAGTTTCCCTATGTTACATTCCTATTCTCACGTTAGGGAGCATCAAATTTTGGAATTAAAACACTTCGGATTTATTTTAGGTGTTGCGAGTATATTAACCTCTGAAGCTGGTGTAATAGATAGTGCAACGATTGCAGCAGCACTGTTACACGATACCGTTGAAGATACAGATACTACTTTCGAGGAAATTAGTGGCTTATTTGGTGAAGAGGTGTTTTTCATTCTATAAGTTTTTTGCTAGTTTAAAGAGAAACAGTTTAAGTAACGAGACTCATTGATTTCAATTTCAGATTAGTCGGATCGTACAGGAATGCACCGATGATAAGAGTTTACCAGTCTCCGTGAGGAAACAGCTGCAAGTTGAAAATGCAGCAGGACATTCGCATAAGGTTAATTTAAATTTTGTATCAGGACGGGAAAGAACAGAGTCTACTCATTCATTCGTACTATGTCGTATGTTTTACATTTTTTCGATAGATCGCTTATCTTGAGAAAACTTGTTCTTTATTTGATGTCACCTAATGCTTAGCATATCACCCTGAATACAAAAACTAAACTTTAAAGGTTTGTAGGAAGTGAATCTTAGTCCTCGAGCTTTATCGTTTTTTTATCTTTTGGTCAATGATTTCACAATGTTATTTTTGTATGCCGCCTGAGGAGATTTTATTAAAGTGAGTTTCAAATAACATAATTCCAAGAAACTCTTGTTTCATTAAGATTTTCTAATAATATTAGTAACTGAGAGGTTAACTCTTGGCAAATGATACTTTCCACTAAAATACTGAAGACTTAATGTGGATATGCAATTTTTAAGGAGTAGAATCAACCAATCACTAGTAGCATAGTGAGCAATATACTGTTATTTTAAGACTTGGAAAAGGCAATATATCATACTCTAGTGAGATACAAATACCCGGTAGATAGTATTATTAAGGGAATGATTAAAAAATTGTAAATACTCGAAGATATACTGCACAGATCTTCAAGTCAATGATATATGAGTATGTAATGAAAAAGAGTCTGCACTAAGTGGATTTGCGTATTAAATACATGAGCAGTCTAGTAATCTGAAGAATTATTGATTTTCATGTTGTGTAGTTCACGAGGTTTATAGATACAGTATGTTTTAGGCAAAATTGGTTCACCTCGCAGATAAACTGTATAATTTGCGGGATTTGGAGCGTGGTACACCAGTTGGATGGAATGCATAAAGAGTAAAAGAAAACTTCATGTGGTCGAAAGCAGTTGTATCAGAATTAAAAGGAACCAACGAAGTTCTGGAGATTGCTCTTGATGATGTCATTAATAGATATTTGTGCAAATGTTGATTGATTTTCGAACTTTATAGTTTAAAAAAAGCAAAGCTGATAACACTGCACAATACTTGATCGCTCTAGCAACGATGTTACTTATGTGCTGTTTTTGACAAGATGTTCTGGGTAGGTTTTCCAAATTTTAAATCTAAATTTATTCATCTTAAAGAGCCAGGATTGGAATGGATAATTGAAATGAAAATTCATAAATTTTAAGATCTTGCTATTTACTATTAAGCGTAGGAAGAATTGCAGACGAAATTATTTGTAAATTCAATTGGATTTTAAAGGAACATTATAGAAAACACCGAGAAATTTCTGGCACATTATAGCACAAGGCACCAATTTTACCAAAGATAAAAATACTATAATGAATTCTGAAAAAAGTATTAAATAAGAAAGTAGAAAGCGGGATGCAGGACTTCATTTGGGCACATCTTATATGATTCATCATTCCTAAGTTCAAAATACTGCAACGCACTGATGCCTATTAAAAATGAGTAGATGTCAAACAATCTGAAGAATGTTATCAAATGCGACACACTTGCAATGTTAAAAAACATCAATCCACATCTTTATTATGGTCTGTATTTGTGACCTGGAACAGCTGCGAAGCATGTTGATTGTATTGTTGGAGGTTCCTGCATTCGACACTCTTCAATACATCGTTCACGCATCATTACTGTTGTTTCTGCTCCCGCTTCATAGATACTAGCTCGCGTCTTATCCGCATGCTGCCCTGGATAACTTAGTATTGTAGGATTGGGAAGTAATGAACCTGGAAAAGAGGTTTCGCTTGCAAACAAGAAAATAATTAAAAGATTCTAATACGCTTGCTAGAAATCTTTTGCGAGCACCTTTAGAATTATCACAAAAAACCAAAGGTACTTTGCAATTGCGGATGCATATTTTGTGACAAATAAAGTATGATGAAGAGGAAAACAAAAATCTAAGTTTTTAACTGTGATTAATAATGATAATGGAAATGGAAGAAATAAATTAAATTTAAAATGTTTATTCAATTACTTATTGAAATACAGCTCCATAAGTAAATTGAGAAGTGATATTACAAAGAACGTTCTCATATCTCTCATATTTATATTCATATTATATGAGTAAATTCTCATTCTCATACAAGGCACTTATTTCCATATTTAAACGAATGAATAGAAAAAATTTATTTTGACTTTCATTTATTTGCAGATCTGACATATTAACTCAAGTTAATAATTTTTTGCAATAAAAGAAATTATGCTTTGGAACTTTTTGTCAAATATCCATTCTTAAGTAGTTGTTTTATGACTACCCTACTACATGTCTCTCAAGAAATAACTCAGATCATAAAATATTAACTGTAGAAGATAGAAGTAAAAAAAAAAAACTAATACCATTTGTTCTTCCTTGAAGACTGTCCTGCTTTATGCGACGATTTTCCGTCTCCAGCTCCTGTTTCACTTTACGTAAATCGTTCACTAATTCCATCAAACTAGCATTCGTAAATATCAACCTGCTATTTTGCTCCTCCAATGTTGCCACACGTAGCTTGAGATGGTTAACATCATCCTGCGTCTGAGGATCTAAGATGAAAAGGCAACTAGCCCAGCAAAGAGTAATATTATCTTGGCTATTATCTACTCTTGTGTTTTTACCATTGGCTTCCCCTTTCATTTACAAAATTTCATTTTAATTCGTGACAATTATAAATCTCAAGTTTTTGTTTTGTCCAAGAAAATTTCGCTCTTGTCTGACAGAACGAAACATTCCACTGTAGCAGTAGAAAAAAACATTCCACTATTCTGGTATCAAATGATACGCCAAAAATCGCTCATAGATATTGTTAAATATACTTAACTTTATTATTTTTATGACAGATATACAACCAAAGATGTCAATGAAATTATTAAAGGTAAGATTTACTTAATGTAATCACGTTAGAGAGATTTGATAGAAATCAATTACAGAGACCTTCGAAAAGTAAATTGCACATGGGAATTATGTTTACTAAATCGTAAATTTCTTAAAATTTCAAATATACCTGGTGATTTCTTTCGAATTGACCGAGCATTATAGACTTGTTTCTTATCCCGAAGTGTCGCTTGTGCATCCATATTACCAGTCGAATCAACCGAGAGCTCATTCCAAACAGCTGCTGGACTTTGTGATCCTATGCGTTCCTTGATCTTAAGCAAAGTTGATGGATAGGTCCTCATATATGGGCTTTGGCTATGTTTATTGTTTCCATGAGGACGTGGTTGCAAATTACAGTTCTCTAAACATTTGTACGACAGCAAAGCATTTCCTGTTGCTCGTCCATCTCGGGTCAAGTAACACAAACATTTCATTAAACCAAGAGGTGGATCCGAATGAGGATGGCTGCCGTACTTTTTTCTTATGATGTAATATGGATGCTTGCTATCCGGAACACCTGCAGCATTAACTCTTATGCTCTTACAGGTTGGCCTTCGTATGGTACCAGCCCAGGAACCTGCAATTTAATTATTTCATTGTTAGTGCAACGAAGAATATTTTTAAGAGGAGGAATTTAAAGTTGTAAATATTACAGTTTACGTGATGTGATAAAGTTACTACATAACCCATTTTTCAAAATAAAAAAGACTGCAGAAGTATTATAATAATAAATAAAAGTACTATTCAATGTTATCAGCACAAGTTATTCTGGAATAATTCTTTTGCTTTTTTTTGTTGGTAAGAAGGGTTGTTTCTATTTGTTTACTATTTTAAGTTTACATTATATTGAACCACAGAAAAAATTTGTTACTTTTACATACTATTGTTATTGCACACGCTATACGTTTTCATTTTGTTTTTTAGTAATGTTCGAATGAATTTCATCTTTCGTAAATTTATGTAATTCTTCAAATTGCCACCATAATGAGATGAAACAAATGCAAGATAGATGTGAAAAATTAGTTAAAAAAATAACACCTAAATTGTCCACCCAAAGATCTCGCTCAGGAATGAAATCCGTATCCAGAAGGAATGAAATTTCGAAAGGTCGACCAGTTAAATAAATCTTTGGCAATCTTGTATTCCTTTTCAAAGAACTGAAAACAAATATCAAATGATTAATCACATAAAGTATTTGGTTGACTGCAAAAGATGCGAATCATTATAATGTACAAAGTATTACAATATCATATGTCAATTTTAAACGAATAGGACAAAGTAATCTGATACGAACATAATTTGTTATCGAAACTGTATCGAATTTGCAGAATGGACAAAAACGGTGTTTGAGTTTCCGTGAAGAGAAGCTCGCCATCATATCATAGCAAAAAAAATCTTTCTCAAAAATGTTTAATTTTATATTAGTTGAATAATATGAACCAACTGCTATTAATACTGATCAGTTATGGTCATTTTTGATTAAGCGAAAGGATATTTCTGCATAATAGACGAAATTGTTTAATCGTATTGTAATATCATGTTTTGTTGGAGCAAAATGAACTAACAATGGAGGATATCGAAATATGCTAAAACGAATTTCTAATTTTCAAACAATTCTAAGAATTAAACAACGTGATAAAGACTGACTTACCTGCTAATCATATCTTTGACTGGTAAGTCTTTAACTTTTGATATATACTTATAGTTGTAGATAACACCATCTACGATAGGTAACGAACTGAAAGAACATAATTAAATCTATCTGAAAATAACATGATGAAACATTTCAGCAAATTCTTTATATGACATCAACCTTGAAAAGCCAAAAATCTGAAATCAATATACGTCAAAATACAATAACTTCGTAGGTTATTAGAGAAATAGTTAAGAAGAAATCAGAATTAACTAAAGCTCATGAAGTTTCAAACTAAACAACTCACATCCCATCTTCAGTACTTGTTGACGGTCGACTTTCTACCTCAGATTCACGTTTTTCTTCATGTCGACTTTCGCCATTATGCTTGTTGAATTTATCAGCGGCAGCGAGCACTTGGATTTCTTGACCTCCTGATAAAATCAACTGTTGCTCCATTTCAGGACATCTGCAATGAAATACAGTTAAAGATAATTTTATTTTTTTTCTAATTGGAAAATTTCTTTCCAACTTTCTACAGTGATTATTCGTTTTTGTTGTTCTATAAATGTTGGATTTTAAAATTTAAGTAAACAATATATTTGATGCTGCAAATAATTATCAATTAGATCGTTGAACAAATGAAAAGAAAAGAAAACTGAGCCACTAAGGAAATCAACAAATAGCTTGGCGAAATAACAAATTTAAGCAACAAAATTAACTTATTGCATTCACTTAACTCCGATAGCAACATCGGCCTATGCCCTTTTCTTATTCTTATTTATAATATTAATTAAATTCAACTTTCTACGAGCTAATCTATTTTCTTAACACTCCTTCCTTTCTTTATAAAGCATTTATTAAATCACAAATTCAAAAATACAAGGAAAACTATGCAAAATAATGATAATATACTGTTATTGAATTATCTATTTCGATTACATTCAACTAGTTTAATTAGATTTTAATTTTATAAATTCATTTCATTTCATTACTCGCTCGTGAGGTCATTTTTCCGCCAACATTTATATCATCCTAACAATGAGAAACTGCATTAATTTGTTTCCCGACACTTTTCAAAACACTTCTAGTTCTTTTCATTGGAGATTTTCACACTTTCAGACATTTCCCCAAACGTATAGAGTATAAACTCTTTTGATTTTTCTTTTCAATCTTTAACAACGTGCTATTCCACAAATCTTATTCCTATCCTTCCAACATGCTCTCTTTTCCCTCTCTTCACTCTCAATTTTTCACTTACACATTCTCAAAATATTATCAAATGTTTCCATAGTCCTTATTCATGGAAATGTATCATTACATTATGATTGTACTTATATCATACGTAAATGATGCTATTCTCATTGACGTACACTTCCGTAATACGGTATAATGGCAAATTAACAGATTACTCGCGCACACGCAGATTTACGTGAAAATAAGATTGTGAGAGCTACTAATTATCATTCTATTAATGTTAAATGTTTTTTATACGGAAAGCCGTTTACTTTTTTCTAAGATTATCTGTGCTGAAGATAAAGAAAGATGATATTATGCGAAACGGGCATTTTATCAACTTATTTTTATCATCTACAATGTTGTACTGTATTAGGAACAGGACCATACCATATTAATGCTACATCAATACTACAGTAAGCACACTGTCATCAGTCTGCTTGACAATGAAAATGGTTGAGGAATGAATCAAAATTTGGGAAGAAAATTTTTCTCGCCTTAAAAATACAAAATAAATGGAGGTCTAATTTTAGAAAGTTTGACTATAATCCTTCATTGTTAGCATATAAAAACCTTCTCCATTTCTCCATGAAGCAATTGTTGAACAAATGGAAAGAAAAATGGGATGAAAAAACAATCACCGATCAGTCGAAAATACGCCGCTCTCCCCATCACAGAAAATGACAGCGTAACACGTGCTTACATCCAACAAATTTCATAAAATTCGCCCTCCGATCCTTGGCATTATGTCGGCCGAACTTTAGCAATACAATTGGTCAGCGATTTCTTACAGACAGTTTGTCAGTCGCTTATCAGTTGATCTAATGAAAAATGGGACTTGCACATTAACATTTCCCTTTGCTTAAACGCATTATGTCTGCATTAAAATTAGTGGGTGAATCTGTGATGACATACGCTACTCAAAGTAATGAACTACGGTACGCCGTTCGACGTATAACTTCATGTATTAGTAGTGAAGTTCCCCATGTTATCACTGAAAGGAAATCGATACCGGTTTGTCCTTTAATATCTTTTTAAATTCTCATAAATTAAATGCTTCCCAATCTCACCAAATCAATCCTGGCTTACGCAATGAGAGATATCGGAGAGATATTGGAATGCATTCCAGATGACGTTACACGCTGTTTGATTTACCCATATATATCCAAACAACTCCGTATATATACTATTTTAAAAAGTTTAGTTTAAAGACTCTGCTTTTGACTACGGACTATTGCTTGAACATCTTGACAAGTGACTGAAGTTCATGACTGTAAATATGTCCTGCATTATTCCAGATATCGTTCGAAACAAACTTCTTTCGCTAGTATGACGTTAGTATGAATAGATGAAAATAAATGGCTGAATTGTTAGTTTAAAAGCTTCCTTTAAATTGTTGATTTTTTTTTTGGAAACTCTTTTTCGAAAATTTCTTTCAAATAATTAGTAGTTTTTTTTCTTTACAGCTAGAAAATTTTTTACCAGAGATTAGTATTAAGCCGTGTATGGTCTATTATTGTGCCTTCAACAGATAGTACAATGTAATAAATATCCTGGTAATTTCCAGATAGTTCAAAATAGATTTTGAATTTCATTACACATTACAGAATCCCCTCATTGAAAGAAATTTTTTTTGTGATTATATCATTATTGTATGGAATTTTCTCAATTTGTCTCTATTTCACTCAGTATTTATTTCTAAGAAAAATATCGATCGATATTTCAAATATCGATAGTTCAATATTCAATATCGATAGTTATTTCAAACAAATGTATCGATCGATACAGTGTTATTTATTCATTTCATATTTCTTCTTTCCAAATATTTGCAATAAATCCATAAGAATGAAAATAATTCACTTAATCTGTATACATAAATTACATAAATTTGAAAAAGAAGGTATCTTTTTCCCTTTTTAAACAAGCCGATTGAAAAAAATCTGATCAGTCAATTTCTCCATTTTGTATTTCAAAATGTTTATTTCAGGAATTAAGGAATAAAATAGGTGTACTTCTGGTGAATACCGGTACACCAGCTAGTTATGATTATTGGACGGTAAGACACTATCTGCAAGAATTTCTTAGTGACCGACGAGTTATTGAATTACCCCGAATCGTCTGGTGGCCCATCTTGTATATGTTTATGCTAACAGGAAGACCATTCACCATAGGGAAAATCTATAAGTAAGATGTTTTAAAAAAAAGAAATTAAGCTATGTCTAATAAATTACTTTAAACTATATAATTATCGCATCATTTTTACAACTGCAATAATAGAATGCAAAATGCCATTTTATTATTGCCTAGTGATTATGATCAAAAAACGATAATAATGGAAATGTTACAATATTTAGATCTATATGGAATACAGTAGAGAACGAATCACCATTGCTTACTATGACTCGTAATCAAGCTTCTAAATTGGCTAATCGTTTACGTGATGAATCGGTAATGTTATAATGTGGGTTGTTTTTAGTAACAATAATTATTGTAGTAATAATAAATTAATGATTATGAAAGATAGGTAAGAAGATTAATCCTAGGCACGCGTTAGTAATGCTTTAAGCTCCGAAAAATCACTTCAATGTGTGAAACAATAATGGAATTGATTTTATGTTCAGATTATAGTTGACTGGGCATTTCGATATGGTGAACCATCAATCGGTTCCCGAATACATAAATTTGAAAAAAAAGGTATCTTTTTTCCTTTTTTAAACAAGCCGATTGAAAAAAATTGTTTCGAGTCACCGAAATACTTCATTTCTCAATCACGTTCACTCTGAAATTAATCTTAATAATACTTAAATTGATTCAATCAAATAAACCGATTTGATGATTTTGATAAATTTTAATAAAGGGATCTTAATTAACTAAAAATCAATCAACAAATTTAACAAAATGCGAATAGAAATTTTTTGGATGGAATTTTAAAATTTCTGCAATAATCAAATTTTACTTAAATTTTTATGAAAAAAAAATTTAGGATGTGACAAGCTTATCTTGTTTCCCTTATTTCCACAATTCTCTAGTGTTACGAGTGCCTCCATTTTCGATGAAGTAAGTTTGCATTATTTCACTTATTCGTAAATATACTCCCGTTGAGCTGTTTAATTTAAGAGAATTTTAGAACTTATATATTACTCATGATCAAAAATTTGACAACAAAAAAATGATTCCTTTATCTATTTATTATGCTCTTTCCTTATTACTCACTATTCCAAGTATTTTCTTTACTAACTTTTCTTTTTTATCTCAGAACTTTCGATATTTTATTTTTTTCTGATTTTAGACTTGTCGTTGTCTAATGAAGCAGCGTCATCAAATGATTTTGTCCGTTGTGCCACCATTTTATGATCACGAATTGTATATCATGGCAATCTTTAAGCATCTGGATTCTGCCTTAAAAAAATTCCGATCATCACCGCAAGTAATTATTGTTTCATATCATGGAATACCATTGTCATATCAAGTCAGAGGTGATCCATACGGATTCCATTGCAAGTATACAACAGAGCTCTTACGGTTTGCATTTTATGAACAGTGAAGTAATTATTAATAGAACACTGCACAATATTCCAATTACTTCAAACATAAATCCTTAATTTTTGTGATCGCGGTATAGAATTAGTTCTGTAACAATTCCAGGCAAAGATGGAAAACTTTAGACTGTGACTTAATAACGACATTCCAGTCCCGATTTGGTCCCGGAGAATGGTTGAAGCCATACACTGAAGATACCGTCATTGAATTGACCAAGTAAATTTTTGGGTTTAAAGTTAGCATAATTTCGAGTTATCTTATATTTCGATATTATGGAAATCTTCATTCATTTTAAAAAAGAAATTACCGTAAATAATAAAACTCCACGATTTTAAGTGGGTTTAGATCATTTAAGCTAATCGAAATAATTGTTTCATTTATAGAAATGATTAATAGGAATTTAACTGTTTTTTAATTTTTTCAACTTTGAGATGTGGAGTGAAACGAATTATGGTAATTGCACCTGGTTTCTTTAGCGATTGTATGGAAACAATTGAAGAATTGGAACTTAGACTTGCCGATTCATTCCGGTATTTTAGTTTATGGTTGAGAGTTCATCACTAAAATAGACGGATATTCTTTATAGTTATATTCATAAATTTTTCGATTTCCATTCAGTCTAAATATAAATTTCTAGGAAACATGGTGGAGAAGAATACTTTTACGTGCCTTGCTTGAATGATAGTACAGAAGCAATCGACATCCTTGAATCACTGTCTCGGAAACATATTCAATGTTTTTTATAACCTTCACTAGTTAGCAATTTACTTCCAATAGATGTATTCTGGTATATTTGTAATTTATTAGAAAAATAAATCGTATCAGTTTATTAGTGCGTCTTCTTTACTTTTATTTTCTATCTCTTTATTTGTGATTACGGAAAATGTATGAAAATTAGTTGGAAACGTACCTTTCTCCCCAGATTTTAGTCTTTTGGCTTATGTTATAACATAATAGAAAGTTTAAAAATGGCTGAAATCCAAATGTAGAGCAAGTTTAACTCTTCTTTATTCTCCTCTGTAAACTATCTTGTATCTAATGCACTTATAGTGTTCATGGCCCCAATAGGAATTACTTAGATAAATTAGTAGCAACAGATGACATATGAGACTATGTTACTTCTACCTACGTTATCTCTTCCTTATCCTTCCGGTCACTTTGATTATTCGGCACATCTCATATTTTCTGTGGTAAAGGATTCTGGATTATAATAATCAAAACGGTAAATTTGGAATTCAGAACTTTTCATAGTTCATATAAATTTTCCGAAGAATCAACCGTTGAAAAAAATTTATAAATTTTCCGAAGAATCAACCGTTGAAAAAAATTTATAAATTTTCCGAAGAATCAACCGTTGAAAAAAAATACGAGGCAAAAGAATTTAAATGTTTGAAGTGCAGATAAACTCATTTATTATTAGGAAGATTCGGCACAAAGTTTCCCGACTAGATAGAGCATAACGTTGATAGATAAAACCTAATATTCATATTATGATAGAGATTCATTATTATATTGCTTAGATTGTAGTAAAATTTAATGTTGAATAAAAGTTGTAAAGTTATTTCTTATTATCATCGAATCAACATCAGTGAATCTTGCAAGATTTCAATTATAAAAAAAACTGTTACAAATTATCCATCAAATTTTCAATTTATATACTTGTAGGAAAGTTACATTTTTTTTTACTACTTTTCAAACATATACAGAAATTTGAAAGCATCGGTTAAATGAGGTAACAAAATGACAACAACACAAACAAACAATGCCATAAGAATTATCTTTGCCGTACACAAAATATTTTTTTACAACTTCACCATTTAGCAATGGTCTTTTTTTTTAAATTGAACTGAATGCAGAAAATATTTGCGTGTAACTTTATCTTCAAAGTATGTTTGTTGACAAAAATCCTCAAAACAGTTTGCACTATTATAGAATGGATGGTAGTGAAGTGAAGTTAATGAAAAATGAATGGACTCATATTATTCTTATTTCTAGACAGACGTAAGAATTATGATTAGTAAGTAGTAGCTTATCGATGATAAGCCAACCATTGAAGGAAGATATGAACTAAAAATTTCATCGTCCGGAGATTGCTATTTTTACATTGAAAAAGAGAAATCCATTTTTTAGATGTTATCAATGAAATTTTACAAATGAATTCCTTTATTTTAAAAGTTTTCTTTAATTATTTTTACTTCTAAGTTGAAAGTATGCTCATTAAATATTCTGTTATGACAGGATTTTTTTGGTGCTCTGATAAATTTTTTGATATTTTAACTGATATTTCAATTGAATTTTTCAAAAAAATTATTTTTTACCGCAAGTAACATATTCCAAGAAATGCCAAAATAGATTAATGAAATTCAAATATGGCAGTAAGCATGATGGAAAATAAAGGTATTGCAATGATCGTTAGGATGAATTTACCGCTTGGAATTCTATTATCGGCGCCTTGCATCATATTCTTTCTCATCCGTATCATAAAGTTGTTTGTATAGTGGACAACAGAAGCAACACCAACAGGACAGGAAAATGAGTACTGAAAATAAATTGTAATCATAATTATTCTATATTAACTCTTCATTTCATAACGTTATTTCACCACAGTATCGCGTGAAATAACGTCATGAAGTGAAAGAGTATCTAACAAAAAAATATCGAAAGATATTTCATTTAGGATCCCATAATTTGTCGATATTGACAAGAGTGAGATTAATTAAAAATATAAAACCTACAAGCAACCAAAACAATGGAAGCAATGATAATAGCGATTAATGCGCCAGTTGGAACAGCAAACGGACAACAGGATGGTTTCCATGAGCCTAAATATGGCCAAGTGCAGCACCAGTTGTAGCTATCCCAGTCTGTTGGTTGTGGGCAGTAGGCCAAATATCCTGAAATTTGGTAATAATTGCTTCATCCATTGTAATTAGGCATATATAGCTCAAATGAAAGCTTCAAATACTGTATAGTATGGGCAATATTAATTAATTAATTGGAAGAAAGTGCAATGATTTTTTTAGTACCGTATCCTGATGGACACCACCAAATTTTTCTGTTACCGAGACGTCCTTCGATATAATGTGATAACGGATCGTGTAGCTGACCACTTACTATATCATCTATAAGAAAAAAAATTTGCCTATTAATTAGCATATATATATTTTGTATATGCAAGTGCAATTTGCATATACAGATTACTAATAAATAACCATACTTTTGATGAGCGTATTAAAGTGTGATATTTAATCTTAACACCAAAGCTGATCACAGTTATACCGTTTTTAAACATCCTGATTTTTTTGAGAGAAGAAAAGGGGAAAAACAGGTAAGTATGTTGTCGCATAGAGGCAAGATGTATTATGATTCGATAGGCTTCATTAGCTAATTCGAGCTTTTTTTCTGGAAACTTATTGTCTCGAAAAAAGAACAAAATTGCAAACTTTCTCAATACAATGCTTTTTTGTTCTAAGATATTCCTATTTTCAACCATTCCAAATCTAAAAGTGGCAGTGAAAATTTATTGAAAAGAGAAAACGATAGAAAATTATGTAGGCAAAGAAAAATTATAAAGTAATCATTAATTTATGTGATGAATGATACTTACTTAATGCCAATATTAAATAATAAGGCCAAATATTGATCAGTTTAATCAACATTTTTCATTTAACGGATTCAGTGTTCTGTTTGCACGGAATTTCACTCGTAATCGAATTAAAAAATTAAACTGAAATTAGGAGAACATTTTTTTTTCTTCTTATTTGAAATATAATTAGTAAAGATAATTAGCTTCGATGTACAAATATGCTATGAAATTGTTTTTGTTAAAATAAATTGCAAATAAATTTAAATATTTCGTTCAATGAATGGTAGTTTTATGTTGACATTGTTCAATGAGTCATTCTTTAATTTAAAAGTGTAATTCGTTCATATAATTTTAATAGTAATGATTATCCAAGCTAAATTAGGCTAATATTAGCCTAGCGTCATCATTATATTTCAGCAAATACACAATGTTTCTCATCTATTGACCTTATTAACTCTTAACTCTTTCTGATGACCACATGAAAGGTGAAGGTCATTCATTTTATTTTCACTAACTGCTAAATATTAATTTCATGAAATCTAAATTTTTCGAATTATAATTTAGGAAAATCAATGATGGATGCCGCTTATTCAACATATATAGAACATAAAAGGAAGAGCAATGAAATAACACAGAAAAAATCAACTGATGCTATCAGTGATTGATTATAAGCTAATCAATTTCACAGTAACATTCTTAGCAAACCATTATTTCTTAATGTAAGCATAATGATGACAAAATCATTAAGATATGGTGATAAGAGAATCATTAGGAGTCGAGAATTACAGATAAAGATATTATTGCTATGGTTAATTTAGGAGAAATCAAAAATTACAGATTTTGATCGAATAAGTAAGACAATGTATTTTTTTTACCTTTCCCTAATTAATAGTAATAATAATAATTGTTCTTCAGTTAGACAATATCATATTACGAAACTAGCGTTATCAATTTTTCAGTTCATTACTTTTGAATTTTTTATCTCGCATTTTCAATACAACGATTTTTCTCTCCCCTCTTCCTCTCTCTCTCTCCCTCTCTCTCTCTCTCTTTCTCTTTGTCTTATCTTAAACCTACTGATTTAAATTGAAGCATAAAATGAACGATTCAGTTTTGTTTCACCCAAATGATATTTGTACAAAGAGGGGAGTGTAAAAATTTAGAATGAATCAGAAGAGATCACATATTATTGATTATCTCAATTAATTTAAGTGATTTGATTTTATTCATAAGAAAATTGGATAATCTTAAAAGATAATCAAAATTTCCGATGAAATATATTAATGTAAAATTAGCAACTGAAAGGGATGAAAGTCATTCTGCTAATGTAAATATGAAGAAAGCATCTATGGATGAAAACTGTTGGAAACTGCTCTCTCTCTCTCTCTCTCTCTCTCTCTCTATCTCTCTCTCTCTCTCTTTCAATTATTAATGATGAATAAGCGCAACAGTTCAGACTAATGAATCACATGAAGGAATATTATCACATTATTTTAATTTGTTTAACCAAAAGCGAAACACATAATATCATTGATATATTAACAGTGTATGATACATTTTCAACGATCACATACATATGTTTATAATATTTATATTTTAAATTATTAGGTATTATGCTTTGATAAAATATTTATTTGCTAATCATAGGAGTTATTCTGTTAATGAATAAATCATTGGGATGATTAAGTTGATATATGTTTTGAGTTTTAACATTTTATAAAGAAGATATGTTAAAACAATACGCGATCAGATCTGATAAAGAGTTTCATAGAGCAACAGACTTTTACTTGCCAAAAGAGAAAGAAAAAAAATTGCTTTGATTAAGTTTTCAAAGCATTAAATGTATGCCAATGATGCTTGCATAAAATTTAGCATTTAACGAAACGTATCAGATCGATCGATCGATAGAAAATAATGAATGATACGGAAAATATTATTCTGTGAATCATTCTGTTTTACCAAAAAAAGATGCAGAAAATATTTGACAGCTTCTAATTTATCATATCTTCAATTGATCATTTTTTCATTGCTTATAAATGAATTAAATATCATTTTTCCTTAAATTTCATTCACTTCGATTAGTTCATTTACTAATGGCTTTTAGTAAATTTCAATTACAAATTTAATATTAGTTAGCAAAAGAGCAATTAGTAATTCAGAAAATTTTTTAGCTTTTATTCTTTATTCCATATGGCATAAAAGAAAGAGGCAAATTTTAAAATATTATTTAAATTTGATGAAATTAATAACAAATGATCGATATTGTAAACTGGAATATATTGCTGCCAGTGTCTGGTACTGATACAAGACGAAATATTTGCGATCATTTTTGCTTACTCATCAAATAAAGATTTCTGTGACAAACGATTAGTACATTAGTAATTGCATAATCAAAATAATATCTGATTACTATAAATTTTGGTGGCTAAAATTAAAATTTCTTGAAATGGATTCATAATTTTTGTATAAAAAATGTCACTAATCCATCAACTATCTATGCAATAAGCCGTTGAATTTCAACAAAATGTCTATTAAAGAATTATTAAATTAACTAAATGTGATCATTTGATAAATTGATAAGTGGAATTTTTGAGTTTTTTGTAAGGTGGAATGAAGAGGATTGAATCGAAACTAGAAAGAAAATGAGAGAGAGAGAGGAAGGAAGGAGAATATTGGTATGCTTCTCGTGTTTCGGGACTTAATAGTCGCTTACTCATCACATCTTAAGTAAACAAAACAACCATTTGCTGTACACTTAGATTAAAATACTTATATTAACCATAACTACAGCTACAGCTACAACTACAACTATTACTGCAACTACTACTACCACTACTATTACTAGTAAGAAAAAGATCTAAATAAAACAAAGGAGAAGAGGAGAGGAGATAGAGAGAGAGAGAGAGAGAGAGAGAGAGAGGATTGATCATCGCTATTATAACAAATAGTTGAATTAATTTATTATAAATAAAAAATAATTTATTATTAATAAATAGAAAAAAAACCAAATATATATACAAATATGTATAAATAAATCGAATATTTTCATTTTAACAGACAGACGGTTTATTAGCTGGAAAATTCAAATTCTTTATTTGATTACATTATATATATATTTTATTTTATTTTTATTTTGCTATTTTTTCATGACAGCATAAATGATTTGATGACTTTAGCGATGGCTTTAACAAAACAAAGATTAAAGTTAACGTCGGAATAAAACAAACACTCGTTTGAATATTCCAAACAACTGCACAGATCACCTGCTGGGGTGACAATTTTCATCGCGCCTCAGCTTTAGGAAGTATTAATACGAAGTACGAACTGTAATTTATTTGGGAAAGGCTAGCAGAGTGGAAATGGCCGGGCATTCAAGGTTTCAGAGATAGGGGGTTATTTACGATGAGGTTTTGGACTTCTGAGCATATTTTCAGTTATAGGGATAAGTTGAATTTTAGAAATCATCGAGACGTATGATATTTTTTTTGGTGTTTACTTCTTATTTCATTTTTGCTATTTTTATTTCAAATCATTTTTTATTAATATCTAACGTTATTGGCGTTTTAATCGTTATAGTATGACATTCATTTCTATTGATTCATTAATTGTATCATCTTAAATGGTTATATTTTGATTGTCAGGTGATGTTGTTGCGAATAGGATTACCTAAAGGATGGAGAATGGTTAGCACAGGGACACAAAGTTCCAAGTCTGATAACTTGATTAAGAATTTATTTCTGAAAAAAATCAAGGAGTATGAGTCCAGGATGACTGGCAAAGAAAATGGACTTATAGATGCTACACCTGAGGTAGAGTCATTTTGTCATTTCATCTCTTATCAACTACAATTGTTTTAATCTGGGAATTTCGAGGAGGAAATCAATTCCACCTTATTTATTATTTTTGCTGAAGTTAATTACAATTATGGGGGACTGTAGTTATTGTAGAAAGTGTGTAAGGTTAGACATTATTTTTTAATTTCTTTGCTCCTCTTTTATTTCATGTTAAAGGCAGGAGTCTTCTGGAATAAATGAATTCTCATACCATTCCATACTTTATAATACAAACCAGAATGCACTTATTCGTAGTTCATGTTATCTTTAGATATATTTGACTACTGCTAATTCCACTCACCAATGATCATTATATATTTATTGCAGACACAGCGGTCATTGGAAGATCAGTTGCATCGTTTAGCTAGTAAGTACCACTTGGAAAGTAAGGAAGTGGTGGACGAGTTGCCAGTGAAGCAATTGGAAACTCCTTCTGTTAAAAGTGCCGTGGCAGTGATGTTCGAAGGAAAGACAGTTAATGATTTGAATAAAGAATTAGAAAAAGAAATCCAAGAATACACAGAAATGCGACGAAAGAAGCAAGCTGCGGAAGAAGAAGCGCACTCACATCTTCAATCTGTCAAATAGTAGCAGTCTCCTTCAGAAAAGCCTAAAAAATAGTTTATCTTGACAAGCTGCTTTTCAAAGTAGATTTGAAATTTTATCATTTTACTACTTTCATGTCAGAGATGGTGCATTCGGTATTAGTTAATTTATATTATACAAAAGCAGAATGTAAATAAAAAATTAAGCTCTGGCGTATTTCGTTATGCTTTGAATTGGTCACATACCGTAATATTCTTTTTACGGTTATTTCCTTTCTGCGGGAATTGTTAACATTTTATCTTAGTTATGTCGTGGATTCAGCAATTTTTCTAAACTTTTAATAAAAGTAAAATCTAAACTCTTGCTCAAGTAGGACCTGTATTTTGTAGAGTCCATGGCGTCTTAGTGATTTTCCTTCCTCTTCCTGAGTATTAATCATTTGTTTCATTTGCGGGGATGGGATTGTTTTCATGAAGGGTTGGGCAAAATTGCAGCTCAGTTGGTGGGTTCATTGTGGTTCTAATAGCAGCCACGGTTTTCAGTCTCATATATGCCTAAGTTACGGAATGGGTCCAAAAAGCTTCCGAGAAACTGTATTTCTGAACGACGGAAAGATGGAAAGAATGTAAAGGAGACTGTTGAATCTATAATCGCACGATATGCCGACTTTATGAAAGTATGATTTAGCTTTAGATTAATTTATCTTTTAGATGTTCTCTAGCTCATTCAGATATGAACTCTGTGTATATGTAAGTAAGGAGATCTGAATTGCAGGGAGATAGCAGAACACTTGCATCATTTGCGCAAATGCCATTGTCGGCAGCAACACAACAAGGTCTTAAAGAAAATCATTTCGTAAGTCCTACTGATATTCAACGCGAGTCACTGCAGTATTCACTGAGTGGTGTTGATGTGGTTGGTGCTGCCAAAACAGGCAGTGGAAAAACGCTTGCTTTCCTTATTCCGGTCAGTTTTGATTTTAAAATTTTTCGAATATTTCTAGTTCAAAATACATTCCTTCGTAAAGAGCTGTCTAAAACGATGGTCCTTGCATATTGAGTCCGTTTTCATCTGTAGTTTTATAGGTTTTGGAGTGTTTGTGGAGACAAAGATGGTCGCGCACGGTTGACGGATTAGGCGCTTTGATTATAAGTCCTACTAGGGAGCTCGCTTTTCAGACGTTTCAAGTTTTAAATAAAATCGGAGCGCGCCACCAGTTTTCTGTTGCTGTACTTATTGGAGGTATGCTGTGTGTTTATCTTCATTTTTTGTTTTTTTAAACCATTGTTAATATCCTGTGTATATCACGAAGCTAACACTATCACGATTCTGTCTTCAGTGCTGTGCCTATCATCTTTTGATCTTTTGATGGAAATACCAACTTTTAAGATACATTTTTCGATGTTCACGTGGGGAGAGTCTCCTCGCATTTCAACCACAACTTTTAAAAATAGCTCAGAGATAATTTGTCGATATTTTTCTAGGAACTGATGTAGAGTTCGAAAGTAAACGAATAGGTTCGGTGAACATTGTAGTGTGTACGCCTGGACGATTATTGCAACATATGGACGAGAATAGTACATTTTCATGTGAACAACTACAAATTCTTGTCATTGATGAAGCGGATAGGATTTTAGATCTTGGTTTCTCACGACAGGTAAGTATCATTCAAAATAATGGATGTCCTATAATTTTGGAACATGTGTATCAGTTTAGTATTTTAATTTTAACGAAGAGATTGGTCGGACGAACGGTTCATATTGCCTTTTTTCGGAAGACGGATAATACGGCCGTGTATGATTTGCATTTTTGCAATCTTGCAGACAAATCATACTGAAGTCGAGAATATATAATCCATTTCATCTCTCTACTTGCTACAGATGAATGCGATTTTGGAAAACTTACCGAGCAGCCGTCAAACATTGCTTTTTTCGGCTACGCAAACCAAAAACGTAAAAGATTTAGTGCGTCTGGCTCTGAGAGATCCACTATACATATCTGCTCACGAAAATGCTCCTCAAGCTACACCGGAATCGTTGCAACAGGTGGGATTAATTGGTCTTCCTAGATTTTCCCTGCTTTCAGAGAATTAGAATGTTGACTCTTTATGCACATCTTAAAAACACTGCGAACTAGTAGTAGTTAACAACAAAGAATCTTTTTCTTGTCATTCTCTTGCAAACTGACATCTTAAGTGATGGACGACTCATTTTGCTATGAACAAATCTAAAGATTAAGTAGCAATGTATAATAAAGGAATAAAACAAGGGTTTTGAATTGCAGAATCACATGAACTATTAGGAATGCAATTCAAAACTGTTGGAAATAAAGAGGGTTTTTCAGAGTTATTTCATATGCAATGATGAGGATAAAATCAATGCGCTATGGTCGTTTTTACTGAATCATCGAAAAAAGAAAACATTAATATTTGTGTCATGCTGCAAGCAGGTTGTTATTAATCGTTTATTCAATTTACATAAGGTATAGTTTATTATTTGTGATGTAATCAAGGAGTGGTATGTTTAGGCGCGGTTTTTAACTGAAGCACTTTGCCATCTACGACCAGGTTTTTCATTGATGGGATTATGGGGTACGATGAATCAAATGAAACGGCTGGAAATTTTCAAAAAATTCAACAATAAGACAATTGGAGCTGCAATGATTGCTACTGATGTTGCTAGTCGAGGACTGGACTTTGCCCGTGTCGACATTGTATTACAGCTGGATTGTCCTGTAGATGTTGATGATTATATTCACAGGTTAATTTTGGTCTCTGAGCTATTTTTGCTTACAACAAGAGAATTAAGAGCTTTAATTTTTAGTCAATACCTCTTTTTCATTTATCTAGAAATTTTTTCGCTCTCTCATGATGAAATCGGAATCTTTTGAAATTTGTTTTCTTCATTATTGTATAGCACAAAATTGGATCTTTTTTTAAATGATTTTTTTTATCAGTTTAGAGTAGGACGTACGGCACGGATGGATGCCAAGGGTGAAGCAATTTTGGTTCTCACACCGGCGCAAGAACAAGCCATGCTTGTACGACTGAAAGGAAAGAACATTCCAATCACTAAAATTAGGTTTGTTTTTCAAACTTTACAATGTGTAAATTAAGCAGATAGTTGAAAGAATTAGGCGACCTATTGGTGTGCAATTGCTGTGATTGAAATTGGCACTGAGTTTTCTTTGCTGTCGCGAAGCCTGAAAATTAGTATTAACAAAGAGCAACTGGAAAGTTTAAATTAAAATTTTCTATTCCAGTGTCAATGAAAAGCAAATAATGGATATCAGCAGACGTTTGCAGTCAGTAATTGCACAATATCCGGGAATGAAGGAATTCGCTCAGAAGGTTTCCTTATTAAGGATCTAATGGTGGCTTTAATGTTCTTGAGAAAAAATATCTTACATTTCAGAGTTTTGTGGCTTACATTCGGACAATTTATCTGATGCAGAACAAAGATGTTTTCAATTTAGACACGATTAATCTCGTGGCATTGGCCAAGTAATTTCATAACTTCAAAAATTTATATGCATTTTTTGACAACATTTATTCCTTGCATTTTAAATTTCGATATCTGTTTTTTCGCCATGTTCAATCGCCATATTACATCCACCAATTACTGTGTGTTATACATCGGCAACTTTTTTATATTTTCTAACAAAATGTCTCGAAGGAAATGACCAAAATTCATCTATCAGTTGTCCGTGACACGGTTATTAATTGATAACTATTATCGCATAGTTTTGCTTTGTAATGTCTTTTTTTCCTTTATAGATCGTACGGACTTGCTGCTACACCGCGAGTTCGATTTTTGAAACGAATTGCAAACAAACATCAGAACTTACATACAAATACAAGTCGAAAGCAAGAAGGAGAGAAAAGTGCAGAAGAATTAATGGAAATGATGATTTCAGCAGCAAAGACAGGAAAGGAAGCGGCTGCAATGGTAAAATTATCTTCTATGTACCTATCGGATTATTAGATTTGTTATGTACTTACCTGAATTATATTTCAGATAAATGATAATGATGATGATAATAATGATGATGATATACAGAATGAAGAAATCGACTTGGGATTAGGTACAAGTGAAAATAATGCAATTAAGAGAGAGCAGAAGGGCGATTTCAGCCCTAGTGCAATTGATAGTGGCTTAGATGAAGATAGCAGCGATTTTTTGAAGATAACTCGCAAAAACGTGTTCAACATATTTCCAGATGAAGTTTGTTGTATGAAATTTTAGTCAATTTACACTATAAAAACTCTAAAGCTCTCAATATTTTGTCTTTTATGAAGCAGAAATTGGCAAAAATATTTCTCAGTTTACGAAATATCTTCTGTTTAGCTATATGTCATTTGAACTTGCCATCGAGGTGTACATTTAGGTTGCTGAAGTGCTGGAGAAACAGGAGAGAGAATCAAAGAAACTTGTGACACGCCATGCACTGGCCAGGAAAATTCTGAAAAAAGGAGTGAAATTAGGTGTAAAAAAGATATTCACAGACGATGGAACAGAAATCGTGGTATGATTTTGTCCTTCTTTAGCAGTAATTCAATTTTGTTAATTATATTTTCCAAATTGTAAAAAATTTATTAGATCGTATTTATTACATTGTTTTGCTTAATTAATGAAGCATTTTTGGACTTGGCAAGCATTAGATCAAGTTTCGAGTTTTGTTAAGCAACTCTTTACGCATATATTTTTTGAAGGAAGGTAAAGCGTTCCCTACCGTTCCAAGTGATGGCAAATTGATCGGTCTCAATGTAGATGAGGCAAAACGTCAAATGATACAAATTGATCAGGTTGATAAAATAACATATAAGGAGAAACAAAAGATGTGGAGAAAGGTAGTTATTTCATCTTCTGAGATTCAGTAGTTTATTACATATTAGTTTATTCTGGTTATTACATTTTTCTTTATTATTTCGTTTCATTTTTCGAAAAATTTCTATGAATAGGCGTAATCGCAGGAAGACTCTGAATTTCTATTACAGAAGATTTCTTTCTTTTTCGATAATTTTTTTCAAAGACCAGCATGGTATTGGTAGTAATTCAGAGAAAGAAGGAAAAGCGAAAAGATAGAACAACGAAAACAAATCAAGAGTGTGGAGTGGTATTAGATTTGGGAGCTGGAAAGAATCATTCAGATGGCGAACCAGATTTGTCGTGGTTGCCTGATCCTGACAAGCCAAAGAAGTATGACGAAGAATGGAATGTGGTTGAAAATAATTCTATAGACGACTACAGTGTATGTGATTTGCTGAAGTATTTTTCTAAGTTTAATGTCATATTAACAAAATAAGGGGTATTTTTTACTCTAATATGGTGAATATTGCATGGAATTTTATAGATTTACTCTACTTGAAAAAATATGGACTGACAGGTTTAACGAAATATAGTTGTGTAACTTTCTTCAATATTAGTAAAACTGCAGCATTCCTGAATTTCATTATTTCCACTAACTGATTTTGTTTAGAAAGAAGCCGGTGATGATGGTAACAATATTGTTGAAATGAAATCCATACAAAGACGGAAAAGAAAATTATTAGATGAAGAAGAAAGAGCCTTGGCATTATTGCGCTCATCCTAACCTGAGATTCTTCAGTTGCTACATTTCATATTACTATAGTGAACATTTGCATATGTAATGAACTATGGATTTGTAATTTTTTTTATTGCGATTGATAATAAAATAACTTGCCCTGTTCAGAGGATCTTTGTTCTGTTCAGTAACTGTTTTGAAATGAAATTGATAGAAGACGGAAAAGGAAATTATTGGATGACGAAGAGCTTGGCATTGTTGCGCTCATCCTGACCTTTAAAAATTCAGTTGCTACATTTTATATTACTATAGTGAACATTTGCATATGTAATGAACTGTGGATTTGTATTTTATTGCGATTGAAAATAAAATAACTTGCGCTGTTCAGAGGGTTTTTGTTCGGTAACTGTTGAAATGAAAACGATACGAAGACGGAAAAGGAAAATGTTAAATGACGAAGAAAGAGCCTTGGCATTGTTACGCTCATCCTGACCTTCCAAGATTCGCCAACTGCTGCATTTTATATTATCATAGTGAACATTTGCATATGTAGTGAACTATGGGTTTGTCAATGTTTTATTGCGATTGATAAAATAATTTTCCGTGTTCAAAAAGTTTTTGTTCTGTTCAGTAATTGTTGTTCCCTATTCAATACCTATTGGACTCAACTCAGTCCTCATATATGTTTGGAGAACTATTTTAGTATAGTCAACATTAAACTTGTTATAGTTATTCGGAAGGGAAATTGCAGGACAGTATGGCGGAACCTTACAAACCGGCAGCTCGAATAATGAGCGATAAAATGGAAAAACGATTCTCGAAAGATGTATTGTATTGGCGGCGCATGGAGGTTGACTTATCTAATTTTGCGAACTGCTTCTAACCTTGCTTGATTCCTCAACTTTTGCATAAAATTGGTGCTATTCATTGCTGATTCAAAAAATAAATCATTTCAGCGTTTGGCTGTTTTTCAAGAACCAGGTAATGTCTCAAGCACATCTTTCTCTCCAACAGATAGCAATATGGTCGCCAGTACTTCTTCGATCAAGGTTCACTGTCATTATATTGCTTTTTTGGGACTCTCGTTGGAGATGATTATCCAAGAATCGAATAGCATTGCTAGATAAAACGAAAGTTTTCTTCAGCTAACACTTTACGATGCCACGATTTGTGAACCTCTGGTAACGCACGGGCGTTTTAAGCAAGCTGTTTATGGAGTAAGATTTCGTCGTGATGGTAAACTACTGGGTATGTTTTTTTAATGATTGATTTTAGTAATCTTTAATTTTTTCAACTTAAGAAATTGTTAAATTGGAAGACTATTGCTGTGGAATTTTTGTTGTCTGAGCAATTTGTTGTGAGAACTTAAAGCAGTGATATAGAAGGTCATTTATGTGGAAACGACATAGTCGCGTAAAATCGTAGTTTTGCTAAAAATATAACGTTGCGATGGTACTTTATACTTTATATTTTAAAGAAGTCGTAACATTACTAAAGGAAAATATAGTCGGAAATGGTTTTATCAATTAAGGGAAGTTAACTGGTTTCAAAAGTGAAGAACCGTTGGAATTTTAAATCCAGATTGAGAAGTCTACTTCTTTCATCTGCAGTGCCTTGATATTCCTTCAAAAATCTCTTATAAAATATTTGAAAGAAACGTTTTCATTATTCGAACAAAACGAAAATAAAGCGATGATGTTTTAACTGATGAAAACTTATTGTGTTTTAACTGATAAGAGTTTTAATAAGTTCAGGAATTCAGACTTAACTTGCCTTTTCTCTTTTCACTTTTCAATAGTTCCAAGTTAGCGTTTGTCATATTTTTCTTCTAAGATGTTTTTAGCTGTTGGTAGTGAAGAAGGTCAAGTTCGTCTATTTGATGTGCGAAAACACACTTGCGATGGGAAGAAAACTCCATTAAGAATTTTCAAAGCTCACGAAAGCGCAGTCCATACGGTTTGTTGACGCTTTCATTTTGGTTATTTCTATAAACGAATATTTTGAGGTTCATGTTTGTTGAGATTCTATTCTTAACCGAAAATTTATCTTTTAAATTCATATACGATCTTTATATCTGCAAGCACCTGTAACGTGGTCGTATTATTTCTCCACACAGTATCATTTTCTAATCTGCTTTCTCCGTATTTTGTTCAATTTTTAGGTAATTTTTACAAGATCCGGAAAAACACTCATAACAATGGGTGACGAAGGATCTATTAAATTATGGGATATTGTCGAAACGAAATCTATTCCTTTGAAAGTGTTCGATGCCGTTCATAATGATCACATACGATGCAGTGATGCTTCCATGCTTTCTGATCACTTATTCGTAAGCGGTAATGATTTCTGCTTTTGCTTCTTTTTCTCTTACCCATTTTCGTTTACAATCGTAGTTCGTCATCGTGTAATTGATGAAGGGTCTAGCTGCTGTAATATTTTTTAAAATTTGCCAGTGATTTGATAATTTTGTACCTAAAATTTAAATCATATCTAATATCAAGTTCACTGCTTGCCACATTTATAAAAAGGTTGTGAAATTCATAATAGATCCTAACTTCTATTTCTTAGGTTCATACGATCATACAGCGAAAGTTTGGAATGCTGAAACAGAAGGGAATGAAGCCCTAATGTCTGTAAATCATGGCTCACCAATTGAACAGGTTCTGCTTCTTCCGGGTGATTCATTCATTGTTACGGCCGGTGGTCAGCTCATTAAAATTTGGAATATTGTCTCTGGTGGTACTTTGCATCATACGCTTCATCATCATCACAAAACGGTAGGCATATGTTGTGTTTGAAATAAATTCAATTGGTCCTGAATTCCTTTTCAGAATGAAGCCATTCATGCTTTATAGGAAAATCTTTGGATAAAAGGATATATTTCTATTTTGAAATATTTTATGCTAAATGTTTCTTTCACTTCATGACATGTGAAGCATTGTCGCATCATCAAAAAATTTTTCCAGGTAACTTCACTTTGCCTTGCATCGAAAGGTACCCGTCTTCTTTCGGGCGGTCTCGATAAAAGGGTGAATGTTTTCAGCCTCGATAGCGGTGACTATAGACTGGTGCATTCGTTTAGTTTACCTGCTCAGGTATACTTTATAATTTTACGAAATACTTTGTAAGAATGCTGGAGATCAGCTATCTTCAATCCACGATATTTATTCAGTTATTTTTGACTCTTTTCGGAGTTTCTTACTTGAATATTATTAACGGAGCAGATTTTTCATTTAGTACCATGCTATGCTACTTTTTATATTTTTTTATCATTTGTTTCAGGTACTCACATTGTCGATTTCATCAAATGACAAATTTATTGCTATAGGTATGGGTAATTTATTGCAAATTTCCATGCGGAACGAGCCAGGAAAGTTGGAAGAATCTTTAGAAGCTGCACAAGCTGAAAATGCAGGACTTGAGTACCATAAAAAGTACTTTTTGCAGACCATATATTTTCAAATTTTGACATGTTGAAAATGCATAGATATATTCTATACTCATTAATCTGGAGATGTTTTATTTTTAGCTCTGTAAACAATTTTAACTTACATTTCACTCATGAAATCATAATTTGCTTATTACTGTAATGCCTCATTTTAGAATGCATTCAAATGCACCTGTCGTATACCAACAACTCCGAGGTGGAACTGTAAAAAAGGCTGAATTGACTGCTGCCCGTGTTCCACAGGTTTTCTCTTCTTCATACTTAGTTTAGCCATATAATTTTCACAGTCATGAGGCAGAAAAACTTGATCATATTTTTTATATTTGGTTGTTCGTTCATTCATATATTGACTTTGCGCTGATCTGTGTTTAATTTCAGGCCAAATTGGATAAAGTTGATTTGTTATTGCGACGATTTAAACACTGGAAAGCAGTCGATGTTCTTTTTCGCGAGAAACACTATAAGTCACGTCCTGATATTATTGTCGGAGCACTAATGCAGGTTACCTTTTACTCTTTTGCCATTATTTATTTCTTTTTTACCAAATTGTTTTGGCTCACAGCGAGATTCTTCCAAATATCTTACATCAACCATTGAGCTCCCAGGATATGTCTGATTAATCGCAGTCTCATTAAGGTATTGAAAATAATTTTAATCTGAAAACCAGAACATGTTTATATCTCGTTTTTTCCAGATTTATAAACGTGGAGCATTAACGGTGGCACTGTCAGGACGTAAGTCAGACACCATCCATCCAATACTTGTCTTTTTGATGCAGAATTTCTTTCGGCCCGAATATATGCATATATTACTCAAAACAATAACCATTATATGTGGTTAGTTCTTTTTTTATTTCATCAAAGCTCTTCAAATTACTGAAAATTATTACAACTTTATGGGTATTTTTGTTCTGTTTATGTTTTTCTCAAAGCAATTGAAATATCTATCGAGATGGAGCAATTAATTAATCAAAGATAGAAAACAGAGAGATTTTACTAAAAAGAGAGATAAGCAAGGATGGTATACTTTTCTGAGATCAACTAGATGGGTTTCTATATACTAGATTTGTATTTTGCCTCGAATAAATTTGAAAATAAATGTGGTCAAAAATGGTTCAGTAGAGTATGTATTATTAATTGTGTTAATCGCTAAACAATATGTGATTTACATATCTTTTCAGACGTTTATGGTAATGAAAATATTGATCGAAAAATTGCCAAAATGTTTTTTAAACTTCATCGTGAAATTCAACGAGAAATTGAAGTTCGCAATAAGTTAACTGAGGTAAAACTTTCTGTTCAATGTTTCAACTTCAGGAATTTATTTTTGATGGTGTCGTGTAATTTATATGTTACATTTGATACCAATGCAACACATACGGTTATATGTTTTAGTTACGTGGGATGTTAGATATGCTTATTCAAGTGTCAGAAATGAACACTGGGAAATTGGTGAATAATCGGGATGATATCGGAGTTTTTGGTGAAGTCGTTGTAACTCCCATTCCTTTCACAGTGGATGTCAATGGACGAAGCAGAGATAATGGCATGCCTAATAGTACTACTTAAAGTGTCTTTAGAAAGAATTCTTCAAATTTCAGTTTTAAATATAAGTTAAGTAAAATGATGTTCCATTTTTCTCTTGGTGAAATATTACCTTTTTCACTGTTTTTTTTTTGCCACATCTGTTACTGCTACATATACGGTATGAAATGTTAGATGTTGTTTGGTTACAGAGCAGTTTTATCGACTTCCTTTTGCCGTTTGAAAGTTTGAGAACAATCTTTAATTAAAACAATCTCGTTTTTAGGTCCCTAAAGGTTTTTTCGATTTATTGACTCCAATCAATAAGTAATTTTTAATTCATTCAAAAACAGACACTTAACAGTTTCGAGATAAAGAAAGCGATAATCAAAGGAAGGAAAGTTAAAGCGATGTTCTGAAGTACTTTTCCGGTGTTATTGCAATAATCAGTTTGACAAATGCATTCGGCACCTGTACCTCCTTTCCAAAGAACACTTGTTTCACAGTATTCTAGTAATGGTTCACTTGTTTGTTGGCACATTTTTTGCACTCGTAGAAATCCTGAAATTTTTTAACGGTCTTTATGCTTTCTATCAATAAATGTTGATTTTTATATCGCTGCAAAACTCAATATAAAATCTATATAATCTGCATAAATAATTTGAGTGATTAAGACGTATAAGTTCCTATTTTCATTGTGGAGCATTGAGTGATACATACAATCATAATTCCTTATGTTATACATGAAAAGTGCCGGAGTTATCGGTTAGTATCTCTATCTCTTGAGAACGTATGGAAATAATTCTATGGATTTTTTAATTGATAGAAAGTTTCAAGTACAAATAAATTTTCCACTTTTCTCTACAAGAACTAATCTTTAACCAAAATCGCCTTGAAGTTAAATATGTGAGGGGAGTTAAATCGAAATATTTTTTTAGTTTGATGATTAAAATTGTATTCGAATTTGAAAATTCCTCTTAGACACCTTACACCATACTTTTAGCACTTACCATCAATGAGAGCGGAACGTTTAATGCATGCGGTACCGACACATGTTGCGTCGAAACAGTTAACCTCTCCAATGCTATCGCACATATAGCATACTATTGAGTATCCTGAATTACTATTGTTGTTTGTTTCAATCTTTTCGGCAAATTGTTGCTATTTTGGATTTAGTTTTATAAAAGATGTCATCCCCTGGCGATGAGACATCCCGTAAGAGATTTCATCTCTCTAGGAATGTTTTTATCGGAAAATTTTCAAATCATATCATATTTTGAATGTGGATTAAATCAATCAAATTAAAGTGGAGTATCTGAGATATATTAAATCATTGGAGTATCTGAGATAATAATGAACAGGAAATGATGAAATTCTTACTGCTTAAAAGTAATAGGATTACTGATATTTGATTATAATAAACCATTATTGATATTTAATTATAACAAATAACAATGAGAATATTACTGTAAAAAATGGTAAATTTCTATTCTGTAATGCCATTACCAATAATATACATTGTTCGTGATGTAAATAATATAAAATTGGTATAACCTTGTGGAATGATGGTATAAATGGTATTGAAAAAGAGTAGGGTCACTGTAAACATTTGAAGAAGTGAGTTAAAATGAACTGTTTGAAAATTGAAGCTATTAGTAAGTATTTACTTTTATATAAAGTTATAAGAAACTAGTTCAATTGACACGATCGAAAGTCATATAATAGAAGCATGGTTTTATGACTCCACCCAAAATTCATTATCAATTTATAAACGATACTTGACTGATTGTAAATTGATGTACTGAAATATTTTATCATTTATTTATTCAGTAATTTGAATATTTTATTAGAATTTTTCATATCAAAAATCTGCAAGTGTTAGTTATTATTATTATTATTGAAATTTGCAATTATAATTATCAATGCTGGTTTATAAAATGAATTAATAATATTAAATTTTATGCAGATAAACAATATCAGGTTTACATAAAATTGGAGAATTTACACGAATCACGTGCATCGATAGCTATTTACACAGATCTTATATATATTGACGTTTTGTATCAATCATATTCAACACGTTTGTAACGATCACTTATACTTTAATGTCACCATTTTATCGCTCGAGTGCGAAGATCTTGAGAAGATATCTGATGTCAATTCTTGTTCACAAATGATTAATTAATTAATTGATGATAAGAAGAAATAACCTTTCTAGCCTAAAGTGTCAGCAATTTGTGAAAAGTTAGAAACAAAAAGCAATGAATGGATTAAAGGAAGAAGAGGAGGAGGAAGTTAATTGAGATACCGTATCCGACGAGTATTCCTGGCGATTAAGAATAATAATAAGCTGTGGAGAGATGGAATAACCGCCTCTCTGATATTTCATCCACTTCATTTTGATTGACTGAGTGTTTCATTGAATACTTTACTTTCTTCGATTGAAATGATTATTATAGTTATTCTTTTTGTTTACACTGATAATAGTGATGATATGATAACAGACTTAATCTCACTCTATCATGAAACATAGATATACTTCCTATGCGCAAACACAGATCTCTTGTAAGTAAAAGATTTATTTTTTTTAAATGCAAGTAAAACTAGAATGGAAGAAGTGCTCGAAATAAATCATTCATCCATTTAATTTTAAAATTTGGTTCATGAAAAGTTCGATGCATTTATGTTATTGCTTTATTTATGAAATTTTATGCAATAGATTCATTTTACTTTGAAATGTTACTTTTTTTAAAAGGATATTAACAGCAATTGAAGTGACCTGAACGATGATCGAAATGACCTAAAAGCAGAATGTTGCGTGATGAGACAAGACGTGTCGGTAAACGTAAAGCAAATCAGAAATTAAGTAGTTAAATTAAATAGGCAATGATAATATAAGTAAAGGAAAGGGAAGAGATTGCGTTATGTTGCGATAGCCATAAGCTGTTTCCTTTCGAAAAGGTAATTGACGTGAGGTGACAACGAATTCCTCTTCTCATATTCTTCAAAGATATCGGCCGCTTCTATTTTACAATAGATATATTGTAATGAGTACTACATAAACAACATCATATTCTCTGGTCACTTTTCAATATTCGTTAGACCAATATATTTTATTTTATTATATGTTCCAACATTTGATGGATTGTAGTTTATTATATTCTGTAATTCCGAATTCGACGATATTTAATTTCCGAATTTGGCAATATAATAAATGATATGTTGTGACATCATATAGCATAAGATAAATTATTAAACGATATGAATAACATTAACAGAAATAATTTTAAATAGATCATTGTCAAATAAAATAAATGGATCATAATTTTAAATAGATCAATTAGTCTTATTAATTAATGCATAATTTGAGTGAATGATAACAGTTAGAATTTGAGCAAATATTAGCATCATCGATTAAATTGCTGCAATATTTAATGGCTTTTTCAAAATCTATTCCATTTCTCGATATGAATACGATAATTTGAGTAAATAATATTAATTAAAATTTCAGTAAATATTAGTATTATGCATTAAATTACAAAAAATTCAGGTGTTCTTTTGAGATTTATATCATTTTTTCGTGGTCTTGCAATAAATTATACAATCATAAATGTGTCGAAATGATTTAAAACGAGGAAGGATAGGAACAAAAAAGAATAAAACGATAAGAAAGAGGGTGAGGGGTCAAATGAAAAAAAGAAGTTTTCCAGAAATAGATTGTAAATGATAAGGGGCCACGCCCTTAGATGACACGTTCAGCTAAAAGAATTATTTTGAAAATATTTTTTGATGAAGATTGCTTTCGTATCCAATTCCAATGCCGTGTTACCACCCACTTCTCATTGATAAGTTTTTGATAATTTGAATTGCTTTTTTTTTTTTTAATTTATTTAGCTTGAAGTAAATTTCACAAATTTAAATCAGTCATTAATTTGTAGTTTGTTAGGTTAATGTTTGTATATCAGAAAATTTAAGTTATTCTATCAATTAATAAACATTAATTTCCAAGCATTAATATTTTCACTCATCAATCTTTAATGACAATTCACGACAAAAGGTGTAAAAATTAATACAACTCATTCCATCAATTAGTAATATTAATTTAAATATTGATTTTTTTTTTCAATAATTATTAATGTCAATTTATGCAGAAGGACAAAAGAACTATAAGTGAGGAAAATAAAAGAATGAGAAATGGTTTAGAAGGTAAAATATCACTGCAAAATGTATGCGTGAAGAAAAGAAATCAATCGAATCGAAAGGTTTGTAACTGTTGAAGTTGAATAAAATTAAGAACAAATATTATTTTCATTCTTTTGTGATACCTAAAAAAATTAGAATTTCTTTTGTTGACGAAATAAACCATTACAGTAATCTTACATTATTGAGTTTAAAAACATTTGAAATGATATTGATAAATATTTACAAGTTGAAATGATTTCTAGGAACGACGACGAAATGAGGAAATGAATCTTGCATATGCTCGATTACAGCGCTGTGTACCACATATTCCACATGATCAAAAATTAGCCAAGATTAAAACTTTACGACTTGCTACTCTTTACATTAAACATTTAGAAGCAGTAATAGATGGATCCGTTCGGGTATGTTATATTTTCTCTCATTTATAATATTCTCTTTAGATAAGATAAATTTACAAATATTTGATAATTTTATACAAATATTTTGGAGTGATTGTCATCTAAGTTGTGCAAAAGTTGGGAATTTTTCTTTTACTACTTTGTTTAGTAATTAGCGAATAATTAACCAATTAGTAAATATCTAAAGTTTGTTGGAAAGAAATGGAAGATTAGGAAAGAATAAAAGCTAAGTAATTTCACTGCGTCATCTCTTCATACAATCATTATTACCTGTCAATCATTTTATGGATTAAATTATTTGTTTTATTGTTGCTATTGTTGCTATTCTCATTTTCAATCATTCTTTTTCAGGTTCGTTCTTCATCATCACATGAATTACGGCCACTTGAAGTGGAAGATTTCGCATCAATTGCGATGGCTGAAATACAAGCGAGGAATAATTACAAGGGTAAGTATCACCGATCAAATATTATTTCATTTCAGAATCTCCCTCTCTCTCCTTTTCTATCTAATCTTATCCATTCATTCATTTTATTTGACACATTTGCTTGTCACATAGAGTGAATAATGATTGATAGATATGATCGCTTATGTTTTATTAGGAGTTTGGGAATTTTATTCAATTTGTTTTCATATTCATAATATTTTCTTAATTTTGTCTAGAATGCCTCATTTATCATCATTTTTCAATCTTTTGCCAAAAGCATTAAAAAAAAATTGATTCGAGATGAAATCTTATCATATCATCTGATAACTTCAAATTGCTTATCATAGCAATCAACAAACGAACATATTACTTTTCACTTAGATGAACGATAGCAGTCATTTGTAATGATCTTTAAAATGATTAGTAAAATATTTATCTAAAATAGAAATAAAAAGATATGTTTATTGTATATCCTACAATATACAAATTATTAGATTATCTCTTATTTATTAAGCCAAAAGAGAAATTGAAATTTTGCTGCTAATAATATTGTCCTTAGCTGTTATATGTTATGATGAAATTAATAAACTGTAGCATACATCCATAACAACTGTTACATTCTGTTCGCATAATTAGATGAGCGACCGTTGTAATTAATTAATTGTCATAAATTATCCCTTTTCATCTTTCCGCTAAATTCCTGTCGGATATATTTTAGATCTTATGAGGTCAATTACTTTAGAAACATTGAGAGAAAGTGGATAACTTTTTTTAAGGAACCTTAAAAGCAATAAATATATCAATTTTCAAATTTCTAACTGTACTTTTTCCTAGTTTCAAAAAAAAACCCTAAGATAGATACAATAATTGTTTTAAACTTTATAAAGTCAATATCTTAGAAATATTGAGAGAAAAGGATACTGTAGTGAGTCCTAGGCTTCTATTTGTAGGGAAGAAATAAAATAAACCCAAACTATCAGTTCATTTCACAAAGCACTCATCTTTAGTAGCACTGATACCAGTCATATCCTATTACACCAAATGATAATTGTCCAGATTTTTTTTAATATGAAAGAGCAAATTTAAGATCTAGCAGAAAAGGAATTACGACGTGGTATTCGAACTGAAGATATTTGTCGACAAACCGTATCAGATCGTTATGCATTGCCGGAAACATCACCGAAAAATCATTTCTCATCAGTAGTACGATCTTATCCATCATCACCGACAATAGTTCATAATAATAATACAGCTTCTCCTACATTAATTCATAATAATGCAACCCCTCCGTTAGTAATTAATAATCATTTACCTCAAATTTCATCCCTTCCTGGACAATATATCATTGATAATTTGTATTGTTTTCCCTTTCCTAATTAAAATTTTGCAAATATTTTTTAATTTCAAAATTTTCTATTAAATAACATTTATTATTTTGCTGTTTATATTTGTATTTTTCAATATAAAAATTATTTATACAATATTTCTTTTGTAGGTTTTTTTAGAATATTTTCTACAATGTAAAAATTTTTCTCAAAATTATTATTGATTTTTGTTTAATTGATTAATTGTTCTATGAATGAATCTGAGAAAAATATTGTTGTATAAAGGAGCAAAAGAGTTTTCACATAAAGTTTACTGTTGATTCCTCTGTTAATCCCATTTTCTTTCTTCTCCTCTTTCTGGTTCAACTTCACTAAGAGTAGCATTCTTGCGCCACGGGAAATCATAAACAGTTTATCATTTAAAGAAAATAATAGATGGGACAATAATCTATGGCACCAAACAAATGTGCCAATAGTTCGTGAACTTGAGGAGCAGCATTGCAATGAAAGTATTGAATTGCGCATTTAGCCATCATAAACATACACATACATGCGCCCATTACGTAACCCATCCATTCATTCATGCAATTTTACTATTTCTATTAAAGTAACATTGAATTATATATGTAATGAATAATAAAGTGATTTCAAAAATAATTTATAAAATAAAGAATTAGCTTTAAGATATTTATAAATTTCTTTTCTCGCAGTAAATTTACGTTTGTTTGATAATTAAACGTTTTACGTGAGGATCTTACGCTATTTGGTATGTAACGTTAACGTAATAACTTCTTTAATGATTTGAATTCATGAGAAAACGTTACAGATTTATAAGTAATAGTAAATTTATATCATATCTATATTGTTATAATTTGCTGGTAGAAATGATAAGTATCTTTCAAATAATTCAAACGATATGTGATCATTTGAATATGCGCATTTATCTCATCATGTATTATTTATATATACAGATAAATATCTCTTTTGTAATAAAACTCTTGATCGATCTAATCTAACACTCTAACACTTCTGATTCCTTGTAATAAAGTATGTATCAAATTAATTAAACGAACTACTCACCTAATGAAAAACTAGGTGAGTTTTTTAACCTACTTCCATGAATTATGGCAAGTTATAAAATTCGACTTTTTTAATATTATTCAATACTATTAGTATTATTTTTTATCGTTATTATTATTATTATTATTATTATTATTATTATTAT